GTCGCCTTAAAGGTAGATTTCACTACGTCTATAATAATATCTATAGGTCTCTAATAATAATATCTGTCTGTCAATAATATCTATATCTCTATAATAATAATACCTATATGCCTATAATAATGTCTACGTCTATAATAAAATATCTATACCTCTGTAATAATAATAGCGATATCATATCTATAATAATAATAATATCTATACGCCTATAAGAATATCTATGTCAATATTAATAAAAATATCGATACCTCTGTAATTTTTTTTAATGTCAGGAGTGACTTGAGAAACTGCAAGTCACTTCTGGTGTGAAAGAATTGGCCATCTGCAAGGGCGTTGCCCAGGGGACGTTGCCTGAATGTTTTGATGTTTTCCCATCCTTGTGACAGGCTTCTCTCATATCCCCGCATGGGGAGCTGGATCTGACAGAGGGAGCCTGTATGTTAATAATATCTATACGCCTATAATGATAATAATAGCTATATGGTTATAATAATATCTATGTCTATAATAATAATAATAATAATAATAATAATAATAATAATAATAATATCTATATGCCTATAATAATATCTATAGGTCTGTAATAACACCCATACATCTGTTGCCCGCTTTTGCTCGAAAGATATTTAGCCCTTGTGCTCCATCCATTTTTATTATCAGTTTTATACTAATTTATGCAATGCTTTTGATATGAAATAAATAACCTCTATAATAATGATACCTATATGCCTTTAATATGTGTCTATAATAATAATATCTACATGCCTATAATAAAAACTATACATCAATAATAATAATAATAATAATAATAATAATAATAATAATAATATCTATATAACAATTTTGAACTGGGTTATATGGCAGTGTGGATTCAGGTAACCCAGGGCCCTTCCACACATCCATATAACTCTTTGGCCTCGAGGAGACTGAAATGGGCCCATATTAGGTTGACAATTTGCCACTTCAGTTGTATATTGAAAGCTTAGAAACCAGCTCTTCCTCTTTTCTTTCTTTCCCCTTTCTCCACAATGGGCCACAGCAATGCATGGCCGGGTACAGCTAGTCTTAAATAATAATGTCCTTAGGAAAACATAGCATGTAAGATTTGTAATCCACAAAATGAAAATGGTGGTGTTGCAAATCCTTGGGGCATTTCTTCTTTTGCCTCATTCAGATATGTTCGTGTGGACAAAATACCTCATACTCACCTCATATTGGCTGTAACCCTGCCGTACAGCATTCATATCAATCTGTGCTCCAACCAATTCTTTGGCCCTTCAAACTGCTTAATGTCTGTTTACCTCAAATTCTGGACCTGGATCCACATTCGAAGACTTAAGGGTGGACAAATCAATTGGTGGAAGGGAACCTGGGCCAGTAGGTCAAATGATAATTCCTACCAGGAGAATACAAATTAGAGAAGGTATTTGGGCAACTGAGGCAGAAAATCTTAGGGGAAAGATACCTCTCTCTTTTCTTCAAAGGAAGATGGAAACAAGGCAAAACTAGAAAAATAACCCACCATTTGCTGCCCCTTTGTGATCCTTACTGCCAACTGCTTCACCCTGAGTCCCCCACTCCAGCCTTAACTGTCACGGAACAATTGGTGCATCACAATGGAAGACATGGCGCATCATCCATGCCGTGTAGGCTGCAGTGGGATGGCAACAAGCATCCTGACACCACTTTAATTGCCATGGCTTAAATCCTGAAAGAGTCCCCCAAGATGGTAGGATATGTCAGCACATATTGGCATGAGACAGATGAATCTCCAACCCAGTAACAAAATACTCTTGTGTTTTCGAAACACAGAGAAATAGGCTAATTGTTCTCACTAGACTGCGAATTACCATTTGTTGTCTTTTGAATCTATACTAGAAGTAAGTTGCTTTGATAAGCCAGCATGGTAGTTGTTTGGACTCCAACTGGAGACTAGGGTTCGAATCCCAGCTCAACCACAGAAACTTTTGAGTTTACTTTGGATGAGTAACACATAAACCAGAAACAAAGATAACAAATCATGATGATCATGTTTACCTTGAAATCATTTCTAGTTCTTGGTGACCCCATCTCAAGGTTTTCTGGAGTTGAGAGTATGTGACTCACCCAAACCTGCCCCAAAGGGTTTTCGTGTCTGAGCAGGGATTGAAACCCTGGTCTCAACTTATAGTCCAACACTCAAATCATGTCATGCTGGCTCTGTAATAAATCAATCTCAGTTTTGTTTCCTACACGTGTGTCTGCTCCATTTATGAGATAAAAGGGAAAATTGGGCACATTTGCCACAGTCCACCCACTGGACAACACAGAAACAAAGATAATAGCCATTTATTTCCTATAGTGGTCACCTTTATGCCTGAATATTTGATTCGGGGATGGATCTTAAAAAAGTAAAAGTGGCAAAGCACATGGCAAGAGATCATGGTTAGAACTGTGGAATTCACAGAACTACAAATCCTATGATCTCATACATTGAGGCCATGGGAGTTGAAGTTGTAACAAATGCCCTAATTATGAATGAAAAGTTCCCTGGACTTCCTTATTAATGATGGGATTTCCTCAGCTACAGGCATGTAGCCGGGGGGGGGGGGGGCTTGGGGGCTTCAGCCTCCCCCCCCCAAAATTCTCATGGTGGTTCGCGAAAAGGCCTTACTGGTGCATTATTTAAACTGTTATGTTTATTCATATCATGATCTGATCACCATACTCAATATATCCCATATGCATGGGGGTATTGGGGTAATGATACAAAAGGTTTGCTAGGCTAGACCCTCTTTCACTCAGACTCAGTCCCCCCCCCGAAACTCAGCCCCCCCGAAACCCCCCCTGAAAAAAATTCAGCCCCCCCCCCCCCCCCCGAAACTAAATCCTGGCTACGGGCCTGCTCAGCTGTATCAAATCTGCAAAAGTCAATGGGCCAATTATAGCTTAAGAAGCATTCCATTAGGATTTTCACCAGTTTCTGCTTGGGTTTCCAGTTTAGATTTTACTTAAATAAACTAGGTGTAAAACACTGTTGTTATTTTCTCCTTGAAGTGCTAGAAGGGATCTGTAACAATATAGTAGAAATATTATCCAGATAATTCTTTATTTAAGAATTCTTTGCTTGGCCAACTAATTGTAATAGTAGGATCCTGGATACCTGTTGTGCCATTTACTCTGGGCTGCCTAAGTTTTGTTGTGGTTGTGTGCCTTCAAGTCATTTGCATAATATGGTGACCAAAAGCAGATTTTATCACAGGATGTTATTGGAAAGATTTAACTTTGCTATTGCCTTCCTCTGAAGCAGATTTTATCACAGGATGTTATTGGAAAGATTTAACTTTGCTATTGCCTTCCTCTGAGGCTGAGAGTGTGTGATGTGCTTGTGTTTCTATGGCTAAACAGGGATTTGAACCATGGTCTCCAGAATAATAGTCCAGTGCTTAAACTACTAAGCCACACTGGGCTAGTAATCTGTTATTAGACAAAAGGGTTCCCATGGAGGAATGAAGATGCTATGTAGAAGTTTTATTTGTCCAAACTCTGAACAGAATACAAATGCTTGTTATGTAAATCTTGGTCTTGTTGTCTTAAAACTCTTAATTTTCTCTTGTCTTAATGTTGTGTTGAAGATTGTTAGACATCTGTAAGTGAATGGTGTTAAAATACAGAATATCACTCATAATTTTAGAAAATCAATTTAGGGTTGAGGGCAGGGAATCTTACCCTTCCTGCTGAAAAACCGAATTCTCTAGAAGCCAGAAACTATCTCCTTTCTTTTGAGTATGAAAGCAAAGGTGGAATTAGGTTTCTATCAGGGGGGAAAAGTATTCAAAAGGGTCTCATGACTGAAAAAAATTAGAACCACTTCACTATATAATGCTGGTTACCAGTATAAAAAGTTTTAGTACTTTTTAAAAAGTCAACATTAGGTTGCTTCCAGGTTTTGATAAGCAGATATGCTGGTCTACAACTACCATCATACCAGCACTATCAATGGTCATGCTTACTGGTAGGTTAGTGCAACACAGTGTTTCTCAACTTTCCTAATGCTGAGACCCCTTAATACATTCCTCATGTTGTGGTGACCCCCAACCATAAAATTATTTTGTTGCTTCTTCATAACTGTCATTTTGCTACTGTTAATTAATCGTAATGTAAATATCTGATATACAGGATATATTTTAATTCACTGGACCAAATTTGGCACAAATACCTGATACACCAAAATTTGAATACTGGTGGGGTTGTGTGTGTGTGTGTGGGGAGGGGGATGTATTTTGTCATTTGGGAGTTGTAGTTGCTGGGATTTATATTTCACCTACAATCAAAGAGCATTCTAAACTCCATCAATGATGCAATAGAACCAAACTTGGCACACAGGACTTCCATGACCAACAGAAAATACTGGAAGGGTTTGGTGGGCATTGTTCTTGAGTTTTGGAGTTGTAGTTCACCTACATCTGGAAAGCACTGTGGACTCAAGCAATGATAGATCTGGACCAAACGTGGCACAAATACTCAATATGCCCAAATGTGAACACTGGTGGAGTTTGAGGAAAATAGACCTTGACATTTGGGAGTCGTAGTTGCTGGGGTTTATAATTCACCTAAGATCAAAGAACATTCTGAACCCCACCAACTATAGAATTGGGCTAAACCTCCCACACAGAACCTACATGACCAACAGAAAGTACTATTTTTTCTGATGGACTTTGGTGACCCCTCTGACACCCCCCTCGCAACCCCCCCCCCAGGGGTTCAGACCTCCAGGTCGAGAAACACTGGTGTAACACATTTGGGGCACAGTAAGTATGGAAACTGCTAAGACACTAACTGGCCATCTCATATACAAGGCGATTCTGTGTGTATATCTTCTTAAAGAATGTTGTATGTAAAAGTTGGGTGAAAGACCCTCACTGTCTATTTTTAGATCGAATTATATTTTGAATATTGTTTAATTTTAATCAATCAGAAAATATTTAAACAAGAGAGAAAGCAAAAAGATCCAGGATATCATGTCCAGTATTTGCATAAATGCCACATTTATTTCTTTAACTGAACAATGCCTTAGGTGTACACAAACAGTTCAAGACCCTAATTTCCAACACTCATAATTTAAGACATCAAGAAAACTAGACTCATTACTTCAGTATTGTTATTATTTATAACAGGTGTGCCCACAGCAATCACATATATACAAAGCAAGAGAAATGGTCTCCCAGCACTTGGAGATGATGTCACAAGAAGAACTCGTGTGGACAAACTAAATAATGGAAGCACAGGCAAAAAAAAAAGATTAATAAAAAATAAAAATATAACCACAATCCGTTATTATAAAGTACGTTCTTGATATCGAGTCATAACTCATGAATAGAAGAGATCCTTCATATAGATCAGTCAGTACACAACAAAAAGACAGTAAGAGCATATTAAACAGTTAAATGTCTTGTGTTGTTGCAGTTGTATGTTATCACAATCTCTACATAGTTCCAAAATTTCTTAGCTAATTGTGCTTCTTTCACTTGTTTCTCTACCTGTCTTACTTTTGTATAATTTTCAATTCCACTTCTCGGCTAAGATGCACTATCCTTCTAATGGAAGGTGGTAGAGAGGGCATCTCTTCTTTTGGAAACCCCACCTTAAATTTTAGCACTGGAAAAGGTTGTACATAAATAAAACAATGGTGCCATTCATAGTTACAGAAGAGAAATCTCTGACCAATATGTACTACAGAAGAGTATGACATTATATCATAATACTAAACCATGGTTTTCTTACCTGGCATCATTTTATCTCACCAGCCTCCATCAGTGATTTGTATAATGGTAGTGTTAGTGGGAAACAAAGTGAAATTGGAAGCTCAGTCAGTTGTGTTTCATGCTGAATTTAATGGGTCTCCTTATCTACAGGACAGAATGGTATCCCTCCTAACATAGGAATTCTAAAAGGCCTCCAAACAAAAGACATATTAAAATCATTGACAGTAAATTAGTGGAGATTCTTCTCATGTAGTCATTAATCCAGTAAATGTACATGTTACTTGTTATTTTGGCAATGAATGAAGCAGTAATCTCAGAAGCACCAATGTCAAGGAAAAGGTAAGTGCAAACTATAATGATGTAATTTCTGTAACTATTTTCCCCCCAAAGTATTACAGAAATCCTTCACTACTAGGAGATTGCTCTCATGTTGGATGAATTATCAGTGGTTCCCAACCTTTGGTTTGGACTTCAACTCCCAGAAATCCCTGTTAGGAACCGTGAAGGCTGAAGTCCAAAACACCTGGAGAACCAAAGGTTGGGAAACATTGCATGATAAATAAGCTACTGACAATTTGTTGAATTCATAGTTGACCAACTACTTTTTAGTCATTGCATTAAATTTCTGATTCAAACATCCCCACTGATTTTAAGAGCTTTGGGACAAGTTTTAATCCCTCACCACCATGTTGTCTGCAGGTTTGCTGGCCCCAGCAACATGGAACACCAAGTGAGAGGAAATACTTCCCAAAACTGAAGCCATCAAGGAACATGAACTGTAGGTTGGTTGACCTAAGCCATACCCCATATCAATCATTTCACGTTGTGCAATCAATATTGATATTTTAACACTTGACTGGTCAAAAACAAACATGAACATGGGAGGACACTGAAATGACCTCTTCATTCATTATCACTAGTACAGTGAAAATGCTATTAGTTTCCTGATTTTGGTCTGAATGATTAAGGTTGTCCACATACTGTACATGTCTTTAATGTTAGAATCCTGTAATTAAAGTATGGGAGAGACTACTAAGGCAGAATTTTTATGGGCACATACAATTCTCTTGAATGAATCCCATGTATCTCTGAAAGCCTTCTTCTGCTCAGAGATAAGGGAAAATATCCCCCTGTCAATGAATTATTGCAACATTAAGTTTACATTCCTATGTACACTTACCTAAAAGTGAGTGCTACTGAAAAATGAGACTTACTTCCAAAAAATGTGTACAATTACATTGCCTTTTTCATTTTACAAGATATAATTTTATACTACACTTGCTTGCCTCAGCCTGGTTCCTGATAGTTGTGGTTTACTGTTAAACATAAAACGTCAGAACATTGTAGAAAAATGAAGATTCAGCATGGCTATCTGTCCATTTTACTGCAAATCACATTTGGCAAAAAAGTTGTCTGGTCTAATGCCAATTATTGCCAATTAGTAGAGCAGGGGGCATTGGATAATCAAGCAAGAATCTCCACTGAGCAGAAATCAAGAATCAAGGATGATTTTTCATGAAATGATGTGCAGGTCTTTAGACTTAGGGTGAGTCCAGGCATAGAAGTTACACAATGTTTGGGTTTTCTTTTGCTGTAAGCAGATTTTCAGTGTATTTTCTACAGTGTGCTATATACCTCCTCTTCTTTTTAAAAATGTTTTTACATCCCATTATGTTCCGTGGGATGGATCAAAACCATGGCAATTCTGTTCTCTCCCTAGTGTACTTATGAACTCTTGTGCAATATATCTCTTCCTTTCTGTGTTGGTCTGTACATTAGAGGTGTTGCTCCTTACCCACTTCCCACCTTGCTGTATTTGGCTATTTTGAATCGCACCTTTCTCCCTGCTTGGGTCTGATAGCAGAGTTTGAGCTGTACAGGGGAGAAAAACAGAAGTTTGGAGTAGCAACATTCAAATGTCTCCCTTTTTTCAGGACCTTTAAGGACTGTGGATGAAGGCTGAGACACTCTAAGCTATGTTTCATAGATTTACACCCTTCTCTGCAACTCACTGCTTTCTGATTTTAATGGGGAGTTGGAGACAGTTTGGGAGCATTAGCAGTATTGCTGTTAGAAACTTCAGTTGCCTTACCAAGAGCCTTAAGCAGCTCTAGGGAAAAACATTAAAATACTTAAATCTACTTAGCATCTGCCTATAAATCTGGGCAGGACAACTAGAATCTCTAATAACAAGTGTCTGTTCTGTTCTAATCTGAATTTTGTCTGCTCAGATACTGCTCAGAGATCAAATTCTGTCTGCTCAGAAAATGTGTATCTAAAAGCAATAGTTGAACCCTCTTGTTTAACAGCTAATTTGTGAATTCAGATTAGGGAGTCATTCTGAGAGAGAACATTTTGAAGAAGCAATTAATTAAGATGTTGCTAATGCCAAGAGCAGGACATCAATTAAATGCATCCACAAGCTTTAAAAAAATAACAGACATTGATTCAAGAAAAATGCAAATCTCTTTATGGAAAAGTCTGACTCTAACTAGAGTCTAATGGCAAGCAATAGAGTAGTGTTAGGGAACCTGTGGTCCTCTAGATGTTGATGGGATGCTCTCGCTGACATGGGCCTTCTCTGCAGCTCAGATGATGGGAACTGAAGTCCAACTACAATCATAGTCCTTGAGCAGCAGAAGAAAGGATGTCCTTAACATGTCATCCACTTTTTCCAGGAACAACTTTTCTTACCCTGCCTCTCTTGCATAGATCTGCATCTGTGAAGATTTCCTGCTGCTATTTTATGTCTTCTTCTAAATAATCCATGCCATTAAAATAAATGGATGCAGCATTGGGAAAACAGAGGGGTGTTACAAGAGGATGACTGTGCCATGTGGAACATACACATGCCATTAAATGTAAGTGAAGAAGGCATAGCAATTCCACTGTAAACACCTTGTCTGGAAGCAGCTTTAAGCTGGAAAGTTGCCATGAATCAAAGTAGTCCACTAAAAGCTCTTTAAAAAGTTACTTACTATTTTTATCACTCAAGAAAAAGAAACCATGCACATTAAAACAAACAGAATTATCTTTTGACAGCCTCCTATTTGGTCATATTGACCTGGCTGTAAATAGCATTGTGGACAGGAAAGCACTTCTTCCAGAAACATAGCACAGAATTTCTTATAATGGAGAGACAGGCTTTGAAAATATTTTTGGAAGAGATTCTAATACCACAAAGACTAGGACTAATAGAGTAAAATGGTAGTCCATGAGGAGAACTAGCCCTTGAAACTTTTTATTGTTCTCTGGATTTGTTGGTCAGAATGAGAGTTGGAGAAAGATGGAATGGCAAGCTATTTTAGGGGGGATAATAAGGGGGAAATAGGCAACAAAGAATGAAGTAAAATACCACTCAGTGATGATATGTCTGGCTGACGAGGGAATCACAATACTTAGTCTGCATATTTATTCTAGCAAATGTTCTTGTGGACTAAAAGATTATAGATACCTGAACAAATGTCTGCTGTCAGGGAGAACAAGGATACATGAAGGAGATTCCCATGGGTTTGCAGGGGCACCCATTTTTTTAAAAAAAATCTGAACAGGAGGGTTTTGAGTTTTCACACAAACTTTGTAAACATGTGGTGTAAATGTCATCTTTTACATTCTGTTTAGAAAATCTAATACCTTGGAGAAAGAAAATAAAGGTGTGAGGTCCAGGCGTATTTAATGATTGCAAGGAGACTTTTGAAGGCACCACCTGATACAACAATGTAGAGAAGTGCCCCTTTGATATCATACTTTTCCATCCATAGTCTAGGGTCTTTTCATTCTTGCTACATCATTCCCCACCATCTACTTCAAACTTAAGCCTCTCATAAATCAGTTTTCACACATTCAGTTTCAAGTTTCTTGGGAAGTACATTGATCTCCCCCTTGAGGTTGCACTTCTGTTCTGCAGCTATATATATATATTCTCCCTAGGCATTGGGAGTAGTTATATTCTATTCCTTGGAAAATGCAATTCTTCCCTGACTATTCCGATTGCTGTGTAGAATATAGCTGTGTCACAGTAACCTAATGAATATTATTTGTGATATGAATGATGAAAAGCAGCCCACATTTCTGCTATGTTGGTAAATAAAGAATCTGTCACTGGTTTGTTTTGCAAGAAAACACATGAATTTACATCCAACAACACACCTCAATTGACTTGAGAATGAATGTCAGTCTCAAAATTATGTGAAGATGTATGTGAGAAATAAAGTGATGGACTTAAAAATGAAAAACAACACTGAGAAGCTGGGGACCAAGAATGCGTCACATTTTCTCCATCAATATATTTAGCTGCTTTCTAGAAAAAAAAAGTAGGATACTCAATCTTTTTTTTTTTCCAAACACAGGAGCAGCAGCTGGGGTGCAGATGAGAGAAATAATTCAATCTAACAAATGAAGGAAGAATTAAGTGCAACTGCCATTACTGTTTCTTTACTCCCGAGCAGAGCCTCCTAAAATTGCTTCTTGTTGAAACCAAAGCAAGCAGTTTGGAGGAATTATTTGGATAGTTTTGGATGTAACATCTGCTCCAAAGCCAAGTCAAACAAACTAAGGTGACTGTGAGGGAAAAAGAAAAATAAGCAGCCTGGCAGCGAGTGTAGTGTTTGAAATGGGAAAAGGGTAGCTTCACGCAATGGCTGATGGGCCCCTCCTGGGCTGACTTCCCCATCTCTTCCTATATCAGAAACAGGATGCAGCATCACGTTTGTTCATAAGTGTGGAAAACAACAACACATGATAAACAGAATGTACATTTTCCAGTGAAGTAAATAGAAATAAATACTTTATAAATATAATCTCATACTACTCTCTTTTGCTCTACCAAGTAATTTTTTAAAATGTCAATAATAAGTTATGATTTATCAGCACACAATCCTATCATTTTTATCTCTTAAGTAACATGATTTATAACTTGCACTCTTTTGCAAATTCCTGTATCTTTAAGTCAAAGTTGCTTTAAGACACAAAATTAAAAAAAAAGAAGAAGCTCTTGCTTTGTTAGTGGTCATATGCCACCCAATAAGAGATGGGTGGAAGATCACATGTGCACAAGAATTTCAGGGTATACCAGGCATCTAAAGTTACCATAGAAATGAATTTGGCCAACAAAGCTGTAACTTGAGATGAATCATTCTGCCAGCACAGACTTCTGGGAGATGAAAGACAGGAGAGATCCAGATTTAAGGAGGACCCACAAGCAGCGCCCATTGTTTCACTTGGTTTGATGAAGTGGGTGGTTCTTCTGGGCTAAATTCTTGTCTGGGCTGTTCTCCGTCTAGACAGCTTGGATCTGTTAGAGAGGTCATGAAATGACAGAAGTCAAAGGATGAGGTGGGTGAGATAAGGTAAGATAGAAATGACTCTTCAGACCCCTAACCTCAGAGGTGTCATTGAAAATAATTAATCATCAGTGCCAGGCCCGTAAGCAGGATTTTGTTTCGGGGGGGGGGGGGCTGAGTTTGGTTCGGGGGGGGGGGCTGAGTCTGAGTGAAAGAGGGTCTACCCTAGCAAACCTTTTGTATTGTTACCCCAATACCCCCATGCATATGGGATATATTGAGCACGGTGATCAGATCATGATATGAATGAACATAACAGTTTAAATAATGTACCAGTAAGGCCTTCTCGCGGACCACCATCAGAATTTCGGGGGGGGGCTGAAGCCCCCCAAGCCCCCGACACCCTCCTCGCCCCTTTATCTCTCTATCTCCTCCTCTCCTTCCTTCCAGGGATTCATGTCGTTTAACAATTTTAACAACTTCCAGCCAAGTGGTAGAAATTACCTGAATAACACCACTGCTTAACTTGCTTTCAGAAACTTTCTGCAATAAGCTGAGTAGAAGGCCTTAAAGTCAGAAGATATTTGTGATTCAGAAGTACTGAATGAATGAATTCTTATCTCATTCTAAGAGCCAATATGGTATCGTGGTTTGAGTACTGGACTAAAACCTTTTGGGAGACCAGAATCCAAATCTTTACTCAACTATGGAAGCCCATTGGCTGACTTTGAGCAAGTTACATTCACTCATCCTCAAAGGAAGAAGGACAACCCCCTCTGAACAAATTCTGCCAACAAAACTCCTGTAATAAATTCACCTTAGAGTCACCATAAGTAAGAACTGACTTGAAGGTACACAACAATCACCTTTCACTGTAGAGAAAGTGTTTTAAGTTGTTCAATTACCTTATTGAGCCAGCCAGGAGAGGGTTGAATGCATACAGCCAGTCGTGCATATCCTTGTCATTGCATGCCTGCAGCAGGATCCCACGATGCTCAGTGCACACTGCAAAGGTGTTAGGAGTCTAAGAGAAGGAAGGGATGGGAGAAGAGAGAGATCCATCTGAGAGCTAGTAACATAAAGAGTATGCAGCTGAATCTAGTATGCAAATATAATAGACTAGACCACTTCAGAATTTATACTGGGCACTGTGGAAATAACCCATTATAAATTCTGGCTCTCTTTATCTTCCAATATGTAAATATTAGTAAATACACATGTTGATATTAATCTTTCTTTAAAACCTTTAACAGAACAGGACTGTACTTAGTCCTTATCATAGGAAAGTAATTTGTTTCATAATATGTTTACAAGCTATCCATTCTAAAGCACAGAATATTTACTTGCAAGTCATGCTGATGAGAGTATTACCTTTACTCACTTTATGTTTTAGACATAGATCCTCTTTACATTTAAAATACTCTTGGTGCAAAACATGTTATGTTTATGCTTGCAGGTATTGCTTAGGATTGTGTGACAGCTTTATTAAGTGCCCCAAGAAGTGTATATGTATGTGTGCTTGAATGCATGCATCACCAAAATCAAGCCATCGTTGTTGATCAAGCTGGGAAAGAGCATCTTGTGAAGGACATCTAAGATTATGTAGGATAAGTCAAATATTTCACTGGACTGAAATGTTTTGCTGCTATCCTCCCACTTCCACCTATGGGGAAAGGGGGTTAGTCACATGTCCAGCATCCCCAGAGTATTTTTTCCTAGAAATATATTGGAGACATCCTCCTTTACGGGGGCTTTGTGTGAGCAGAGCACTTCTTCCCTTTCTCCTTTTCTTTTCTCAATCAAATTCATCAACAGTAAAATAAATCCCTCAGTGAGTGCTGAATGTGTGACTAGCCCCTTATCTCTCACTCCCTATGTATATGCAAATACCAGTATTCCAAAATATGAATATATATATATATATATATATATATATATATATATATCACACACACATTCATATATATATATATATATATATATATCCTTTGTCCCAAGCAATTTGGATAAGGAAGACTCAACCTGAACAAAGCTAGGGGAAACCAACAGGTAGGGTAGATGTATCTTGTTCAGAAACAAATCTGGTCAAAACATGTATAATGTAATACAATACAATACTAATAATAATATGATATTATAATTATATATTTTATATTACATGTAATATTACTAATAACATTACAGTATAATGTTATAGTACTATTTAGTGATATATAATACTAATATTGTGCTATGGTAATAATATAATATATTGTATTTACATATTACTTGTAAGTCACTCTGAGTCCCCTTTGGGGTGAGAAGGGCAGCATATAAATGTTGTAAATAAATAAATACAGCTTCATCTTCAACACTCTACTGATGAATTCAGGCTGTTCTCTCTCTCTCTCTCTCTCTCTCTCTCTCTCACACACACACACACATTTTGCCCAATCTGTGAATTTGTTCTTACTTTCAGCATGGCTTGCTGGTCCTCACTGTATTCCACCTGAGCTGATGAAAGATTGAGAACTGCCCTCTCCACCGAGTCCTTGTCACTGTTGTAAATGTAGACATAGGGGCGTCTCACCACCACATAGCGCTTCACCCAGCCATTTGTATGGGGCTCCAGGAAGTGGAGGTAGCCTTTCCGAGAAACAATTGGACTGTGAAAGAAAGACATTCTTAGTAACAGTATAGAAACTGAACACAGTATACTGTAATTTACCATGCTTTTAACCATCTCTTTGGGAATATAGTGTATCGGAAGAGCCAGCTATGAAAACTCACCGGGTGATGTTGGGCTAGTTATTCACTCTTAGCTCTCAAAAACCCATGATAAGTTTGCTTGAGGATCATCAAAAACGAGAAATGACTTGAAAGCACACAACAACAACAAAGCATTGTGAGCAACTGTCTCCAAAGTTAGAAGGGCTCCTGTGATTGGCTTCACCCATGTAGATAGTGTTTTCAGAATCCAGTAATTAAGTTAATAATGCTTCTTTTCCATGCAAAACAAAACAATGATTCTTAAGTTTTTTTGATATGGAGGTGCAGAATATGGAGGTGCCCATTAACTGCAATTGTTTCTTTTCTTTCTTGGAAATTGTGTGTGTGTGTGTGTGTGGGGGGGGGGGGGTGCAAAAGAGGCAGAGAAAGAAGATGAATGTCCATCTGCCAGAAGTGTCTTGAGTGTGTATGCCTACATGACAGGGGTTTGAACTGGATCACCCTTGTGCTCTCTTCCAATTATATGATTCTGTGATTCTAAGTCTCTATATCTGTTCCCTGCATTCCTTTGCAACCTTATATTAACTAAGTCACTGTCAGAGCAAAGTTCCATGTGGAACAGAAAAGGGGAGTGGGAAAAGAATGGCAGAAGGGAGAAAAAAAATCCCAGCCTCTCTTCCTCTCCTATTAGGACTGCAGAAACCATCACATGAGATGCTTAAGATTCGGCATGGTGCAGAAATTCAACAACAGCAAAAACATAATGGATTCTGATTTTGGTTTTCAGTGGTCTTACAACAAACCTATTATCTTTTTCAATGTGGTGGCGAATATTTCAGTCTGCTGAGCCCAATTACAAAGTAATTTGCTTGGGAGTCGGAGAAATTAGCCCTCAATAAGAGTAGGGGATTTCTCCCTGATGTGTTTTCTCCTTCACTGTCTACAATATGTGTAAATGCAGCTTTCCAGGGCTTTATGGTTATTTCTTCAGTCTTTGTCAAAGAGTTGCTTTTTTCCCCAAAGATAAGATGAATGCATTATACCCTCAAACCACTGGATTGAAGACAAAACAACACATAATTTGCTTAGCCAAGTACAGAACTCTCTCTACCTGCCCACTAGGCTGGGGCCTAGATGAGTTTGAATGTAAAATTTGGTGGTTCATTTTGTAAATTCCCCAAAAATAGGACTGGGGGGGAGTGGCTGGCCTGGAAAGCCAGCCAAAACAGATCAAGAGAGCAGGATTTTTCGGCTACTGGAGAGTATGGAGTTAACTCTGCAATATATCTGAGGCAGGAGCCTGCTCTCCTTCTTTGGCAGCGGCATCAATTTCTTCTGGAAAAGTTCCCTAGGCTCCTTCTCCAGAGAGGGCCCTGCTGGGAACTCACTTTCCCAGCAGCACTTGCATGGGCTGGACTTTGAAAAATCTCTGAGTTCCTCTCGGAGCATGATGGGAGTTGAAGTTTTTTTCTTTCTCTTTGTTTCTCAGCCAATAAAAGGCCTGGTTGCACCTATGCTCTGATTGGCTGAGAATGGACATAACCGGTGACCACAATTTCAGAACCCTCTCTTGCGGTTTGTCTTATTTTTTAAAAATTATGGTAAAAACTTAAAATAATTCTAAAAAATGGTAGTTTGGTAAATTGTTCTGAAACTCAGCAGGCCTGCAGTTGTAAATGAGGTCTAAAACAGAGGTAGGTTTCATGTAGATAAGCCTTAAAATGACTAAGCCTGGAACCTCCAAAGTTTCCCATTGTAGGCAATGGGCTGAATCTTTGCTGAATGATTCGAGTAACTTCCCGGTAAACAGAATGATGGGTTATCTGAGAACGGAACCTAAAATGGCATGCCTGTTACTGCCCACAACTAATACCTGACTCGAATCTCTTGAATGTCAGGAACCAAAAGGCGCTGGATCTCCTTTTCATCCTCAGGCCCACATGTGGGGGATTTCTTCTGTTCTCCTTCAATAGCGTGCTCGGATTCAGGGCTTTCCACCCTTGAAGAGAGCTGGAGAGGTCTGGACAAGAAAAGCAGGTTTGAGACTTCAAAAATCAACACCCATGAAAGAAGAGATTTAACAACAAAGATTAAAATGATCTGAAATTGAATGCTGCCTATCTGAGTCATTCTTTTATTCAGCTCATTGAGAAGTCAGAAAATTACTTTTAAAAAGTTTAACACGCAACAATTAATAGAGGTTTTGATCAGCAATGAATTTTACCCTTCCTTGATCATGGGCAGTTTAGTCATGCCTTGCAACCTTTTCTTAATAATGGTGATAAAAGTGCTGAAATGGCACATATAATGGTGGTTGTGAGACAAGGTTTAAAATTCTTAGTTATGCCACCTGTCTTACCTGGCGTCTGTGGCAGTGTACCGTCCTTCAACCAGTGATGGGCAAGTGGAAGAGGGGGTCAAAGTGCTGCCACCAAGAGCTGGCATGGAAGGATCTCTCATCAGAGTCACAGACATTTCAGATAACTGTAAAAATAGAAGCCATCATTGGGATTACTTCCTTTACAACAACAGAAGACAGACTTCTATATTCAGAAACCTTTGAATTAGCCTCCAAAAGAATATGGAACCCAGAGCACATTCGTATTTCTTTTCCATCACAAAACAGTTCCTATTCCAGCCCCCCTTATCTTGTTTCCCCCCAAATGAGACAGATTTTATGCATGGCACACATAATAATGTTTGAGAAGCTGTTCCAGCTGCTACCAAAGAAGCAGCATCTCCAAAGTCCACCCTGGATGAGGATTCAACTCTTTACAATGATATCTTTCTGAAAGTAATGTGCCACTTGTTTCTCCTCCCTTTAGCCACTGGGTACAACATCCTTGCCAACAGAACAGTCTGTTTCCCAATTCTTTGGCTATGACAAGGCGAAAACTAGAAGCATTGAGATTTATTTATTTATTTATTTGCCATATTTATATACTGCCCTTCACAGCCCGAAAGCAACTCAAGGCGGTTTACAGTCGGCACAATTTGATGCCCCCAATAACATAAAATACAGTTAAAAACATTTAGCATGTAATATAAAAACCATACGAAACCAATAAAAACATAAATCCTTAGTGTTTCCTTATTAAAATTGTTTTGCTTACCTTGCTTTCACTTGCACTAACACAGACATGGCTATGACTGTACTCTCTGTTGAATGTGTGTGTAAGGAGACGTAAACACTGCAGAAAAGAGGGAAATGAAAATAAAGTTCAACATCATAAAACAGTGGCTTGACAATGATTAGGGCAGAATTAACTGGGATGCTAAATTGACTTCTACAGGATGAAGTTCCAGCCACAAACTGTATCCCTGCTTCTCTGAATTTGAAATATTTTGGGTTTGAAATCTACTGATAGAAATGCCCCAATTACTTTTTATATTTCTGTTAGTGATGTATGTGGATAATGTCATTATACATTGTGGCCGCAAGGTGGCACTATACATAGTTTTATATTGGTGGAATCAGAACCCTGCTGCTGTTCTGTTCTTGGCACAGAGAGAGACAATAACATATTTGTTTAGCCAGTTGGCGGCTGTGTTCTTTAAGCTTTCCATGACAGATAACACTCTGTATGTCAAAAGACAAAGAGAACATTATACCAGGACCACAATCCTCTCTCTATAGAAATCTCATCCAGCCTTTGCTATCAGTTAGGACTGGCCAAAACAAAATGGTAACAATTGGACTCTCAGATCCAGTTCAAGCACTGTGGGAATACATACATAGCTATGTCCATTTTATCACTTGCATAAGACATAAAAAAGTCAAACACAGGCTTCCTGAAAACTAACATAGGGTTACCCAGCATCTTATACCTTAACCGCAAGTTCTTTCTGCCTCTCGCTGGGCATATCTAGGGGTAAAGTCCTTCCTTCTGGAGTGCCATCTGCTGAGATAGGAGACGAAACACAAGATGTGCTTCGGGAATCAGAGTCATCACTGGAGCTTGATGACAGGGAATCAAGACCTAAGCGCTGAGTTGTCTCTAGCTTCTCACGCAAGAGCAGGTAATGTCTTGTTTTCTCAACCTATGGAAAGAAACAAATCGTGATGGGTTTGAAACATACAAAGAATCATACAAAGAGATCAGTCAACACCATATAAATCTCTAGCATGTATATCATTACAAAGGAAATGGACCATAGACATTAGCTGTAGTTTATCTCTGTAGCATATGAAGTGGCCCTAAGGCACAACTTACTCAGGAGTAGGGAACTTAGAAAATAATTCATGTATAAAATTGTGTAAGGTTCTATCATCTTTAGTAGATATTTTCTCCTACATAAGAGCTTGGAGCCTTTTTTGGACTGTAATTTGGGCCTCATCACACTACAGAAAAAAAATCAACCTAAAATCTGGTTTCTGCCTCTGGCAGAATTCATTGGTTTGTAGTTTAGGAAGGAGATTTTTTTTCTCTAGTGTGATGAGAGCTACTAAGCCTCTAATATGGTTTTAAAGAAGAGATCTCCCAGCTCCGTTCTATATAAATATTATGACTCAAATCATTTTTATAATGCTTCTCATATCATTCTGAATAGGGAGAGGAGGGAGGAAACATGGCTTCTTCCTATGCAAAATTACTGATGGGAGTCAGTAAATTGCTCCCCAAACTTTTCCATAGTGTGAACTTAATATCTATAACCCAAAGATGAAAAGGTATGTTTGGAGAATGTCCTCACTGTGGATTGGGGGTTATTTTCCACTTAAAGTGATGCATGTTTTCTCAGACGTAAATGTTATGCCTATGTAGCTGTGGAGTAAGTCCCATTAAATTCAGTGGGCCTTTCAAGAAAGTATGCACAGTCCCAGAGAGAACTGTGCTTAACACTCACTAAAATAAATAGGATTAGCTAGACATGATTCATTTGTATTAATTTCAGTATCATGTAAGGATTAACGTGATTGATTACAGATTCTGGTTTTAGAGCATGTAATACTTCTTTTAGGATGCCTATAACAATTATCATATATTCTGGCATATAACATGACTGGGCGTATAAGACGACCCCCAACTTTTCCAGTTAAAAAATAGAATTTGGGATATGCTCGCCGTATAAGACTACCCCTCTTTCAACACACACCAAATAAAAAATCCGGGCTCCCCGGAAGTCTGCAGCTTGCTCCGCCCTTCACTTACACCTTCCCGGTGAGGCGCCCCTTCACCTCACCATTGGGACTGCATTAAGTCCACGAATCCTGATTAATGGATTTTCTTCTACCGTACTTGTACAGTGTCACCCTTAATGCTTTCATACAGTCGCTGCATACAGCAGGGAGGCGACCACTGCCTTTTTTGAGCTCCCCCCACAATATGCAGCAACCACAGATTCTCCAATCCAGATTGGAAGTTTCAGCACCCGCTCTATAAGATGACTCCCGGCATATAAGACTACTCCCGCATATAAGACGACTCCCACGGACAAGGCTACTCCAGCGTATAAGACGACCCCCGCATATAAGACTACTTCCACGTATAAGATGACCCCTGACTTTTGAGAAGATTTTCTTGGGTTAAAAAGTAGTCTTATACACCAGAATATACGGTAGGTATTATTCAGACATTCAAGTTTCCAAAATACAAGGCATCTATGTGTCACAGATAGTTTCTCTTTTCCATTTTAAGATGTGGATGCAGATGTTTTGGCATGGCCAGTTCACTGTCATATAAAATCCAGATTATCTACTTTGAACTGGATTATATGGCAGTGTAGACACATATAATCCAGTTCAAATCAGATAATGTGGATACGGGATTATATGGCAGTGTAGAAGGGGCCTTAGTTAATGGTCTCTTACATTCCTCCACACCTGATCCCATCCACATGAGCATGGATACACTAAGGTGTAAAAGGTTGGTCAGTAAGTCTTACTTCTTGCAGGAGGCTCAGTTTCTCTAGTTCCCATTGATGATCCAGGATGAGGCTGTCACTACGGGGCCGCCAGCCTGCTAAGTTTTCCTCGCCTCGCACGTACGCCACAGATGTGTCAAGCACACGCCTTCGTCTCCTTTGCATGCCTGTGTTTGGAAATATTTCAGATGCTTTTTTACTTATTTATTCATCACACTTTGGTACCACTTGTTATCATGAAATCTGTGATTCCATTATTTAGCACTGCTCATACCTAATTTGCAGAGCATGTTTAATTTAATTTATTTTAGTTACACTCCAATTATGGTTGTCATGGAACCTGGAGTTCTGATCACAGGGAATCATGTTGTTAATTGCAGACTGCCATTCTCTGCCATTGCAAACAGATGTGACACTGCAGATATTTATGGTTAAGAAATTAAGTGGCAACAGTACAGATATTGTTGATACTGACCACTAAAACGAAATAACATATATTACAGCAACAGTAAGTCTGGATGTTCCTTTCCCTCCAATATTTCTGTCTAGTAAATCTTCTACCGAGCTTTCATAATTGTAAAGGCTAATTAGGACACCTAATGATTTTTTGTAAAGCAAAACCAATGCTAATGAAGAGCTTCCTACCTGGACTGCCAGCATCGGCCACCCGGCAAAGGCTGAGCTCGTAGACTCCAGTCACACGGTTGCTACAAAAGTGAGAGTGAAAAGTCAGACCAAGGTGGTAGAAGAAATGTCTCTCATAAGAACAGAGGAAACAGTCATGCTGGATTGGCCCAAAGTCCAGCATTTCAATGAACCAAACAACCACTTTGGTCATTGTTCACTGAAATGGGAAGCCTACAAAAAGAAGGGTGTGAGTGCAACAGCACTTTCCCACTCATGTTCCCCAGCAAAAGATCCTCAGAAACATAAGCATCAGGTGCTGGAGGTAATATATAACCACTGTATAGCCTTACTTACATCTTGCTTCTGTCATTCTAATGTGCTTCATGTGAGGTTCTACTTTTGGGTTTTTGGGTCTTCAGAAAATCCAAAAAGCTTGCAACCAGACAGTTAACAGGGCTGGTTATAAGGAGCACACAACTACTTTGCTATAGCAGCTCCACTTACTTTATGTTTGTTTCCACCACAATCCAAAATGCTGGTTTTAACATCATAGATCAGGCATGGGCAAACTTCGGCCCTCCAGGTGTTTTGGACTTCAACTCCCACAATTCCTAACAGCCTCAGGCCTCTTCTTTTTCCCCTTCCTTTTCCCATGTGGCTGAGGGGGAAAAGGAAATGCCTGAAGCTGTTAGGAATTGTGGGAGTTGAAGTCCAAAACACCCGGAGGGCCGAAGTTTGCCCATGCATGTCATAGAGGCTTAGCTTCATGTTATCTGAATAATCATCTGAGATTTTCAGGAATGCTGGGTTCTGCCACCTTCATGTGATGCAAGAGAGGAGCTTTCTCCTTAGTTCAAAAATTTATTTCTAGAGAGGTTGTACTGACTCCTTTCTTGTTGTCACAATGATGGCTAGCAAAGGCTTTAAAAAATTCTGAAAATCTTTCTGGAACTATTTTTAAAGAAAGGATTTCTAAACGTGCTTTTGATCTTTGCTAAATGTATCTTTTAAAGTTATCCATATTTTAATTGCATTTTAATCATATGCATGCTGTTATCTATATTGTATTTATTTTTATTCTGTAAGCCATCTTGTGTCTTGGTTTTATGAGAAAAGGTAGCATGTAAATAACTATATGAATAATAATCGTACAGCAGGCCCTCCACTTTAGTTGGGATTAGGGACACAAAGTGGAATAACTAACTATATATATATATATATATATATTATACAATCTCCAGCAAAGGATCACCGCCTTGTCGGGGCGCTGGAGCTTGAGCACCTCAATGATGTCATGAGCGAAACCGTGAAGGGCCACCCAAGACGGGACGGTTGTGGCAGAGAGGTCAGACCAAGCGTGATCCCTGGGGAAGGCAATGGCAAACCACTCCAATATCCTTGCCAAGAAAACTAAATGGACCAGTACAACCAGAGATATGTCGGTATGCCATTGGAAGATGGGACTCCCAGGTCGGAAGATGGCCAAAATGCTACTGGGGAGGAGCAGAGGATAAGTTCAACTAGCCCCAGATGTGATGACGCAGCTAGCTCAAAGCCGAAAGGAAGGCTAGCGGCCGACGGTACTGGAGGTGAACGACGAATCCGATGCTCTAAAGATCAACACACCATAGGAACCTGGAATGTAAGATCTATGAACCAGGGCAAATTGGATGTTGTTATTGGCGAGATGTCAAGACTAAAGATAGACATTCTGGGGGTCAGCGAACTGAAGTGGACTGGAATGGGCCACTTCACATCAGATGACCACCAGATCTACTACTGCGGACAAGAGGAACATCAAAGAAATGGAGTAGCCTTCATAATTAATAAGAAATTAGCTAAAGCGGTGCTTGGATACAACCCAAAAAATGACAGAATGATCTCAATTCGAGTGCAAGGAAAGCCTTTCAACATTACAGTGATCCAAATATACGCCCCAACCACAGCTGCTGAAGAAGCAGAAGTAGATCAGTTCTATGAGGATCTGCAGGACATACTGGATAATACACCAAAAAGAGACATTATTTTCATTACAGGAGACTGGAATGCCAAGGTGGGAAGTCAAATGACAACTGGGATCACAGGCAAGCATGGTCTGGGAGAACAAAATGAAGCGGGACGCAGGCTGATAGAATTTTGCCAGGAAAACTCGCTGTGTATAACGAATACTCTCTTCCAACAACCTAAAAGACGGCTTTATACTTGGACCTCACCAGATGGTCAACACCGAAATCAGATTGACTACATCCTTTGCAGCCAAAGGTGGCGGACATCCATCCAGTCGGTGAAAACAAGACCTGGGGCTGACTGTAGCTCAGATCACGAACTTCTTATTGCAAAATTTAGAATAAAACTAAAGAGATCAGGGAAAATACACAGACCAGTTAGATATGATCTCACTAACATTCCTAGCGAATATACAGTGGAAGTGAAGAACAGATTTGAAGGAATAGATTTAGTAAACAGAGTCCCAGAAGAACTATGGACAGAAGTCCTCGACATTGTTCAGGAGGCGGCAACAAAGTACGTCCCAAAGAAAAAGAAAACCAAGAAGGCAAAATGGTTGTCTGCTGAGACACTGGAAGTAGCCCAAGAAAGGAGGAAAGCAAAAGGAAACAGGGATAAGGGGAGATATGCCCAGTTAAATGCGCAATTCCAGAGGTTAGCCAGAAGAGATAAGGAACTATTTTTAAACAAGCAATGCATGGAAGTGGAAGAAGACAACAGAATAGGAAGGACAAGAGACCTCTTCCAGAAAAATAGAAACATTGGAGGTAAATTTCAGGCAAAAATTGGTATGATAAGAAACAAAGATGGCAGGGACCTAACAGAAGCTGAAGAGATCAAGAGAAGGTGGCGAGACTATACAGAAGATCTGTATAGGAAGGATAATAATATTGAGGATAGTTTTGACGGTGTGGTGAATGAATTAGAACCAGACATCCTGAGGAGTGAGGTTGAATGGGCCTTAAGAAGCATGCTAACAACAAGGCAGCAGGAGACGACGGGATCCCAGCTGAACTGTTTAAAATCTTAAAAGATGATGCTGTCAAGGTGATGCATGCCATATGCCAGCAAATATGGAAAACACAAGAATGGCCATCAGACTGGAAAAAATCAACTTATGTCCCCATACCAAAAAAGGGAAATGCGAAAGACTGCTCAAACTTCGCACAGTGGCCCTTATTTCTCATGCCAATAAGGTAATGCTCAAAATCCTGCAAGGAAGACTCCAGCAATACATGGAGAGAGAGTTGCCAGATGTACAAGCTGGGTTTCAAAAAGGCAGAGGAACGAGAGACCAAATGGCCAATATCCGCTGGATAATGGAGAAAGGCAGGGAGTTTCAGAAAAACATCTACTTCTGCTTCATTGACTATTCTAAAGCCTTTGACTGTGTGGATCATAATAAATTGTGGCAAGTTCTTGGTGGGATGGGCATCCCAAGCCACCTTGTCTCTCTCCTGAGGAGTCTGTACAAGGACCAAGTAGCAACAGTCAGAACTGACCACGGAACAACAGACTGGTTCAAGATTGGGAAAGGCGTACGGCAAGGCTGCATCCTCTCACCCAACCTTTTTAACTTGTATGCAGAACACATCATGCGAGGATGTGCGGGGCTGGATGAATGCAAAGCTGGGGTGGAAATGGCTGGAAGAAACATTAACAACCTCAGATATGCAGATGACACCACTCTGATGGCCGAAAGCGAGGAGGAGCTGAGGAGCCTTCTAATCAAGGTGAAAGAAGAAAGCGCAAAAGCCGGGTTGCAGCTAAACGTCAAAAAAACCAAGATTATGGCAACAAGAATGATTGACAACTGGAAAATAGAGGGAGAAACCGTGGAGGCCGTGACAGACTTTGTATTTCTAGGTGCAAGGATTACTGCAGATGCAGACTGTAGCCAGGAAATCAGAAGACGCTTACTTCTTGGGAGGAGAGCAATGTCCAGTCTCGATAAAATAGTGAAAGAGTAGAGACATCAGACTGGCAACAAAGATCCGCCTAGTCAAAGCCATGGTATTCCCTGTAGTAAACTACGGATGTGAGAGCTGGACCTTAGGGAAGGCTGAGCGAAGGAAGATCGATGCTTTTGAGCTGTGGTGTTGGAGGAAAGTGCTGAGAGTGCCTTGGACTGCGAGAAGATCCAACCAGTCCATCCTCCAGGAAATAAAGCCCGACTGCTCACTGGAGGGAAAGATACTAGAGACAAAGTTGAAGTACTTTGGCCACATCATGCGGAGACAGGAAAGCCTAGAGAAGACAATTATGCTGGGGAAAGTGGAAGGCAAAAGGAAGAGGGGCCGACCAAGGGCAAGATGGATGGATGGCATCCTTGAAGTGACTGGACTGACCTTGAGGGAGCTGGGGGTGGTAACGGCCGACAGGGAGCTCTGGCGTAGGCTGGTCCATGAGGTCACGAAGAGTCGGAGACGACTGAACGAATGAACAACAACAAATATACATACATACACACACACACACACACACACACACACACTATTGTTTTTCTGATATAGCACCTTTCCAGAAATCCCTAGGTTCTCCAGCATGATTCTATTGTCAGCTTCCAAAAGAGGCTGATCATAGAGTCACACTAGATGACCTAAACATTCCTACAGAAAACATATCAATTGAGTCCACAAAAAATCAAATCTTTAAAAATTAAACCCATAAATTGTAAAAACAGCAATGACTGGGAGCTAATGATAATCAGGTGTAATATTTGGGGGGCGGGTATTAAGTATTTCATTCCTCTTGATGCAGAAAATACTCAAATATAAACCAAGGTTTCCTATGAAAATCAAACAACTCTTAGCCAAAAGTGTGAGTTTATTGCAGGGTTGATAATCATCACTAAGATGTGCATACAAACGCTTCCTTGTCGACCTTGTGCTTAACTCTATCCTTCTTTTGCCAGAGGAAAAGCAGAAAATATTTACCTCTCTGAAGCTCGGAGACTTCCACTTCCAAAAAGATTCCGGATGGATCGAGAAGCAGGGAGTTTGGCATCTCTGGAGTAGAAGACCATGCAGAAATCTTTGGTGACCACAGCTGGTTGGGTGCAGTTCTCCATCTAAAACAGGAAGAGGCTTACTAGTTACCAAAAGTGTCTTCCACTCAGGATCCTTCTGACTGTTAATATTGTTCTCAGAAAATATTGTGTGTGGGCCTTCCCAAGTAAAGTTATGTTCTGCAGGAGATTATCAAATGGTGTTATTGGTATACGCTCAATAACTCATTAACATTTATAGTTTTGTCATCTAGGGAGAGTTTCCTAATGTGGGACACAACATAAAGAGTATATGAGAGTGAAGGACAAGGGTACTAAACCTCTAGACATTTTCTTCTCCTGTAAACTTACAATAGACAGCTATTGGCATAACCTAAGTATATATTTTATTTCCCTCCTTACTAAGAGAACAGAAGTGGTCTTTTAGCTATTTCATATAATCAGTTAATCAATCCATCAGTTATCATCACCTTCATCTTTGCTCTTTGGATGTCTCCACAGCTCAAAACACTTTGCACTTACTCTCCAATCATCCATTCAAAACTTGACTACTGACTGCTTTACCTATTACTGGTCCAGTAATTCTTTATTGGAATCCTGCTTGGAAAAGACTGGGGTAAGCATTTGCTTTACTGCTGTCCCAGTCATCTCCAGTTACCTCTCAACACCCAGCATTCATTCTAATTAATTATATTACAGTCAGGAACCACAGGATTGCTCAAGAAGGGTAAGGCGGTCTGGAATTAGGATAGGAGCGTGTTGACAAAACCTAACTCCACGTGGCATATTTCTAGGAGGTGATATGAAGCCATTAGTGGGCTCTTGCCTCAATGTATGCAGAGAGGGTCATGTAGATTTTCTCTCTGTACGGTGTGACGCGATTCAGTAGCAGAGAGTTGTGCATGGAACTATCCCAGGCGGCTTCAAATTGGTAAAAGGTCCTGCAAAGAGATAGCAAAACGTTTGGTTAAAAAACACACAGCAGTCAACAACCAACAAAACAACATGAAAAGCATTATATTAACAGCAGCAATATGCAAACATGCAAACACACAGACAACTTTTTGTGCTGAATGGATGCAGCCATCCTGGAGTGCTCAGGCTCAAAAACATTTCCTTGGTTTGGAAAGCAAAAGAGAAGGCACAAGTGGGAATTCCCAAGGAAGTTTTTGTGCTATGAATCCTGATTTTTTAAATACATAGACAGAGATGATTTTGGATATGCTTAAGCTGTGATAAATAACAAGGTGCCAGAAAGGGGGGACAGTGATAGAAGGACAGTTGAATAGACAGTTGGCATTCTCTCATCTAAACACTACAATAAACAAAGACAAACATGTAGTTATTTGTAAATACTACAGCTTGTAGAAGGGTATGAAAGATAGGAAATCCTTTCTTCCTGAGTTATCCTAAACAGTAACAACGATGCCATAGACCTATTCCTCCATATTTGTCTTGGGATATAATTTAACAATGGACATTGAAAGTGATGCAAGAGCAGAGAAAGGGAGAGAGTAATAAAGTGATTTTAAAAAGAAAAACAAAAGACCCTCTTTTGATCCAGAAACAATTGCTTATTTTTAAATTTTGACTACAGCACTCCAGGGCCATATCTCTTCAGTCAAACATAGCATAACACGATCAATCTTCCTTCCACTGAAAGGAGGAACTTTTTTTTTATTTTGGCAAGCAAGTTCAGAAAAAAGGAAATAAAAAGAGTGAGGATGCTCAGTCCTGCAGTCAGTTCCATCTCTCCAGAAGCATTTCTCATTTCACAAATTGAACATTACCTTTTTTGAGAAGTTTGATGTGTCCATAAGTATGTCTGGTAATACCCTTTGTTGCTTATTTTTCACATACAGCCACAGTTGGCCGTGCTCTAAAAAAGTCCAGACACCAGCCTAAAACCTATGAAATTTAACTATTTCTCCAACCCCTAGTTTGCTCCTCCACTTTGGAGGAATGTCTTGGCCTAGTCCACCGATTCTATGCACTAGGCATACCTGGAATGATAAGAAAATGTTCTTATTCCCTAAGCCTATCTTGCCCATAATGTAGCCTGATTTGGCCACTGATATTCAAGGCCTCTTGTCTTACAAAATCAGATGCATATATGCGTGTACTGGACATCCAGCCTTGTTTTGAATGAGATAAATAAAAATTGCAAAATTACCCAGTATCTACTGACAATTATTATTTACACAACCTCTGTTTATTTATACTCTATTTATACCCCGCCTTTCTCTACCCCGAAGGGGAATCAAAGCGGCTTACGTAATCGTTACATAAACATAAATAGTTAGGCATTTACCTGAACATCTGGAAAGCTAAACCGGCAATGAGGATGTGAGCCCTATTCCCTTCACTAAAGTCCTAGTGTAAACCTTCAGTGCTAGAAATCTGAGTGCAAAGGTTTGCAGAGAACTTTGCAACCACATTTGGCTGAATCCTGTCTAACCCATGGGGGCTCTATAATCTATATTCATTCAAAGATGGTTACAAAGCCCTCTGCAGGCTTTTGTATTCAGTTACATATACCATAAGCCTCTCAAAGGCATGAATTTTTGTAGCAAAGTGTGCTCCCAACACTGTGTCCTGGGAAGTGTAATATGAATATTATCATCAGGAATATCAACTCCAATTAAATTTGTTCCCAACCTTATTCAGAAATGAGGGTTTTTGTTACAAAACAGCAATTACTCTTTTATACTGTTGAAACCAGGTGACAACTCTGATTATACACAGCAATATCACCACAATGTAGTGTCCTTTGTTGTTATTTACTACAACTCCCATCATCCCTGGTCACTACTGTTGGTGCTTAACATATCATTTTGGCACTTAACATTAAAAAGGTGTAGAGCAGTTTTTAAACTGAGCCCTGGGAGAGAGATGACAGGAGTCGAGAGGCATCTGGCATGGGTTGCTCACAATATTTCTCATTGTGCAAGGGAGGATAAGGTACAAATAGACTATGCTAGAAGTCTCTGAGGCGAAATGGGAGGGTTGGTCTTCTCCATTTTAAGACTGTCGCTATTGTGAACATGGAAAAAATGGGGGGAAAACTAATGGGGAATTAATTATAATCTTTGGATTCAACTTTATAGGAATGATTTGGAAGTAATTGCTGTCACTCTACTTCATATATGGTATTGTGTCAATCAAGCTAGAGAGGGAACATTCAGGGAGAGCAAAGTCCACAAGGCAACCAGAGGAGAAAATGCTGCAGTAATAGTCAACTACAACTTCCCCCGGAACAATTTGTGTTCTGGCCATGACAAGGAGGGAAACACTCTAGATACTCTAAGCAACTGGGCCTTAGAAAGCATGTCACAGAATCACCCAGAGAGGGAAGCTTAATCCTAACTGATATTAGTGTAAAATGAAAGTGTAGTTGAACTGACTAAGAAATAGTGATTATCATGCTATTGAATGTAACGTTATTTAAATAGAACACTGCCAAAGAGTCATGACACAATCATATTTAAGATGAGGTTATTAAAAGCCACAAAAATAGAGGCTCAGCTAGAGAGTAAATCTGGATGATGGGAAGTCTGGGCAGATACAAAGAGTTTCTTCGCATTATGTGCAGTTAGACTATGGAACTTACTACTTAAGATGTAGTGCTGGTTGGCTTGGTGGCTTTAAAGGAAGGCTGGACAATTTAATGGAGGCTATCAACAACCATTACTAGATATAAAGGCTAGATATTGCCTCAATTATCAAAGACAGTATGCCTCTACATCAGTGGATCTTAACCTGTGGGCTGTGGACCACCAGTGCACCATGAGGATGAAAATCTGGCCCATTCCTTTCGTGTCACCTGCCACTGCTTCCCTGTTACTGTCCATAGCACATGTTCTGTATCAGAAACTAGAGCTGATATGGTCTATCCAATGCAATTTTCTGAATTAACACCCAAACTGAATCTAAAGTTGACCAAAAACCGATTTGTAACCCTTTGGTACTAATGTTGGAGAGTGGTTCCTGGTCAAAGTGGTCCCTGGTCAAAAAAAAAGGTTGGGAACCACTGCTCTAAATGCTGAGGAGAACTCTTTGTCATGGCCAGAACAATATTGTGCTTATACACTGCTTCTGTGCATCTCTTTGCCATCTAATTGTATGCACAGATAGAAAGTAAGTCTTAACAGAAGCTTGGACTGATCTAGAATGGATAATGAAAATTGTCATTCAACACATCTGAAGGACACCAGATTGGGGAACAGCTAGTAGATGAACTGACACCTTCTGTTTCCAGCCAGGAATTTCTATTCCTTTATAGAGTCTCTTTGACTCAGTTTTGATATTTTAGACTCACTAAATTAAAGAGCATTTCAGAATTTCAGAAACTACATTCAGAAACTAATCAAAATATTAGAACGATCTGTCATTTCTGTCTGAGCATCCTCACATTTCAAAAGCATTTCCACATGGACATTCCACTGTCACAGCTCACCAAACTCATATCAACCATAGTTAGAAGCCTCTTTTTAACATAAAGATGCCAAGCCTCCTTTTGGAAGATTAAACGTTACAACACGTCCAGCTCTCAGAAAAAAAAGATGATGGCTCTTGTTAAGAGGATCTCACTATTGGTTGGTGCACAGTTACCATCCCATTCTAAACACCACATTTTCACATCAAGAGATTTGGAGCATCTTGCAAAAAAACAAAAACAAACCGAAAGAGTTGAGACTAAGCCCACTGAGACACAAGCTAGTACAAGATAGGTTAACTCCAACAGGAAGAAAGCAAGGACAGGAAAGTTGTAAAGTAAGCACGGAGGAAACAAGTGAGAGGAGACAGAGAGAAAAGCAGAAGGGAACAGACCAAGCAAGTGTGTGAGAGAAAAGTGAGAGAGAAATACCTAGTGTCATTTCCAAGTGAAATGCTATAAGTGGAAGGCAACCCAAGACAAACACATGTACACATACACACATACACAAAGAAATTAAAATGTCAGAAAGCATTGTTTATATGGTGTCCTGTGAAAAGCTACCCAGAGAGGCAGCTGCATGGAGTGCATGGGGATTTGAACAGAGTCCAGTTACAGTTAGTTGTGGATTTGATATAGGTAGGTAAGCAAAAGGAAGAAAACAAGTCATAGGTTTCCCTTCACTCTTTTTGGGTAGGAAGGTTTTGCTCACTAAACAGAATCCATTTCATGTCCTGGACCTTCCTCCACTAAATTAGAAAGCTGTCTTATATCCATGCCCATCAAAATTAGGTTTCAATACCCTTATCAATAGGCTGATAATTTTTATCAGGGCTGTTTTTCATCCCTATTCCAGGTTCTGTGAAATTCAGTCAACAATGAGCTAGACAATTTACCACCTTGTCTACCTTGATGTACCATCCCTTTTATGCCAAACAAAAAATATATACATATATGTTCTTTAGCTTCAGGATTCTTATATGTTGGGCCTTCTACAATGGCAGGAATATATATTATTAATACAATGTGTTTTATGAACAGCTATTGTTACTAACAATTGTGGAAATGTAGAAATACATGGTCAAGAAATTCCATAAGCAGCAGTTGCACATTTTTCAATAGACAATGTAGCTAATACATCATTTTGCTGATCAGGTGGCAGCGACATTCTGGGACCTAGTCAGATATCCAGGCCCGTTCATTAGTAAAAAGCATGGCTGAAAGACTCTGCAGTTGGTCCTTGCACATCACATTTCCAAGAAGCTATTCAAACAAAGCCAGTCTGGGTTAGTCACATAAAGCTGTAATGGTGAATCAGGCTGCATGCACTGAGCAGTACGTTTGAATCTCCACATTCATTTTTTGTCTCATCCTAGGTTATTTGCCCTTCTTCAATTAAAAAAATGTTATCCTATGTTAGTTGATCACAAAGTGTACTGATTTTTCCATGAGAGAGGCTTGATAATCCCAGACCTATAAGAAAACATGCAAACTAAAGCTTTCAGCATTAATACATGCAACATCAACAAGCAAATCCCACTGAGCTCAATGAGATTTGCTTTCCCATTGAGTGTGTATCTTGGTTTAGAACTGATGCACTAGGTCTAATTATTATAGCTGTAAGCTAGTTGTTTATGCTCCATCCTATGATGTACTAAAATGTTTGAAATGGGAAATCACACTTCAATGGGCCGCTCTTTATAAGTACATTTGTCTTCTCTCCAGCATTGTAGCCAGCAGCTGATCTTTTTCTTCATCACTGCTGCTTTCAGTCAATCAGCAAGCATGCAGTGCTCTTTCTTCATGCTATCCAGCCAGAGCCATAGATGGATAAACAAGAAAGTGGGGATAGTGAAGAGGAAGCAAGCTCTTGTCCGCAATCCCCTGCTTCACCCTGGCTGCAGCATTAGCATGGAGAGTAACCAGTGCTTGGGAAGTCCTTTGGCCAGTAATGCCAATTTCCCAAGCTCTGGAAACAGCCACATCACCTCTTTATTCCCATGTGGCTCCCTGTTTCAAACTTAAGCAGTGCAGCATGTGGAAATGGCAATCACTCAACACAGGCAACACAAAACTCAGCACTTGATCTCTAATCTATATTGTAGAGAAAATAGTAATGAGCTGTTTTCAAAATAACTGGCTCATCTGATCCCTCTTGTAGTACGTCCTGATTACCAAAGTACAGCAAACAGGGGACACCATGCAGAGCCACCGCAGCAAGATGAGGAATTGCAATACCAATAAATAAACTCAAAAGGTCTCAGGAAAATATGTGGGTTCTCACAAATTACATATCATTAGAGGTTGATTGGATATGGGGGTTAGGACCTCTATTCTAGCATCAAGTATCAACTCTCCAAGAAGAATTCTACCTAAGATTACTTCATGTAATGACTATGATGACTTGAGCGTGAAACAGAGCGTGAGTCCCCCCTCAGGGAGATAGGATGAGTTACAAATTAAGTCTTATTATTATTCTAAATACAGGTGAAAAATTAAGTTCAAGACTGCTGATGGAGAAAATAAGCTCTTGAATGCTAACAGAAATCCACAACCCCCAAATTAGTTATTCCTTAGTTATACTGATTGATATAGTTGTTATTGTTATTGTGTGCCTTCAAGGTGTTTCTGACTTATGACATCTTAGATTAGTTCAGAAGGAGTTTGCCATTAATTTCTAGTGTGATACGTATGGGTGTCTAACAATAACATTAGAAAGACACTTGGCAACTCAAGCTTATGATGGAGAGTATTGGAACATCCTACTGTGTTTATTTTGACATGCTGAGAAAACTAAATTGTAAGATTTCTTCATACCCCTACTGGGCTGATGCATCCTATCTCTGGATGAGTATTTTACAAAAACGAATAACAAAACCCTGGTGCAATGACTGCACACAACCCAACAACAAAGCCTTTATCAAACTGGACATACATAAGCAATAAGCCACATAATACTTCATTCTAGTATTATACAGCATTCCCTGTTTATAAAATGGCTACCATATTTGGGAGACATTTTCTAATATGGTTTGTTATCATGCTCTTGGCTACTCCCTGATGTCCCCCCATCCTAGTTTTATTTTACAGAACTGTATGGAGGAATTTTGCTCGAAGGTACTTCATATTCAGTCTGGAGGCAATTTCTCAGTGTTTTCTGAGCCTTCTGGGTTGTTTGAGGTCCAAGAGAGGCCTTTTTCAATCAGGAAGCTAACCCAAAGGCAATTGTAGATGTGCAACCAGAATGGGTTTGTGATGCTGCTGGTGGAATTGTTATTTACCTTTCCTATGAACCACCATTTTAGTCAGCACCATTTTCTCATAAAATTGGATGGGGATATATTATCGAAGGATTTCATGGCTGGAATCACTGGGCTGTTGTGAGTTTTCTGGGCTGTATGGCTATGGTCCAGAAGAGATTGCTTCCAGAACATGGCCATACAGCCCAGAAAACTCACAACAACCTTTGGATGGGGATTATGAAAGCTGTAGCCCAATGGACCTGGAGGGAACCACTGCAGAATAGCAAAGAAATTCGCTATAGTGTGATCTCCTACCTATGGATCTCAATGAATTCTGGTCAAGTCATTCCACTCTAAAGATCATCCTTGTTTCCACATACATGTAGAGATTTCCCATAATTTTATCAGGGACAAATTAGACATTGGAGGGAATATGCATATCCTACAATTAATCTGTTTTCCCTCCAAGAACATGATTTTCTCAGAGATACATCCCTCAACAATCAGGCTTGTAAATTAAGCTCATATTTACTTTCTAACTACCATCACAAAACAACAAGACATATTAAATGTAAGATACACATGTGAAGAAAAACGTATGCTATGACAAACAGAGATATTTCATTACTGCAGAAATGTGCTAAATATATAATCTAGTTTGATCTTCAATAGATATTTTAGGGGTTAATCTTTCTTCTCATTTCTCACATCTTGCTGTCTATTTGTGCCTTGTGGAGTTTGTAGAGTTGCCCCTGAATAGCTCAACAAAACGTTGCTAGCCCATCTGAAGAAGCTGTTATCACAAGACAACACCTTCCAAGAAAGCCTCCCAAACTATATCATTTCCTGTTTGTCTTTCACACACCAGTGCCTTTCCATACTCCCCCTGCTCCCATCACGCTCAGCCCAGCTGGTCATGCATCTTGCATCAGCTCACAGCTAGCTAAAAGTGCCTCTGTGCCAGTGCTAGGTGCAGGGGATGGGATTTCAGCATGGGCGAGAGGGGCCAGCATGTTTTGCGGAGATGTCCAAAAGAAAAAAGTACAGCAGTAGCAAAACAGAAAGAAAACCCAGCCAACAAAAGAAACCAAATGTTTATGAGAAGGAGAAATAAAAGACAATGCTGTTTTAAGAAGAAGAAAAGAGAAACTCAAACAGAAAAACCTAAGTAACAAAATGGAACAAAAAAGAAGCCCAACAAAGCTGAAGAAGACAGAGAGAGAAGCCAGTGTATTTCAGTTGGTGGAAGGACGTTCACTATGTAGCATTGTTAACCACAATGCTGACTTGGGTGGGAGTGAGAGTGCACCAAGGAGCAGGTAAAGAAAAATAAATGGGGAAGGGAACAAATAATACCTAGGCATATCCGAATCAAGAAACTGCCTGCAAAAACACAAACAATCACATGGTTAGTGTGGTCCAAATGGGTGGCGGCAGCAGCAGCAGCGGCAGCAGTTTCATAACGCAGCTCTTCAAAAGCTCAGAGCCTACAATCAGCACCCTTCTGCGTTCCAGCAGGCCACACAAAGCTGCAGAAGAAAACCGCTAAGTTCTGAAATCATTCAGATAAGGGTACAAACATACTGGTGTGTGAGTGAGCAGCAGTCTGGTGCTGGAAGCAACTATCTGGTCACAGATGGCATATTGACTCTGGACTCAGAAGACATGTGTTCTCTTTTTAGTAAGTCAAGTTCCCTAGACACCATTATTTTGAGGAAGACTAATTTTCCTCAATGAAGGATTAGCCTAAAAGGAGTGGCCTTTGGAGGGATATGTAAATGTTCACTTCATTCTTGTGTGCAAGAAAGAATACTTTATTCCTGAATTTTTGCTAGTTTTTAAAAGATTTCTTTGGGAAAACTAATGTAAACCCAACATGTTTGCACCAAAAAATATATTTGCTCAAAATACCATCTTTTTAATTTTCCAACAAAGATCCTCAAATGCAAACTCCAAAAAACATTGTGACAATTTACAATTTCCTTAGTATGTTAAGCAACCCTTCTTCATGAAGAATGGGAAAACCTGCCAGTATGCTTTGCATCTCTACCATTTTAACGCTGAGACAGAAAGCATTTGATGCCAGTATGGCTTTCTTCAGCTGCCTGGAACCTCCCAACAGGCTTCAGAAGGCCTAACTGAGCCACTGATGGCATCCTGTCCAATTTAAGGGATCATAAATTCTGAAATGATTAGGCTTAATGCCATATTACATAATATTAAGAGTTATTTTCCTTGTTTATGGAAATTACACTAATTATCTTTCCTTGTGTATGACATCTTCAATAGACTCAAGATAAAGGGAAGAAACCAAAAGAGGTAGTTGCCTAGTCTTTGGGAAAGCAGCTTAATAACACGTAATAGCAAAGCTGAGAGCCAAAGCAGCACATTCGCGTAGTGGGTCAGGCATGATCCTGCACATAAGCTCTTCTCACTCCAGCAGCATCAAGACCCAAAGCAAGCCCCCAAAGCCCATGCAAAATTGAAGAGTGGGGCATCAGGAATTTCCCATAGTCTTCCTCAGTCGCCGTAGGAGATTTACCCTTCATTTTCGTCTTTCAGCTGCTGAATCTGCCAGTGCTTTCTGACAGTTATGTGGTGTCAGCCTACACCTCAGTTTTCATCCACGCAGGCAGCTAGGCAGAGGGCTCATACACCATGAATAGGAAATACCAAACATGAAACCTTTTGTGTATTTCATCACTACTCTTTCCACACTTCCCTGGCAAGTGTCTTATAGTCTGGGATAGACCTTTTTATGATATTGTTCTTCATATTTTGCGATTTAGAACTCTGACTTTCATGATGGATGTTGCGTAAGACCCTATATTTGGTAGAGAATTGTGAATAAACTGTTATATAGATGTTATAAAATAGGACTGGAAATAAATACGTGCTTAACCAATATTGTAATACTTGGTTTGAAAAGTCATGCTTATGTCTCTTGGTAAAAGCAGTTGAGCTTTCATAAGAAAGCATCAGAAAGACAACTCACAGAAAATGCAGTCAAGCAGCCTTCCAGATGTACTGAACTACATCACTGCTGAATGTATGATCTCATCTTAGTCCGTTCATGAGCTGTGGTGGCGCAATGGGTTAAACCTTTGTGCCGGCTGAACTGCTGACCTGTTGACCTGAAGGTTGGCGGTTCAAATCCGTGAAACGGGGTAAGCTCCTGTCTGTCAGGCCTAGCTTCCCATGCAGGGACATGAGGGAAGCCTCCCACAGGATGGTAACACATCCAGGTGTCCCTTGGGCAACATCCTTGCAGACGGCTGATTATCTCACACCAGAAGCAACTTGAAGTACATTCTCAATTCACTTCTGATACAATAAAAAAGTCAATTCATCTTTTATTTCAGCCTTTCACTTCTTTTCACACAGTAAACTGAGCACACTAACACACTGCTTTGTTCATCTGTACTATTCCCTGTCATTGTTTCATGATTTCCCACCTCACTCGTATCAACTTGTGATGAGTGGACATTTGTTGACGATCTGGGCAAATTACGTATATTAAATATTTGGATGGAAGTGAATACTGAAATATGTACTTGAAATGATTCCGTAATAATTACTCTGACATCTGTAAGTGACACTGAAGCGGGGAATGGTCATCTCCATAAAAAGCAATGCAAACAAGAGTGGGATTTCTATTTGCCTGCATACTACATTCCTAACATGGTGACATTATTACACAATCCACCATGTGAAAAAAAAATGCCACAGTGCATTGCTATCTGCTGGATTCATCCCCCAGTGATTATGTCTTTCGTACACACATTGCTAACCAAGCCCCAAGGAGAATGGAAAGATTTTCAAACATCTGCTATTAGTTCCTAAATTTATGCTCTCTCTCTCTCAACAAGAAGAAAATAGCAGTAGTTTACTTCTGAGATGTTCCTAAAGATATGACTGAGTGAATGGGGGCATCCAGCAGAGCTAACCATAGGGGCTATGACGTTTATCATCATAGAAGACAGGCAATCATGGCATAGCAGAACAGTCTGTCAGATACTGTTATGCTGCTGCTCTGGAACATGCATTTGACCACACAGAATAGATTGTCTAAGAGGCTATTATTCTTCCACAGCAGGAAAAGCTACTAGCCCTTCTCCTCTCTCGTAGTTTAAAATGGCCCTTACTGTGTGTTGGGAAAAGATATCTGAAGGCCTATTCTAATGAGACAGCACGTTTGTTACTACAGTACAAGCAGAGGAGCACCATCCCAATGTCAAATTCAAGAATCTAATGCATATGGGAGATGCTATCTCTCGGTGTTCAAGCACTGTTTTCCAAGTTCGGGTCAACCCATACTGTTTCCAATCAGAAGAATCCATCAACCTGGAATCCTGAACTTCTTCTGCCTGTGAGACCAGCAATACTGGATCAAGTGGACAAATAGCTTGACCTGGCAGCTTCAGATTGATATGTCTCCAATCTTTTGCAAGTTGTGTGATGGACATAATGAATGTTAATGGTCAAAGTCAAACATGTTTGCGAATCTTGAAAAATGTCAACTATCTGGCTTGTAAACATATAATCAGAGGCTTTTCCTCTGTTATATACTTCCATACTTGGCCCATTGGCTGTGCTACAGAAAGAGGGTGAGGCTTAAGAAGAAAGGCCTGTCCACCCACTAGGCCCATACATCCCCACAGAAAGACCTATAGGGAAATTATGTTTCCCCCCCGGTTAGATGAGGACAGCATGCTAGGAAACTGTTCATTCGGACTCACCGATCATCTTGGGAGGGACAGATATATCCTGATGAGAGAATGTTCAGGGAGAGAATGTTGGGATCAATGAGGGATTCATCTCCTTCTGGGGTGTTTCGTATCCGGCCTGCAGGCAGAAAATACCACATTTTTTTGCCGGTGTGAACACACACTAACACTTCCCTCTAGCATGACAAGACGAATATCCCCAGGGCAAAAAAGTTTGCAAAAAGCCTGCTATGACACCACTCTATTCATGGAAGAACAAACCATTGCACATCATTTTGATTTGACTAGCTATTAAAATTGACTTTCAGAGTCAAGGAAATCACCTTGAGAAAGCCTTCAACAAAAAGCTGTTGCTTATCAACATAGCAGAAATGAAGCTCAGATTGGCTTTTATTGCACTGCAAATGACTCTCAGATGCCCTGTATACCTGAACTATCAATCACAACAATCTTCAATCACTTGAGAGCTTATTTTCCTGTTTTTGACTCTTGGAATATAGCATTTGTTTCCACAAGCCTTACTTTTTTTTAGAAACGTGGATCTACTCAGCTCAGACAACTGGACTGGCAACACACAAATTTTGCTTACCTACAACTAGCTCCCGCACTTCCTTCCAGCGGATGTGGCTCCCTGTCTCATGCACCAAGGTGACTGTGATCCTCCTCTGGATGCCCTGCCATCCAATGTGCCCAAAGAGAAAGGGGACAGTGATTAATAAACCTGTAAGAAGACAATGGTTACCTACCGAGCAAAACTTTTGCTTTTCTCAAAATGAGACATAAGTGATCAGGGCAAAAACTCTGGTTGAAGGAAAGAGGAGGAGAGGGATCCCACTGCAGATGACCTTTACAAACAAGATTTAAAAAAACAGTGCAATTCTTACAGTGCCTTCTCCCTCAGCAAGTGCTTTGCCAAAATAAAGGAATGAAATGGAATGTATTGTTAATACAAATCATCTCCTTTAACAGTTCTACTGTAAGGGAGGCAGACAACAGTGCAGAGCTCAGCAGAATTTCCCTTTCTCTTCTCTTGATAGAGCATAGTCTCAGTTAGAAAATCAATATGATTGCAGGAATTGCACTCTCAAAGCCTCACTGTCACAAAACATAAGGGTCAAGAACACAATATCACAAAATCCATAAGAGTTGTAGGGGTAGGGGCATGGAAGGAAGGCCAGAAAATACCTGGTGCAGTAAGAAGGTCCCATGGCAGGGCATTCCTCCCCGGTGATCCACAACAGCAGGAATGTAGCTGGGGAAAAAATGCCAGTGAGACAGGACAGAAAATATCCACACCTCAGGGCCCCAGAAACAAGGCAGGGGAAATTGTTGTGATTGCCATCTGTACTGTCCACAGAACCACATTGAGGGCATTTTTTGGCTTAGCACTACATCAAATATATAACCATCATATGTTATTCTCATAGTTATGGCTTTGAGCAAAGGTTAACTTCTGTTTTTGAGAAACGGATACTTAAATTGTTTGGGATGCAGAGTGACTTTATTAATTAATTAAAATATTTATATCCTATACTATAATGGGTATTTATATCCTGTCCTATAATGTAATGTTTTAAATATCTAATATGTATTAATTTTAACTTTAATTTTAATATAACTGTTCATTGGAATTGTATGTCACTTTAAGGCATTGAATAATCGCCTATATGTAAGCTGCCTTGAGTCCCCTCTGGGGTTGAGAAAGGCAGGGTATAAATAGGGTAAATAAATAAATAAATAAGGATCTCAGAAAAATGTAGAATAAAATTGGTTCAGGACAATTTAAAATAACAGCAACAATGTTAAAAGTCTATAAATATATGAAATCACTTATCACTTAAACCAATTTACAACCAGTGAATAGTGGAATGGCTGCTCCTGCAGATTTCTAGGGTGGGGGATTCATCCTTTGTTTTGAATATGGAGAAAATGATTATAGGAGTACAGTGTTCACTCATGGGTGTTACGTTCCAGGACCACCCGTGAAAAGTGAAAATCCATGAAGTAGGGTGAGGCAAAAGCGAGGAGAGACTTAAAGGCACATCACACTTTTTTTGGCTAGCTATAAGGAAGGAGCTATAAGGCCGTGATTTACATATTGCTTTGTATCTCCAATCTCTCTTTGGATTGGATTTTGCCAGGAGGCAAAAACCCATGAAACAGTCCGCAAAAAGCGAACTACAAAGTAGCAAGGGAACACTGTATGTAGGAGCTGTGAACCACTAAAACAGCCCTGTGTGCCTGGACTTTGACCACTTATGGAGCAGACAGGACTAAGGCAGAGGAAATAACAGTCTAACTGAGCACAAAACAGCTCCAACTTTCAAAAATAACTTTGTTAATGCAGCTTCTAGAACCCCCCAGCTAGCATCTTACTTCTTCAAGCTCAGTTTCACTAGGTAGCTTGAAAATGAACCAAATAAACAGGCTTCAGAGAGATGCCATCTGTCCACAAAAGGCTCATCTAATGGACTTCAACTTTGAATGCTTTAATAAGTATGGTGAAAACATTTTCACTGCGTGACTCTGTTAATCACAGCTCTTGGAGCAGAAACAGAGATATGCCTTAGCCCAGCCTTCCATCAGTTGAAAGGATCACTTACTCGCCATTGGCCTCCAGCTCGCAGATCTCAAAGAAGACCATCAGATCATACTTGCACTGGCAGGGGCCCACACTGGGCCTCGTCATGGCACTCAGTTTGGTCGCAGGCACTGCAGAGGAGATATGGTGCAATTATAGGTTGAAGACATTGATTAATTATCTAAGTTTGGCATTCAAGTTCACTCCATGACAGAGAAGGGGGAAAGATAGCCAGATCCGCCTGCTGTGACTATTTAAGAATCAAACTGTGCCCTGCATTAAATGTGAAGCTAATACCTAAAAGATATCTCCCTCTTTTTAAAAAAAATGGTGCATTGATCCAAGTTGAATCACTGCAGGATATAAAAGGAAACAAACGACTGGATTGTTCATTCTTGTTCATTCTGTTTGAATGAACAAGAATATGGCTGAGGGGTTAGCTTTCCCATCCTAGAATGTAAATCTAAATAGAACTAAAGAACTAGTAGTGATCTAAGCCAGTGGTTCTCAGCCTGTGGGTCCCCGGATGTTTTGGCATTCAATTCCCAGAAATCCTAACAGCTGGTTAACTGGCTGGGATTTCTGGGAGTTGTAGGCCAAAACACCTGGGGACCCGCAGTCTGGGAACCACTGCTCCAAGCACTACTCTCTGGTTCAAAAGCTGAGAGCTATTCTGCATGCGTAAACCGTTGTTGTTGTTGTTGTTGTTGTTGTTGTTGTTGTTGTTGTTGTATGCTTTTAAGTAGTTTCTGATTTATGGTGACCCCAATGTGAACTTATTATGGAGTTTTATGAGGATGAGAGTCTGTGACTTACCCAAGGACATCTAGTGGGGAATTGAACCTTGGTCTCCAGAATCATAGTCCAAAACTCAAACCATTATATGAGCTGGTTCTCAGAGTTCCGAAATTGTGTTTTTGTTATATGGCAAAAGTAGTATTTCATTTAATATTATGTTACTACAACTTCTCAAAAAGTTTTTAAAAAATGCTTTCAGACTTTGTGCAGAATGCAAAATTAAGGAAAAATATTGGAAATAAAAACCCTCTGGCTCCAAAATACCACACACTTGTCCTGGAGAACCTAGAAAATGCCTAATGGAGATTTTTTTTCACTTGCAGATAAATAAAACCACAGATACTGGCTCTGCAGATATGGGAGGCATACTCTAATCCAGAACAACAGAAATGTTATTTGGAGATTATATCTCCGAGGAACTTGTTTTACTTATATTCTGTTGCTTATGTTATTCCTTAAGGTTCTGTGCAAAATGATGACATTATTACAAATTAGTGTCCCTATCTCTATTTGCTTTTTAAAGTGAAAGGAATGTGACAGCTGAACAGATAAAACATAGTAGACGGAGATAGCAAGAAAAACATGCAGAGGGCACAGCATTCAGCATAGTGGAATGTCCACTGACTCAGGGATCATCAACCCATAGTGGAATCATGTATACTGCAAATTCATTGAAACTTTCAAACAGAGTGAATATGGGCATGAGATAGAAAGGCATGTTGTACCCTATCTAGTTCTCTCAAGCCCTAGCTGGATACATTTCCAAGAAAGACCCACCTCCCATTCAAGAACCCTGTGTCAGTGTTTCCCCACAGTTTTATCCAGAAGACCAACCAGGCTTCTGAGCTTTTCTCACAACACAGTTCATAACGGACATAGATGTTGCAGGCCTTGGTTCCTTCCCCTCGTTTACGAGGAAGGAGGAGGCAGTGCTGGCCGCTGACAACATTTGCCCAGAGAATACTTCCTCAAGTTGACTTGCAATCACATGGGACACCAGACCCTTAAATTTCTGAAGGGCTTCATTATGTTCTTCACATGTGGCATGGAGAGACAAACAGGGGGCAAGACAAAATGAAACAATTGTGCCCAGATACATGAAGCTAAAGCAAAATGCATGAAAGACATAAGTAATCAGGAACTGGCAAGGTGGAAGTGACATATAACCCATATTTGTTTAGTTGAATATTATAGATGTAATCCATAGTGTTTAGGTGTAGGTAAATGTATTTTATTTTTTACATTTGTTTTATTGTTGTTTTGTAAACATGTATATATTGATTGTAGTTTTATGTAGCTGAAAATGTATAATAAGTTGTTGAAGGCTTTCATGGCTGGAATCACTGGGTTGCTGTGAGTTTTTCAAGCTGTATGGCCATGCAGCAAAAGCATTCAATGCTAATCAAGCTTGCCAATGGCAACATTCACACCTACCTCAAACAGACAAGAGTTTTTTCTCCCACACTGAAAATTACACAAACCCCTATTGACTGGTTTATAACAGAACTCACAACCTCTGAGGATGCCTGCCATAGATGTAAGCAAAACATCAAGAAAGAATGCTTCTGGAACATGGCCATACAGCCTGGAAAACTCACAGCAACACAGTGAAAAAGTATATGTTAATTTTTTTTAAAGAAGAAAGACATACATAACTTAATCATTGTCTGAAAATATTGCTCTAGTTTCAAAAATATTGTGTGCTGTTTGAATATATAAGCTTCAAAGAGACCAACCAATCTTTGGTCATTCTCAGCTGAAAATGAGGTGGAAATTGGGAAGGAAGATGCAACAGTTAGACTTATCTTCAGTTCTTCTCTCCAAAATCATCTCTCATACATGTATTTGGACAAGGAAATCAGAGTGTCAGTTAAATTGAAATTAAATATGCTGACAGTTCTGTTCTGCTTGCATTACAGATAGCAAGTATCATGTCTTGTTGCTTGTGATGTTATGTGGAACCCATGATATCAATGCAACCTCTTGTTTTCCTATCAAAACATAGGAAATAGTTCTCATATTGTTTCTGTGTTTGGAAACTATATACACAATCCTGGCAGAGAAATGTGTTATGGGGGTTTAAAGTTGTTTTTAATTTTAATTTTCTTATTTTTAGCTACTTCAGACATTATTTTATGGCAGAAAGGCAAGGTGTAATAAGATGAAATTACTCACCTATATTATTTTCTCTATTTTTGTTAAAAGTAATTTAAAACTGTCTTTTATCCTAATGGATGGCAGAGTGCATACAAAAAGCAATACTAAAGCAAGCCATGGATACGAAACAATAAAACTCTTAAAATCACAATAAAACAAATCAAAGACATTCTAACACACAAGGAAACAAATAATCTTGAAATCTAGAAAGCAGCTAGCTTTAAAAAGCGTCAAATGAATATACAAACATTTATTATGCTTAGTGTCCAAGAACACAAAACATTTACACAAGTAAACTCTGGTTCATCATTCGTTATACTATTCCAAGTTACTATGTATTATGTTGCTTTTGTATTATGTAACTCTTAGTTATGATTTGTTAGTGTACTATGTGTAACCCTCTAAAACAGGCATGGGTAAACTTTGGCCCTCCAGGTGTTTTGGACTTCAACTCCCACAATTCCTAATAGCCTCAGGTCCCTTCCTTTCCCCTCTCAGCTGCTTAAGCTGAATGGGAAAAGGAAAGGGCCTGAGGCTGTTAGGAATTGGGGGAGTTGAAGTCCAAAACACCTGGAGAGCCAAAGTTTGCCCAGGTCTGCCCTAAGAATTATCATTGCATTAAGCAGTATGTAAATATTCTTTACAAATGATTAAAACACTTTCTGTCAAAAATGTAAGCTCTCTCCAGACCAGAATTGTACAAATTCCTAAGCCAGCAACCATGTTGCTGGAAAACATTCCTACTCGCTTTCTGGGTTTGTTTCAATTGATGTAGCAAACCAGGTTTTTCCTGATTTGCTACATTTTTGCTATGATTGCAACTCTTCCCAGACAGATACAACAGTTTTGTAGGAACAGGCCACTTTCCCCAAACTCCCATCTTTCGAATTCCTATGTTTCCATTAAGACTCAAACTAAATGAAGAGGAATCTCTCTCCTACCTGGTTTGGATAATGGCATGACCCGAGGGAAATGGCGCCGGGATGGTCTTAGGGGGCTGAAAAGACAAAGGGGAAAAATTAAAGAAGGAGAACTCAATGAAGAACATTTATAACTGTAGACTCATTAAATGGTCTCTATAAGGAACTCTAACAGGTGAATATGAGTGGGGTAGGACTTGAACATGTGCAATAAGGCAAGAAGAACTTCTGCAACTCTTCATTTGCCCAAGAAACTATAACCAAGATTACATCATTGATGTTTTGTCAGTGGCTGGTTTTGCCAGTTTGCATGACATTTCAATGCAGTAACCAAATTAACGATCAAGCTTTTTTTTTTGTTGTTGTGTCAGGAGCGTCGCTTCTGGTGTGAGAAAATTGGCCATCTGTAAGGACGTTGCCCAGGGGACGCCTGGATGATTTGATGTTTTTATCATCCTTGTGGGAGGCTTCTCTCATGTCCCCGCATGAGGAGCTGAAGCTGATAGAGGGAGCTCATCCGCCTCTCCCCAGATTCGAACCTGCGACCTGTCAGTCTTCAGTCCTGCCGGCTCAGGGGTTTAACCCACTGCACCACCGGGGGCTCCAACGATCAAGCTAAGACCTACTGAAACAATGTAAATGAAGGTACACAAAATACATTCAGCCATGGCCCAGGCCCTTTGAAACCTCAAGATAATACCAGTGGAGAGACTTCCAATAATTTTGTTGCTGTTGTCACATGTATCAAGAAAAGACACATGTTTTACACTATATTGCCATTTTAAAAAGTTAGCAAAAGAGTGTGCTTATGGGAATGCTGATTCTTATTAAGGTGACTCTTACCTAAGGACATCCTTGCAGAGAGGTGGAAAAGGATGCTGCTGATAGTGTCCAAATACTTCAAAAACAATTGGCTGGCTTTTAATGTATTCAATGAAAGATTTGGTGACCTCCACTGCAATCTGAGTGAACAGCAAGAGATAAGAACAAAATAAAACACATCACTTGAAATCAGAATAAAGACACATAAAATCTGATAGAATATTTATAACTTCCGGTGCGTTTAGTAGGATCTGCTACTGAATACGCATGCCCAGTGTGGAAAACATCTCACCACCTTAAACGGTGGATGTGGTCCTTAATGAGACATGCCGCATTATCACAGAATGTCTACGCCTTACATCACTGGAGAAATTATACTGTTTAGCCAGTTTTGCATCACCTGACATCCGTCAGGAAGTAACAGCCTGTAATGAAAGAACCATTGACATCTCTGGTCCATCCTCTGTTCAGATATCAGCTAGCATACCAATGCCTTCAATCAAGAAACAGCACCCTAAGATCCACAGAAACACAGCAAGCGAGAGTCCAAAAGTGGCAGGCTAAAACCCTGATATCACAGCAGGTTTTTCATTTTCTTGCCTACTAAGAAAGCAATGCTTTGCATTCCTGCACTGGTGTGATATCTTAAATTTACTGCATCAGCAGAATGACACAGCACATGCCATGCTGCTGTACAATTACACTCATTCTAAAAACTTACTTGTTACTGCAGTACATAGAATAATATAGAACAACAAAGTTATAATACAAGGTATAGATCATATTAGAACATCTATAACAAAGCACATGCCCTATCCTACCAGTTTTTTGGCTTTAGTGTCAAATATTGGCAACCACTGCCATTTTTGATTTCAACTCACACAAAGCAAGGAGCTACTGAATTCCTAACACAAAAGGCTGTTATATCCATGTTATAAGAAATGTTCTCTAAGTCGAAAACAATCTACTTTTTTATAACCTCATTATTAGTCATACTGTTGTAATCATGCTATTAATACCATCATGCTATTAATACTGTCTCTATGACAATCTGTCCTTTCAGACATTATATTTTTTCTTAGTGAAGGTTCTTCATGTAACCTTTCTAGTTGGAAATAGATCTGAACTTATACTAACGTTTTGAACATGATAGAAGCCAAGAGGTGGGCCTCGACCAGTATTCTTCAAAGGCTCTGTGGAGAAGGCCTCATCATGGCGGTGGATAAAGCTGTGCAGGGAAAAGAATCAATGTTTACTATTGTTTAAAATATAGTTATATATTTAACTCAAGAGAAGCTTGCTATTTATTATTATTATTTGATACACAACAAGATCACTATGCTGGCTGTTGTATTGGATCACAAGTCAGACACTTCCAAAGTGTCTAGGACTATGTGATGTATCAGCAAACAATGCATGCAGATTCGAGTAGGGTGGCCTTTTGCAGTTGACAGATTATAATTTTATCAGCACAGATTGTTTTTAAGTGATGGCCAAGGTCTTTAGGCACTGTACCCAATGTGCCAATCACCATTGGGACCACCTTTACTGACTTGTGCAGAGCCTTTGGAGTTCAATCTTTAAATCCTCGTATCGTGTCAGCTTTAGCAGTTGCTATTATTTTTATTATTTGATACATAACAAGATTAGTACACAACAAACAAGATTACTACGCTGGTTTTTGTATTTGATCACATGTTGGACACTTTCCAAGTGTCTAGGACTGTGTGATGTATCAGCGAATAATGCATACAGATCTGAGTAGGGTGGCCTTTTGCAGCCATCAGATGGTTGTTTTTGTTTTTGTTGTTGTTAGGTTTATTTATATCCCGCTTTATCTCTCCCAAAGGAGACTCCAAACAGCTTACAATTAAAAGTATGACCATATAATTGAAAATATCCAAATATGAAAACATAAAAACAAAATTAAACATAACAATATTAAAATGGAGTTTAAATCCATTAAAACATATTCAAAGCGAAAAATAATAGCACCCCCTGATTATTATTCTCACATTATTTTATGTATGTACAATATACTATTTTTTTTACATAAACAGAAGCTGACTTAGGATTTTTTTGCTCAACTGGATTTCCTTTACAATGTGTGCATAAGATTATTTTAAGGACACCATACTTTGGAAGTAAGCCTATGGGAGGATGGACACTTCTCTGTGAAAATCCTTAACACTAGCTTTTTGTTGACCTTCTTTCATAAGAGCTCACCATGACGGCATACACAGAAGCCAACATAGCTATGTTCTAATTTCTACCCTTTATACTTTAAAAAACGGAATCCACTTAATCAGGTAAGAACTACTTCTCTCAAATTCAGATCTTTCACACATAAAAGGTGAAATAGCTAGTAGATTACAAAGGGAAATGGGTAAATATGAAACAAGAGAAATAAGGACTATATCTCACTTAAACTGGCAGAAGATGTCTGCATATTCTGCTGAAATACTGGAGGCCTGCAGAACAGTCACCCGGAAAGTGAAAATGCTTCCCAGTTTCAAGTGTTCCAAAGCTGTTTCGAAAGGCCCATCAACAGCAGACTTCTCTGAACTGTCCAGAAGATCTTCAGGAGTGGCTGCAGAAAATGAATGTAATAATGTATAATAATGAAAATAATAATATATACAACACTTCTTCACTAGAATAAAGACTACACTGATTTGGGTCGGTGTGTGATTGGATCAGTCCTGTGGTTGTAAAATGTGACACAAAGTTAATACAGTGTAACCTTGCCCCAGGCAAAGCTAAATTAAGGGAAAAAATGAATCCTGACTCACTTTTGGGATTTTCCCTGGTGTTTGTGGCTGTCAAGATACCTGAGCCAGTTTCTAAACTGCCATCCAGTGCTTCTTGGGCTCTGGTGGCCTGGAGACTCAGGATGGAAGTTGTCTCACCCATGTCTCTTGCAGCTGGAACTCAAGTCTGCATTAGTAGTTAGTGTAGTAAGGTAAAGATTTCCCCTGACATTAAGTCCAGTGTGTCTGACTCTGGGGGTTGGTGCTCATCTCCATTTCTAAGCCGGAGAGCCGGCATTGTCTGTAGACACCTCCAAGGTCATGTGGCCAACAGATAAGGGATGTTGTTGTTGTTCAATCGTTCAGTCGTCTCCGACTCTTCGTGACCTCATGGACCAGCCCACGCCAGAGCTCCCTGTCGGCCGTCACCACCCCCAGCTCCTTCAAGGTCAGTCCAGTCACTTCAAGGATGCCATCCATCCATCTTGCCCTTGTTCGGCCCCTCTTCCTTTTGCCTTCCACTTTCCCCAGCATCATTGTCTTCTCTAGGCTTTCCTGTCTCCTCATGATGTGGCCAAAGTACTTCAACTTTGTCTCTAGTATCTTTCCCTCCAGTGAGCAGTCGGGCTTTATTTCCTGGAGGATGGACTGGTTGGATCTTCTCGCAGTCCAAGGCACTCTCAGCACTCAGAGCGCCATTAGTGTAGTGTAAAAATAGTTAGTTTAGAAGGCCTTTATGTTTCCTATCCTGTGGAACACATGATGTACTAAGAAGCAAAGGAAGTGCTAGGTATTGAAGGAAACAGCTTTTTAATTCAATCACCAGGTCTTTCCATATAAAAATGGCCAAATGATTGCATCAGCTTGATAATGCTGAATCTGCAAAGGACAAACTACTCGTGATGTATAATTTAAACCTCATATGCTAAAAGCATCATGTGTGCATGAGATAATGCACTCCATGCCATTATCTGGTGACTATGAATATATCCAGCTGGCAAACAATCTTACATTTAACTTTATAACCTGAAAAGGAATTTCAACATACATGATGCCTTACTAGCCTGATAGTCCTTTTCATTGTGAATACTGTATAAGCTTTCTTTTTATACTTCGCTTATTGAGCACATAGGATATTTTTTTTTCCAAGGAAAGGTGGGGAAAGCAGGTTTGTTTCAATTTATTCACTGGCACAGCAGGTGGATTCTATTAGTTTCCTCCCCATCACTCTTTGTTCAAGGCTACACATAATAGATAGTAGACTTTGCCACTAAAGAGAATGAAAAGAAAATATCCTGTTGCCTTATTTGTAAGAAGTGTACCAGCTTTGCCTCCAAAATGTTATATGTAACATTACCTTCTCTATCAAGTTTAAGATTGTTTTACAGGTTAAGCTACCTGTTTTTCCAAGTTCTGGGTTGTTTTATTGGTATGTAATTTAGACTACACTAAACAAGATCGATAACAACTTACTTCTGATAAAAGAGAAAAAAGAACACAGAACTTAAATGCAGTAGTAAACCATACAAGTTTGGCTTCTTTTATCTTTCAGTAAAGACTGTGAACTTTATTACACTTGTTCCACTGCCTTCAACCATGCTACGAAGCTATAAATCTACTGGTTATATTAGCTTTTTCCAGCAAGGGCTCAATTTTTTAACTGTTATGCACAAAGTTATCAGTTTCTTTCCTTTTTTAAATCTAAAAATCCTTTCACCTGCACAAGTGTTGTTGTTGACTTCATCTGCTGAGGGGCCAATATCAGTTATCTGCCCCTGGCCCTCAACAATGCGCAGTTCCTCCTGTGAAGTTCCAGAGCGGGACATTCCCACCACAGGACAGGACTCAGACTGGAACTAAGAAAGAAAAGTATGAATTAGAAAAAAAAGATATATTGACTATGCTTATTAGTTTTCCCTTGTAGCAACGCATCTTCCCGTTCTTTTTTAACCATTTGACCAGGAAGATCCACTCCAAAGTTCAAGCAGCAGATCCAAGAAGAGAAGAATGAAGAGAAGCATGTGCTTTGTGTTTATATGTAGTAGTAGGAGACACTATTTTCTTGCTGAATAGTATGCACAATTTGGACACACCTCATAACCAGAAAACTACTGGTGTTGCTTGTGCCAGTTTCAACTTCAAACCAATTTGCTCTGCTTTCATGTTAGAACATGTAGTTAAGGTAAATAGAAACTATAAGGAATACACCTGTGTATCTTTTTGAGGGAAGGTCAAAGTATGTCAAAACAGCAGAGAGAGTAAGCTTTGTTGTCACTTAAAATGCATCTGAATTGACTTTTACCTACTCCATACTTTCCTACATTCTTCTAAAGTCCGAATCTGCTGAACACAGTTATTTAATAACTGATGACACATGGCCAATTTGCTTCAGCTCCTTGGAATGATGCTCCTTGGAATAATGCAGTACTTGTATTCATAGCATACCTTCTCAAAGTGTTGGTCATCAAAGGAAATTTTGGCTGTTCCCGACTGTCTCACTCCTGAACCATAATCTGGTGCTTCTTCATCCGCTAGAAACAGGAATACAGTTAAAGATTATAGCAAGCACCAAAGATCAATCCCTTTAAATGACAGAAAGTCAATGACAGACTCTTCAATACAATTTTTCAGCTGCAGATTTTTTCTTTACAAAAACCCAGTTACTACCTTATCACACTAGAGAATGAATCCACTTTAAATCTGGTTGCTGCCTCCTGCAGAATTCTAGAGTTTGAAGTTTGGGGAAGAGCCTTTAGAAGGCTCACTAAACTACAAACCATATCCATATCGGTGCACCTGGACACCTGACCTGTGTCATGGCCTAAGTTATTGCTAGGTTCTCCAATATGGCTCTGTGCTAATTTCTGATGGAAGTTTACCCTAGAATTGCCTGGAAAACTTAGAACAGAGGTATCAAACCCATTTTCACCAAGGGCCACATCAGCCTTATGGTTAATGTATTGTCGAAGGCTTTCATGGCTGGAATCACTATGTTCTTGTGGGTTTTTTCGGGCTATATGGCCATGTTCTAGAGGCATTTCTCCTGACGTTTCGCCTGCATCTATGGCAAGCATCCTCAGAGGTTGTGAGGTCTGTTGGAATAGGACAATGGGTTTATATATCTGTGGAATGGCTGGGGTTGGGCAAGGAGCTCTTCCCTGCTGCAGTTAGGTGTGAATGTTTAGCTGATCACCTTCATTAGCATTTGAAGGCCTGCCTGAGTCTGGGAAAATCTGTTGCTGGGAGGTGTTAATCTGTGCTTGGTTTTTTCCTCTCTGTTGTTTAGCTGTTATAATTTTGAGTTTTTTAATACTGGTAGCCAGATTTTGTTCATTTTCATGGTTTCTTCCTTTCTGTTGAAATTGTCCACATGCTTGTGGATTTCAATGGCTTCTCTGTGTAGTCTGACATGGTGGTTGTTAGAGTGGTCCAGCATTTCTGTGTTCTCAAATAACATGCTGTGTCCAGGTTGGTTCATCAGGTTCTCTGCTATGGCTGACTTCTCTGGTTGAAGTAGTCTGCAGTGCCTTTCATGCTCCTTGATTCGTGTCTGGGCAATGCTGCGTTTGGTGGTCCCTATGTAGACTTGTCCACAGCTGCATGGTATACGGTAGACTCCTGCAGAGGTGAGGGGATCCCTCTGAACGTAGCATTTGTTGGATTTTCTTAGTGGGTTTGTAGATTGTTTGTATGTTGTGTTTCCTCATCAGCTTCCCTATGCGGTCAGTGGTTCCCTTGATGTATGGCAGGAACACTTTTCCTCTGGGTGGATCTTCATCTTTACTCTCGTGGCTTGTTCTTGGTCTTGCAGCTCTTCTGATGTCTGAGGTGGAGTATCCATTGGCCTGGCGAGCCCAGTTGAGGTGGTTCAGTTCATCTTGGAGGAGGTGGGGTTCGCAGATTCTTTTTGCACGGTCTGCCAAGGCTTTAATGGTGCTTCTTTTTTGACTTGGGTGATGGTTGGAGTTTTTATGTAGGATATCTATCTGTGTGTGTGGGTTTTCTGTAGACGGTGTGACCCAATTGTTGATCTGGTTTGCGGATGACTAGGACATCTAGAAAAGGCAGTCTTCCTTCATTTTCTTTTTCCATGGTGAACTGGATGTTTGGGTGGATGCTGTTAAGATGGTCCAGGAACCTGTTGAGTTCTTCTTCTCCATGGCTCCAAATGGTGAAGGTGTCATCCACATATCTGAACCATATCATGGGCTTTTTGGTTGCTGTCTCCAGGGCTTGTTCTTCAAAGTGTTCCATGTAGAAGTTAGCTATGACCGGGCTGAGAGGGCTCCCCATAGCTACTCCATCTTTCTGTTCGTAGAATTCATTGTCCCACTGAAAGTAACTGGTGGTGAGGCAATGGTGAAACAGAGCTGTGATGTCTTCTGGGAACCTCTGGTTGATGAGTGCCATGGTGTCTGCTACCGGGACCATGGTAAATAGAGATACCACATCGAAGCTGATCAGTTTGTCGTTTGTATTTAGCTTGAGATTGCTGATTTTTTCTATAAGTGGGCTGAGTCCTTGATGTAGTGTGTAGTGAGCCCAATATGGCTTTGTAACTGTGCAGTAAGAAATTTTGCTAGGTCGTATGTGGGGGATCCAATGGCACTCACGATGGGTCTGAGTGGGGTGGAGTCCTTATGGATTTTTGGGAGTCCATAAAGCCTGGGTGGATGGGCTTCCGATTTACATAGCTGTTGTCGTATGTCAAAGTTTATGGAGGAGTTCTTAATCAGGGTGTTGGTTTTCTTGGTTATTTTGGCAGTTGGGTCTTGCTTGAGTTTTTTGTATATAGTAGGGTCCAGGAGTTTTCTGATCTTCTCCTTGTATTGTTCTGTATGTATGATAACTGTGGCATTCCCCTTGTCTGCTGGCAAAACGAGGATATCAGGATCTGAATTCAGTTCTCTGATGGCTTGTCTTTCCTTCCTAGTAATGTTACTGGAGGGAAGTTTTGCCTTTTTCAGGATCCTTGCTGTTTCTGCTCGTACTTCTTCTGCTTCCTCCTCGGGGAGGCGATAAATTGCTGATTCAACATTGGCAATGATGTTTTCTACTGGGATCCTGGTGGCGGTTACAGCAAAGTTTCCTCCTTTCGCTAGTATGGATACTTGGTCTTCAGAGAGTTGTCTGTCTGTCAGGTTGATGATGGTCCGTGATGTATCCAGTTCTGGTTTCGGCTGTTGCTTTTGGCGTTTGTGGAATTTTTGTTTTTGTCTGTTGGTGTGGACAGCCATGTTTTTCTCCATTTTCCTGTAAGTGAGGTTGTCTATTTTGTCCCAGTCCTGGGAATTCATCTTCTGGCTGATGTTGATATGGAGGTGCAGCAATTCCTTGTCTGTGTTTGCGAGTTCTTTGCGGATGGTGTGAATTCTCTCTCGTAAGAGGTTGCGTTCTAGGCGGTCATAGATCCGATGAGCCTGTGGTGTTTTGAAAGTCCTTTTGGCTGCGAGAAATTGTGGGATGGTATCTGTGTCTCTGCAGCATAGAAGGAAAGTCAGGGAGCACAGTAGATGTGCTTTCCTGGTCCTTAGTTTCTCCAATTTTCGTGTGTCTTGGAACAGTTTCTCCCCATAGAGATGTTCAATGTTCAGCCTTATGGTTGCTTTCCAAAGGGCAGTTGTAATTGTAAGACTGTATAAATGTAGCAACAATACCCTGTCATTGGAAGCCTTCTGGGTCACATAAAATGAAATGGTGGGCCAGATTTGTCTTATGGGCATTGCATTGTGAATTAGAACATTACCAGGGAGGGCCTATTTTGTTGGATGTGGGTAAGGAAAATGGTAACAGTGATTGTATTATCTCTTTCCTGGGGAGTAAAAATGCAATTGTAATTAATTAAGTGACTAGCAACTTGCTGCTCTTTCACAGTAGACAAAATCTACTCTTTAGAGGGACACCTTGCTCTCTTTAATGTTACAGTGAATCCTGGCCATCCCTGTGTGATGCACTAGTATACAAACAAAAAGGATTTCTTTCCTTGTTTCTTGAAGTGCTCACTCGGAGTCAAAGGATCCCCACATCACTACCTTCACCACTCTTTACCTGAGATGGCCTGAACTGCCACACGCAGGAATCCTTTCACTTCTCCCTTCTCACTGACGATGGCAACACGGTGGACCAGAGGCACCGGATACAACAAGTTGCTGAGATACACAAAAGCTCTGGAAACAAAAACAACATAAGAGAGTGATCACTGTGTCTCACATGGGAGCTTCTCCAAATACACTCCATAGCCGATGGCAGCTGGGACCACAGTTCACCGCTCACATCACAACATGGCGCTGCAAAGCAAAACTAAAGAAAGGCAGCCATGGCCAGCCGGACAGAGAGGGGAATTCAGCGTGCTTAGGACAGAGTTCCTGTACTGAGCCGTGAAGCGAAAGTGTAGAGAGTTAGTGAGCGCTAGCATAGCATACCTCTCGTTCTGTCATCATGGCTGAAGGGAAGGGAGGGGGGCTGCACTGGTGCAAGAAGGAAACTAGGAAAAGGACCTGTGGCAGGAGAGACTAGACAACTAGTACCCTGGGTGCTGTAAGTCGTCCAAGGTCCTGCTGCTGCATAATGCCAGGGTGAAGGGGACAGAAGAGAGGGAAAGCAAAGAAAGAGGGAACCAGAGTCAGGAAGTGAGGACAGAAGGATTTAGATAAGAAAAGAGGAAGGATTGGAAAGAGGGATAAATTAGACAGATACAGAGAAATATTTTCGTGACATTTCTTAGGAAAATGAGACAAATTCAACTGAAGTTCAAGCCTCCTTCAAATGACTGCTTACTTCTACTTAGACTAAATCATAAGGGGGCAAGAGGGAGCTGACAGATATGCTGCAGTCAACTTTATTCTATCAAGTAGACTGAGGACATGGGTGTTTTTGTAATAATAAATAAAAGTGTTCCTTCAGTTCCTTGTTACAGACACAGACTCCAAAAGTGTGATTTTTTAAAAATGACTGAAGGAACAATATTTATCACTGAGGGTGATAAATTAGGAGGACACACTAACCCTCAGTGATAAACATTGTTCCTTCAGTGATAAAAAAAACAACTTTTCACTGAGGGTGAGGAGGACAAATGCCAGAAGGGACAGAGAGCTTCATCTATGCTGTTGATTGTGCCATCACCAACCAAGCAGGAAGCTTTGAAACAGTTGAACATAAGCTCTCAGAAACTTTATCTGCTCTTACTGCTTATTACAGGGTAAATCAGCTGATTCATAATCCATCTAAAACACAGACGTATGCTTTTCACCTTAAGAACAGATAAGCATCTCGAGCTCTGAAGATTACCTGGGAAGGAATCACACTGGAGCATTGGAGCACACAAAAATACTTGGGTGTTACCCTGAACTGTGCTCTGACCCATAAGAAGCACTGCTTGAATATCAAGCAAAAAGTAGGTGCTAGAAACGATATCATTCGAAAGTTGAATAGCACAACCTGGGGACCACAACCAGATACAGGGAAGACATCTGTCATTGTGTTTTGCTAATCTGCTGTTGAGTATGCATGCCCAGCATGGAACACATCCCATCATGTTAAAACAGTGGATGTGACTCTTAATGAGACATGCCGCATTATCACAGGATGTCTATATCCTACACCACTGGAGAAATTTTTAGCCAATATTGCACCACCTGACATCAGCCAGGAAGTAGCAGCCAATAATGGAAGGACCAAGGCCATGACAACTCCGGCCCATCCCTTGTTCGGATATCAGTCAGCACGCCAACACCTTAGATCAAGAAATAGTTTTCTAAGATCTACAGTCGCAGGAACACCTCAGCAAGCGAGAGTCCAAAAGTGGCAAGCTAAAACTCAGAACCTTAAGCCATGGCTGATATTGAATGAGAGACTCCCTCCTGGGCACATAGAAGACTGGGCAACTTGGAAGGCACTGAGCAGACTGTGCACTGGCACCACGAGATGCAGAGCCAACCTTAAGAAATGGGGCTACAAAGTGGAGTCCATAACATGTGAGTGTGGAGAAGAGCAGACCACCTATTATAATGCAGTCTCAAATCTGCCACGTTTACAATGGAGAACTTTCTTACAGCAACACCAGAGGCATTCCAAGTGGCCAGTTACTGGTCAAAGGACATTTAGTATAATGCCAAGTTTGTAAACTTTGTTTGTGTTCTTAAATACATTACAACTGTACCCTCGGTTCACTTCTGATACGATAAATAAATAAGGACACATCAATAAGGAAGCTACACAAGGAACGTATTTCCCCTCTTGAAACCCATTAACTCCAATGCCAGCTAGCAACTTAACAATATGACCCACACAATATTGAGTATTCTTGATATAAATAGAAATATCCAGCATGTTTACACAATCTATGCATTTTTAAAGTCTTTGCTTTGTTACTTCTGCTTAGGAGAAGATATTCATGCATTGTTTTAAACCTTGCTCCATTTGATTGGCGTTTTTATAATAATATAGAATGTGTGTATAGTGTAATTTGCTGCCATTATGGGTCCATATACAGTAATGGAATGTGCATTTTAGCACTAACAGAACACAGAGACGTCCATTAATGTCCTAGCAATCTGCATACCAAAGTAGGACAAACCATTATTGTTCTAAGGAAGGGGAACAGACATGATACATAAAATCAATAAGGACAGCTCGGTGAAGAGTTCAGGAGGCAGGTGCTGTGATACTCCTATTTGTATGCCTGCCTACAAATAGAGTCCCACTTTATTACATCATTATCATATTTATTCATATTCCCTTTTTCTCTCTTTAAAGAGACTCAGAGCAGCTCTCTTACCCAAAGCATGTGTAATTCATTGCTCCAACCCAGCACTAAAAATCTTTGCTTTTATAGCCCTCCTTTGCCACCCTCACAATGCAGTGAATACACTGCTTTTTGCTAGATTTCATCACAACTGAATTGCAAAGGGCTTTTATTTGTAAATAATCCTACAGTAGTACAATATGTGCTGTGACTTGGCTCATGATGACACCTCAAAGTAAATCAGCATTTCTTCAACCAAGAAATACCAGAGTGAAGCTTAATATTTGAATCCAAATTTTGCTGGAAGCATTAGCTAAACCTTTAAATGGCTGCTAATCCTAGTTAGGGAAAACATGCACACATGGAACTGACAGATGACAGTCCCTTTTTAGCAGAAATATTGAACTTTCCAAATTTTAAAGAATTTTGTTGATGCTTTCCCATCTCTATGAAATTACTCTTGACTTATCCACAGGTCATATAAAAGGCAAAGGTTTCTAGTCATGTCCTGCTCTGTGGGGTGGTGCACATCTCCATTTCCAAGCCAAAGAGCTGGAGTTGTCCATAGATGCCTCCAAGGTTGTGTGGCCAGCATGACTGCACGGAGCGCTGTTACCTTCCTGAAGAAGCGATACCTATTGATCTACTCACATTTGTGTGTTTTCGGACTGCTAGATTGGCAGAAGCTGGGCCTAACGGCAGGAGCTCACCCCACTCCCCAGATTCAAACACTGACTTTTCGGTTAGCAAGTTCAGCAGCTCAGTGGTTTAACCCGCTGCACCACCGGGGCGGGGGGGGGCCTACAGGACATCTACAAGTCCATAATTTTGGTCCCAAATCCTACTGTCAATGTATACATGAGGTTGACATGTACATGAGTATGCTTGCTGGGAAGCTTGAGGCTGCAGCTCATCAACCAGCTTTGTTGTAAGGACCCTTCCACACAGCCCTATATCCCATAATATCAAGGCAGAAAATCCCATAATATCTGCTTTGAGCTGGGTTATCTGAGTCCACACTCAGATAATGTGGGATTTTCTGCCTTCATATTCTGGGACATAGGGCTGTGTGGAAGGGCCCTGAGTCTAAAGGAAGCTTGAAACATATATCTGTTGGAGTGTTTTTAGGACCACTAGTAAGCATGACACATTATGAAACAGGCCTGAAATCCAGACAATTGAAGAGAGAAAGAACTGGAGAGTGGTTTCAGAGACAATAACAGCAAGAGGAGAAAAGAGAGAAAAAATCAGGAAAGGCAAGAAGAGGAAATGAGGTGGAGAACTGGACCAAGGAAGGTAGAAAGAGGCTAATTGTCATTAAAGAAACAGAGTAGGACAGAGGCGCTAACCACAAGATTGGTGAGGTGCAGAGATGGCATGCTCAGACCAAAGAAAAGCCTTTCAAAAGGAAGACAAAAGTGAAATAACCCTCCCAATTTTGCTAAAGCTTTGGAGAAAGAGCCAGCAGCTAAAAAAATAAATAAATAAGGAAAATGAAAAAAAAAATCAAAGACAAGGATCCAATCAAAGCACACTTCACGAGAAATGTGAACGGCACAGCTGCTGCATGAAGGGAGTCAATTTTGTCTGACTCAAAAGACTCCCAAGAACATTTTCACAGGATTGGGGGAGAGGGTTTTCCCTCATTGAGATATTTGGTAGTTTGGCCTGTTAATTGATTTGAAATCTCAATCCCCCAAGAGGAGGGGGGAAAAGAGGAAGAAGCCAGCTCTTTCGGTCTGAGACTGCGGGACTAGTCCATCATCTCCCTTTCTCCCTATTCCAGGCCCCTTTCCTCCCTTCTTCACTCCCGTTTTCCTGAATCCTATTTACAAATTAGGAAACTAGTGAAAAAGACCTATTTCCTGAAGGAGTATGGTGATATGCAGGGCCCTACATATTTGATAGGTGCACTTGTGCAAATTCCCTCATCTTTGCAACTCTTAAAAGTGCAAGAACCCTGTTTTTTTCTCCATCTCTGATTTTTGTAAAAAATCTGGATACTCTAACCTAAATAATCTCATACCAATTAATAAGAGATCATAATCGTCATGATTTATAATTTTGATCCCATGAAGGGTGGGTAAAAAAAGACAAACATTTACTCCTGTCTAGACAAAACCCATAAGGATCTTGCAAAGATAGCAAATATTGGGTTGCTATGCATTTTCTGGGCTGTATGGCCATGTTTCAGAAGCACTCTCTCCTGGTGTTTCACCCACATCTACGGCAGGCATTCTCCGAGGTTGAAGGTTGGAAACTAAGTAAATGAGGTTTATATATCTGTGGAATGTCCAGGGTGGGAGAAAGAACACTTGTCTGCTACAGGTATGTGTGAATGTTGCAATTTGCCATCTTGGTTAGCATTTCGTGGCCTGTAGTTTCAAGGCCTGGCTGGTTTCTGCCTGGGGGAATCCTTTGTTGGGAGGTGTTAGCTGGTCCTGATTGATTCTTTTCTGGAATTCCCCGGCTTTTCGAGTGTTGCTCTTTATTTATTATTCTAATTTTTAGGGATTTTTTTTTAACACTGGTAGCCAGGGGAATTCCAGACAAGAATCAATCAGGGCCAGCTAACACCTTTTGATTTTACATTCAAAAGCATAGTAGGAAATCTACATGACATCGGTATTTACGGTCACAAATGCAATCTGCAAGAAAGTGAGGATGAAGCCTATCAATTCCATTAATAGAAATGAAAATCGACGAGGTTTGCCTCTTAGGAATAAAGTTGCTTCTGCAAAACTGCAGTGTGTCAAAATATACTCCATCCTTTTATGAAGAAGGATGAGTAGAGCAAATAGTACTGGCCATAAGAAAAGCAAATAGCATCAGATGGCCATAGAAAGAGCAACTGTCTTCAATGCACTTCATGGAGTTCATTTATGGATATCAACCCCCTTGCCGTGTTTTTTATTTCTTGAAATCCTGGGTTTTATTTGCTGTGAAATGTCCCAAATGCAAATCTTATACTATGTACTAGGTAATGCATGCCCATTTACTATTTATTTACTACTTATTTATGGAATGCAGTTTTATCACCAATCACTCCTTTTTCTCTGGAATAGCATTACAGGGTTACTTTATTTTAAAGATACACATCTTTCTGCACCAGCATCAACAGGGAACCACATTAAATTCATATGCAATGCAAGGTTCCCGAACAAGCTAGGGTGGCTCGGCAGGATCTGAACTTGTTGCTTTTATTTAAAAACCCCTCTTACTGCAAGTTGTCCCACCACGTGGCCACTGACCCCTTATGTATAATCTCTGTTTTCTTATTTCTTTTTGGCCCCACCCTTATCCACAGAATGGCTCGCAGCTCACCTGTCCCTGAATGACTTAACACGGGAAAGCAGGTCTCTTATGCGAAAGAGCTAGTTCCTTCCCAGCATGCTCTCCTAAGACCTCACCAACCTTCCTACTAAACTGAACAGGGGGGAGCGGTCGTAAAATGGATCCTGGCCATCATACAGCGGGTACTCCGGAAAGATGTCTTCCTCCAGGTCCTCCTCCTCCTCCTCCTCCTCCTTCCCCACGTGCTGCTCGTCAGCAGGCTCGGTGATGTCGGAGTCAGGGTTCGAGAAGGTGGGGGAGGGGGTGAGATCAGCCATGCGCTCGCTCATGCATGTGTTGAAAATAGGAGAGCTGTTGCAGCCAGAGATATCTGAACTAAGGTTAGTACAACAAGATAGGAGACAGGTTAACACCAACTATTCCAAGCACGCACATACGTACACACACGCAGAGTAGGCTTGCCTTGCCTGTTCGTTTCAAACAAGCAGCGGGGTTAATCAGGAAGGAAAGAGATGAAAAACTTTCCAAACCAAACACATCTAATGGTGGAGACAACAATGCCATCAGCTGAAAATTCTGTAAGATCCAATGCTTCACTGCATAGGAAACCCCAAAACCACCTTCAATGAAGCCAATATGTGGCTTTGGAAAATAAGTGTCTTCTTATTTTCAGACAATATTTTCATTGTGAATGTAGACAGTGGGATGGGTCATACTTCAGATGAAACCAAATGAAGTTCAATTTTGTTTGTGTGTGTCAGGAGCAACTTGAGAAACTGCAAGTCGCTTCTGGTGTGAGAGGATTGGCCATCTGCAAGGATGTTGCCCAGGGGATGCCTGGATGTTTTGATGTTTTATCCTCCTTGTGGGAGGCTTCTCTCATGTCCCTACATGGGGAGCTGGAGCTGACAGAGAGAGCTCATTCATGCTCATTGAAGTTCAATGTCAAACCCTTTTTTACCTAGCCTTGAGCAACACCCAGCTGATGGCATCACTTTTGTTCCTATTAGTTACATGGAAGCACAGAAGACCACACATTATAAATATATGGGTAGAAATCCACATAACACACACACACACAAATGTATAAAACCTACATAAGAAGTTCCTTGGCTGTATATAACTATGAAAGGGGGTTTTTTTTTTTTGGTCCAACACGAGAGTACAATATTCACTCCCAACTGGCCAGAAGGTTTTTCTACATTGTAATATGGGGCATGTATGTGTGCAATTCCAATATATCTGAATGTAGCAATTCTTTCCTATCCAGAGGTCACAAGTTGGTGTCCTGCTTGAAAGACTACAATTTAGTTTGGACAACATCCAAAGTGGTCCCCTAGGATCATAGAGTTTGCGGACTATGAAAACTCAATATACTTTCCCAGAGGAAATTCCAGTCATCATTATAATGTAGAGAAGGGAAACATACTCGAACATCACGCAACTGGACATCAGAAAAAGCCACATGAATAGACTATACCGCCATTTATGTACATATAAAGGCAGTATTGGGAATGGTGCCTGTTTGCACAGAAATCTTGCAAAGAAACACAGATGTATGATCTTGTTGGCTGTACATGTGGCTATATTTTAAATAGACCCCACATTGATATAAATGGAGGGCAATTAACTCAGGAACGGAAACTTGGAGGGCAGTGTAAGATCCTTACAGAGTGAAGTCCTGTTCAGGTATTACGAAACCAATTCCTGGGAGGCGGTGTGGATGTCCTAGCTCCTCCTCCTCCCTTATTGTGTGTTTCCATGCTCTTCATATGGAAAGTTAGTGGAGAGCCTGCTCTGAATACGAAGGCTCACCAGGTAATGCAGAACACCAAATGTTTAGTGTCATATATCACATGGAAAGATTCCATGGATAGTGTCGAAGGCTTTCGTGGCCTGAATCACTGCGTTGTTGTAGGTTTTTTGGACTGTCTGGCCATGTTCTAGAAGCATTCTCTCCTGACATTTTGCCTGCATCTGTGGCAGGCATCATCAGAGGTTGTGAGGTCATGGATACACAATCGCTCTCCACATAAGGATAGTGACATAAACAAATGAGAAGAGAGGCAGATATAGCCCATTCCTCCTCCTTTAGTCTGAATATATACACAGCCCCCAAAAGTGACTTTTCCAAGTTCTGTGCATGTATAGGGACCAGTATTCTACACAATTAGATTGATGTGCAATCTAATGTTCAAGTGTTTCCCTGCTCCACTGCAGAAGTGGTTGCTTTTGCTGTATAACAACAGTTGTCTTTGTTGTTATCACGAGTCACTTATTTTCTTTTGATCTCTTTAGTGTGGGATCGCATTGCGATACAGTCGATCAAAGCTCTCACCTGCCGACCAGCCTGAACCAAGGGAAGCGGTCATAAAAGGGGTCTCCGCCCGTCACTACATTGTCACAGTCTTCTATAACACTAGAGGGCACTTCGGCAGCCCGGTCATACATCTCTCGCATCAGGTCCAACCTCTGCCTGCAGTAGCAAAGAAAAGAAATGAGCCTGTAATTTCTCATTGATATACCTACATCTATACCACTATTTTACCTGCACGCTTTAAAAAACTAATGCTGAATCCTGATCCATTCACTAGAGACACACTATTCCATGGGGAATACAGTCCAACCCCACCTTGGAACAGGAATCTGTGCAAAACACATTGAACAATGAAGGGAATCTGAGTATAGCTCAGAGTTTAGAATAATGTCCTATCTTCGCAGATATCAGTCCTATGGACACAAGCACTAATAGGTGCCATTCAGCATGCTCCAAGGGGTGGATGTATTTCTGTTCAGCCATAGGGAGGATTTAGATTTCAATCTGTTTCATGATTTGGCAAAAATGTGGATTGATAAATGGCATTCTAAATCCACTCAGCATTGACATTACGTCTGTCACCTGCATGAGATCTCGGCATGGGATCAAATAGCAATTTCAGCCACAAACTACAGTGTCTCTTTGACTTTGCTATAGAAAAATGCAATTATGAGATATATAGCATTAGAAGCATTTCTGTTTGCACAGAAACCTTTCATAGAAACATAATTGCTGGATAACATGGCCACAAAATATGATCTTCATTCTTAAATTCAACCCTCATGTCCAAACGGTGATATGTAGGCTCTCAAATAACCTGGCAAAGCATGTTAATACATGTTTATGAAGAAATCTCCTTCGACTGAGGCATCACTGTCTGGCCTATTGAACATTATGATGGTTCAGTGCAACGTCCATTGATAATTGAATATTCTGTGACCCCTTTCTTCCAGGTGACCAAAACTCCTATGCCTCTTCTTTCTACCTACCTGAGTTTTTCCAGAGTCCAGTAGTGAGTTGCTCCATTCTTCTGGTCCTGAACCTCCACTGCCACAATAGTTCTTGGGAAAGGGCGTTTCTCGCGATCTTTGGCAGCATCCGGAGGAAGCAAATCAGGAGGCAGAGGAGAGTACAAAGTGTCTGTCAGGAGTACGAATTGAAACTGAACCTGAAAGTGAATAATAAGTATTGGTAGTTAGCACTGCTTCACTCATAGAGAGCACTTCGAATTACACATCACTTGCTGTATAGAATAACAAGACCTTCTCAAAAATTGAGCAAAATCCTGAACATTCACCTTTTTTCACCATCTACTAATTAAATGTATTCTGGCTTTTTCCCTGGAGGGCCCATTTAGCTAACATAGCTATTAACCATTGATAGAGGTACCCTTAGTGAATTCATCAGATCTTTCAAAATGTGTAGAGCAGCAGTTGGCATTTGTAAAATGGAAGTAAACTAACTACTGTATTTATGTGCCAACCTATCACTATGAGACAAGTGCTTCCTCGCCACTTGCATCAGTTTTTTATAATGCACACATCCTCTAACATCTCCTGTGCAATAAGATTGTTTGATTCTGTTTCAGCCCAGGGAAGAGTAACTAAACCCAAAAGCTGCTCATAATCATCACCACCATCTGTGGCAGAAATTTCTCACCTTCTTCTTCAACTCCACACTGATGGCATTGGCCTCCTTGAGGAAAATGGCATTGCCCCACAGTTGGTCCCGGAGAGACGTAAATTGGTACCACTTCCACTTCCTGAAGCCCCAGAGCGCCAACTCAAACTCCCGCTCTGTCCACTGAACTGGGGAAATAAAACACTCAAAACAGTTACTTTCTTTGCAGACCAAGCTCTTATTTATATTTTTATGTATGGGTTCCTCCAGGCAGGGTTAACGTGTTAGGAGGTTACAAAAGTTGTTGCTGTCGTTCTCTGTTTTTGCTGTGCTTCTAAATATATGTCCAAACAATATTTTTGCTGTCCCAGCCTATTTTCCAACTGCAACATTCTGTTCCTACCTTCAGGTTAGTTTCTTTTATAATTCAAAGACATACCAAAACAAAAAAGTTCTCTTTCTCTTCTCCTTTCTACCTTTTTAAGTAATAATAATAATAATAATAATAATAATAATAATAATAATAATAATATAATTTATTTATAACCCGCCCTCTCTCCCTGAAGGGACTCAGGACAGTTTCAAAAAAATGACAGAAATGGCAAACATTCAATGTGTAAGACAAACAAGCAGCAATCAAGACATAAACATGAAATAAAATGAAACCAATATAACTTCCAAACCAAAATTGATCGCAGATTAAACTAAATGAACATGATATAACAAAAAGTGTCATAACAATTAAAACACAATACATTAAAAGCATAAAATAGAATATCAAATCAAATTTTACTTTTATTTTTAATGTTACAATGCTTCAGCTGAAATTATACCTTTTTAGCATAATACCATGCTGCTAAGAATGGCTATTTATACAAAAAAAGAGGGAATGTCCTTTTTGTTTATTTTGGACTACCTTGGCAAATCAGCCTTTGGACTTTTTAAAAAGAGTCCTAATGCTGTTCAGTTGCTGGTTTTTTTTTTAAATCTGTCTTTTAATAATTTTAAATAGTATTATCTCTATAGATTGTGTAATTGTGTGATTGTTTTTGTGTGCGAATGGACAGGTGTCCATATAGATTTTTAATCTATATTACTTTTAATATGTAACATAATTTTTGTTCCTGGGTTATAAATGTCATTTCCTAATTGGTTCTATCATAAAAACATGGAAAATGTTTATTAAACTTCGTTTTTGCAGTTTGCATAGTCATTAAGGAAAATTGCAAACAAAATGCATAGTAGACTGAAGAAAATAATAGTACTACCCTCAGCAACAAAAATGAAGTTTTTGGAGTAAAAAAAACAACTTTCAAAGTAAGTACAATTAAACAGGAAAAGGAATAGATTTTTTTTCAAATTTTGTTATACAGTGTAACTTATGAGTCCCCTTAATTAAATTCCAGTAGTGGAGAAAAGGTGAGATATAAACATGTGAATATCTGCAAATGAATATGAATTATCGCATGAAAACCTCCTCATAAGAGAACCTTCCTTTTACTAAATTCTTACCTTCATCCTCAGGTTCCTCCTCTTCCTCATTAGCCTCAGGATAGTATCTAGAGTCCATCTGCTTCTGTAAAGCCTCCAGTTTACTCTCATAATCCTGCAAGGAGAAACAGAGGAGCAGTTCATGACTGTGATATCATCTTTACCCCACTAACTGAAAAATTATTCCATTCTATGCAATAAAGAATTTATTTTCCTTCCTTAGTAATCACCATTCTAGGTTAATAGTTTACAGAATTTCATGAGATACAGAATCATGATGTGCACAGTCTCCAAGAGAACTTCTGAGGAGATGCATACCAGATAAAAACCGATTAAAATGGTATTTTAACAACAACAACAACAATAATAATAATAATACTTTGTATTCTGTCCTATCTCCCCAAGGGGACTCAAGGCACATTCCAGCATTTACAGACACAAGGCAAACATTCAATGCCTAGAAACAAGGAAACACAAATACACAGATAACAGTAAAGGCTTCCCCTCCTGGCTCTGAGGTGTGATGCTAATCTCAATTTCTAAGCCGAAGAGCCTGCGTTGTCCATAGACACCTCCTAGGTCATGTGGTCGGCATGACAGTGCAGTTTACCTTCCTGCCGAGGTGATATCTATTGATCTGCTCACATTTGCATGTTTTCGAACTGCTAGTTTGGCAGAAGTTGGGACTAACAGCAAGAGCTCACCCCATCCCACGGATTCAAACCACCAATCTTCTCGTCAGGTATAACATCCCACACAATTAAAAAAATCTCAAACCCTCAACCTGGTCTTAAGTGCCAAAGGCCCTGAAAAACAGTAACATATTGGCTGTCACCATAGTCTCAGTAGAGACCAAACCAGACTGATTTCCCTTGGGAAGCAGTTCTATAGCCAATGTACTACTATAAAAAAAGTCCTGTCTCACATACTCTTCAACCTAGCAATTCTGAGTGCTGGGACATGCAACAGGGCTTCTGTTAGTCACTGATATTGTGTTAAATTTGTTTTGTCCATTTTCTGCATAAGACTCGTGTAAAATGTATGCTGATTTCTAGATGCAATTATCCTTCATGTGCATGTTTTGAATACAAAACCCCTAAAATTGAATACTTTTTGGCACACAATTTTTAATGGAGAATGACACTGGAAAATTAAGAGAGAACAAAATCTGAAAAATAATTGTGTTCAAATTCAGAAGGCGTGAATTATGTTGTTTCAGCTAAAAATATGAACCAAACAAAATTCTTCTTCACCCTCGAATCTCTGTGTTACATAAATTTTGGAAGGTTATTATGAAAACATCTGTTTCTTTCATCTACCAGAAGGCAGCTCTCCCCCCTTTTTTGTTGTTGTTGAAAAAGCAATATATTTATTACTTACGAGTCTTTGTTGCTCAAGAAGGTAATTAGCCTCTTCCCTTTCCTTCCGGTACTGGTCTTCAAGTTCCTGAAGCCTGCATAAAAATAAGAATAGTAAAGAAACATGGACAGTTACAAAGAGCGAGAATATGTATTATTTATTGCAATTTCTTCACCCCCAAATCCAGACTTCTTTTGGACCTGTAAACCTGCCTTAAACAATATCTGACCATTGACCATCTCATTAGTACACGCATATCTCAGTTAACAAATGCTCTGATAGCGAAACACTTTTTTCCATATGCCAAACCCCCTGGCTTCCCTTTTAATCCTTTGCCTAGCATGACAATTTTAGCAGCACTAGTACTAGAAAGATGCACTAGATCAGTGGTTCTCAACCTGTGAGTCCCCAGATGTTTTGGCCTTCAATTCCCAGAAATCCTAACAACTGGTAAACTGGCTGAGATTTCTGGGAGTTGTAGGCCAAAACACCTGCGGACCCACAGGTTGAGAACCACTGCACTAGATGGTGAAAGAAGACTGGAGAAACACAGACTTTATTGACAGATTGAAGCAGTGTATCTGCAGTAAACAAAGCTGGAGCTGGGAAAGAGTGGCATTTTATTCTGGCAAAATATTTTTTTATTTAGTATTTAATCTTTCTCCCAAAGTACTTATAGCCATGTATACCTGCCTACAACAGGTAGGGTAAATAGCAGCTGCCTCCAAAAGCCCTTACTGAGTATGTGTGAACAGCAAAACAGCAGATAAGCTTCTCCCATCAAGTTAAAAAGTATACAACTATAAATTTAGCCACAAAAATGGAAATTGTCACGCCCCCACAGAGACCCTCACTATTTTCCACAATTTAAGTCTTCATTAGTTAGAAGTGTCTAGCCTGTTTATGTATAGTTGTTGTGGGAGGGAACCATAGTTAGCCTTTTAAAAAAAGACTTCCCTTCAAGACACTGCCCAGATGCAAAGCCTTACAGCTAGCTCTGGCAGCCTCTCTAGTGTCAGCTATTTGTCCAGGAGGTGCTAAAACAAGTAAGGATGCAAAAACATTGCATGTCAAAGGTTGATAGATAGAAATCAAACAGTTGGACAGCTAGTTTTACAAGCAAAAGAGACCTTACCACAGATACATAAAACAAGGAAGAAAAGGCACAGAAGTAAGGCAAGTAAGCAAAGACGATAATTGGATCAACGTCCCAACCTTTTCTATAGACTTTCCAGAGACTTTTGGCTGTTGGATCAGGAAGGAGTTAGAATTTGGACCTTTTGTGATTTTATTAATCTTTTTATCAACTGTTCTCCTGTGTACATCAACTCTGTTCCTAGTAAGAGCAGGGCACCTCCTGAAAACAGCTTACGGTGACAGAAAAATATCAGAAAAGTGGAGACCGGTCATCCACTGAATGCATTCTTGAAGAAACTTTCATGTCCTCCTCAGAAAATTCACAGTTTTTGTTTACTTATGTGAAACTTATCTGGCTTGGATTCTTCATTTCACATATAGTTACACCTTGTACTGCTTTTTTTTTTTTGTGGTGAAGGCATCTCTTTCATCTTTCCATGTCATTAATGCCTCTGGTAACAAATTCTCTGTTAACAAAGTAATGCCAAGGAACACATCTTCTTTGTTAACTGAGGTATACCTGTTTTCTGTCTCATGAGAGACAGTGATTCTCTAGCAGAGATCCTTCCCATAACCTCCTAGCTGGTCCTGCCAGACGGACATTGTGGGAACTGGGCTTGAGACCTCCTACACACAGACTGTTTGCTCTGCCATTTAGCAATAGGTCTCTGAATTCTTATTCCTGCTCCTCAGTTTTTCTTATGCGTTTCTATCTACTCACCTTTGTTCCATCTCCTGCTTCATATCAATGCCTTGTTTCTCCAGAAGTTCTCTTTGGGCAAAAGCCCAATCCACTGGTTCAGCGGGGGTTTCTGCGCAGGGAGTCCGCTCTCGCTCCTGCCGTGCCTGCTCTGGATGGTTAAAGCGGAAGACATGGCTCTTCCCCATGATGATGCGATTTCCTGCAAGGACCAGGCAGAGACCAGATTCAGAAGAGGGGTGGAAACAAAATGGTCTTCCAATGCCTGTTTAATGGGTTGCTAAACCAATAAACAATTACCCATTTTACAGGTTGTAGCAAAGAAACACCAATTATATGGGGTGGGGGACCTGATCAGGGCAGCTTAAATGCAAATCTTCCCTTACATATCTCTGAGCATATTCCCAAGGTGAGAAATATTACTTTTGAGGCAACAACTCCTCAATTAACAAGGGCACTGGCAGTTCAGGTGTGTTGCAAGCTATATTTAAATGTCATAGCAGAAAAGAGCAGGAAGTAGCTCAAGATCTGAGTGATAAATAGGAGAAAAGGTGGAGGAAGGGGGAAGAGGCTCCTTCTTTGGAGGCTTTTAAGCAGAGGCTGGATGGTCATCTGTCGGGGGTACTTTGAATGTGATTTTCCTGCTTCTTAGCAGAAAGGGGTTGGACTGGATGGCCCATGAGGTCTCTTCCAACTCTATGATTTTATGAAAACGTGACAGCACCTTTATGACTATCTGGTTTTCATTTTCTCATAAAATGTATACAGATGCAATATAAAGTGGTATTAACGCCTTGGGCATAAAGCATATTCTTCCAGTTATGGGAGTGGTTTGTATTGTAATCTAGATCTAGAAAAGTGAAAACTATGCCCAGAGAGATTTACATCTTTCTAGAGCCTACTTCATAGGAGAACTACGAGGTCAGTTGAATTCTGATACTCAACAGATGTTCGAAAATGCCACAATCGTTTAATTCCAAGAGTTCACCTCTTGTGTCTGGCCTCAGCTTATGGATCTTGGGGATCTTTGGAAACCCCAAACACTAACCAAGCTCATAGTGTGCCCTCCCTGAGCTGGCATTTTTGTCTAACTCCAAAGCACATCTTCCCATCCCTTTACCTTGGCAAATGATCTTACCAGATCTTAGGATGCTGGGTTCTGTGACTTTCTTGCCATTGACATAGGTATCGGCCCCCTCACAAGGTTCCAGGGTCACCACTGCTAAGGAAAAGGTGTAGGTGGAATTGGGGGTAGATGGGGAATAAAAGGCACATAAAAAATACTGTGAAAAATACAAGGAACAACTCTTTTCCCAAGCTTGTTTTAAAAAAATGGATGATTGGTCAACTGGATGAATGAGAAGACAAGCATTGGCAGGCAGTACATATTACATTGAACTCTGATAGGCATGGTAGATGAAGGTAGACTTTTGGATATTGTTGGACTGCAATCCCCATAAGCCTTACCCAAGAGTCAATGATAAGGGATTATGTGAGCTACAGTCAAATAATATTTGGAAAGCCATAGTTCCCAGACCCTCATAGAAATGCGAAAACACCCCTACATGTCAGATGTTGAGTTTCAACTCCAAAACACACTACAGTTGGCCCGCCAGGCTTTTGAGTTCAAATCAATATGGTCTTTCTAGAAATCTCTAGATCCTCCAGTGTGACTATGCTCAAATTCCAAGAAGTTGCTATAAAGCTGTGCTGGAGGACCTAGAGATTTCTAAAGACATATTTCCCTTAAGTTAACAAAAATATTCTCTTCAGGCTTTCCTCCACTTTCATAGGCATCCTGCACTTCAACCCTTGCAAAAGTAATTTCATCTCTGCGCAGACTGTTCTAAGGGAGTCTACTAGAAAATATTATTTCAGCAAAGTTGGTGCTGATACCTAAATCCACAAGAGGTCTAGAGCATGTGTCTCTAAGAACATACCCAACCTAAGAACATACCCAACCGCTAATATAATAGCCCAACAAGTGTTTATCAATTAACTTTTTAAGACTAGGGGGCACATTAACCTTCTAGAAAATCCTGGAGGGCCTCATCTCTCACTGCATCTACTCTTGCAAAATGTTCCCAGAAACTCCTAGAAGATATGGGGGAATATTAACATAACGAGGGTGGATAATGTTAACATCGGGAGGTGAGAGGAAGTCACTTTCTGTCCAAAAAAAGAAAGGCTTGGGGGAGGCTGAAGTAGGGTAGGAAAGGACACCACCCCAAAAAATACCCTAGGGAATATTTGGGGGCATTCTAAAGCAAAACCTTTTGGGGGGGGAATTGACCCCTGGGGGATCCTGGAGCAGGGCTCAAATGTGAGTAATACAAACTGAGAAGAAAAGAAACAACATTCCCCAGTCTGGCTGCTATGCTCTAAATGCTGCATTTTGAGGGGGGAAAGGGTTTTAGGAGAAAGAGAAGATGGCCAGCTTCTCTAAGGGATATAGAGCTAGAAACCATTCAGCTTTCTATATGACCACACCTTCACTGCCACCCTTTGTGTCACTTCGGAATAGGCAGTGCTCTTCTTTGATGAAATGCCCACTGAGTACAATGTCTTGCCTCCTTTCAGCATCTTCTCGACCAACCCTGTTGGGGACAAAGGAGTAAATTAGTGCCAAAATCCAACATTGCAAAGCATTCTGGGTACTTTTCTGAACAAGTAATTAATAATTACTTTGACCAAATCTATTATCATTGTAGGCAGATGAATGAAGTGATTGTTACTTTAGTACGTAGCACAGCCTAGCTGCACTAGTTTTTATGGATTTAATCTGAATTGTTTTTAATACTAATGATGTTTAATACTCTTTTAATATATGTACATTTAAACTGGATTGTAATGCTTCTATTGTTAGCTGCTTTGAATCTCCTTATGGAGAGAAAAAATGGATATAAATATAATAATAATAATAATAATAATAATAATTTGCTTCTAGTCATAATTAGGGTGCTACTTTTGACACACAGAACCTTAAATACAGTTGGCTCATCTTGTCTTAGGTAATGCCAACTATATGAACTTCCCTGTTCACTTCAGTCAAGAAAATACAGATAGCACAGTCTAGGATCTCTGTATTTACATAGGCATAAATATTGTTAGACCTAACTAAAAAATGAATGAATAAAACTTGATAAAAATGATTTCCAAAGAGCCATGGGTTTATTCTAGCTCAAACTAGAACTGATAATCAAACTGATAATCATGCAGCTTTTCAGATGGTGCTGGAGTGTATATGTCAGCAGGCTGCACAGCCATAGCAAGGAATAATGGGAAGCGCAATCCAACAATATTTGAAGGGCTGTATGACAACAGTGGGAGGACCATGTGTTAAAACATGTCAACACCAATTCACTCAGTTCACTGCGGGAAAATTACTATTCTTATCACATTCATTACCTGGTTATTCCATCTTTAATGTAGTAGAGAAGGCACTCAGACATCAGAGGATCCTCATTTAGGTTGACCAGATGTGGTGTCTGCGAGAAACAATTGAGAAAGTTTAAATTAAGCCATTCTTCTCATTCAATGCAGAAGTCTACTAGACCTTGGAAATGTTACCAGCATCCCACAGCACAAGCCATAATAGCTATGGGATTCTGAAAGTTGCCTCTCCCCCCCCCCCCCCAAAAATCTCTCTTCCAAGCTCTGAGCCTATCCATACTTTTCCCATAKGTCTGACCASAATGAGACAACAAGAGACTCAATTTCTTCTGTTATACCATACTGATAGGTACCTTTGAAAACATTTGGGTAATTCTGTAATTTGATGCTTACCATTCTGAAGTGTTCAAACCATATGCTAATATTTTTAAAACTATTTGTTACCGTGTGCCTTCAAGTCATTTTTGATTTATGACCATTCTAAGATGAACCTATCATGGTGTTTTCTTGACAACATTTGTTCAGAAGTGGCTTGCTTTTGCCTTCCTCTGAAGATGAGAAAGTGTGATGTGCCCAAAGTCACCTACTAGATTTCCATAGTCAAGTAGGGATTCAACCTCCAGTCTTCAGAGTCCTAGTCTAATGCTCAAACCACTATCCCATGCTGGCTCATCTTGAAAAGCACAGCCCTAAGGTTGACAAGAATATTTGTATTCTTTTATGACTTCAAGACCTAGGATGAAGCAAGGCAAGCTATTCACTCCATGCAGAATAAGGTTCCCTTGCCCCCTTGTTTCTATCTTTTTTAAAATACTAGGTAGTGTAAGGATGAGCTTTGGTGTTGTGGTAATTTGCTAAAAATAAATTATATTAATCTATCTATATACAGTAGATTCTCGCTTATCCAACATAAATGGGCCAGCAGAATGTTGGATAACCGAAAATGTTGGATAATAAGGAGGAATTAAGGAAAAGCCTCTTAAATGTGAAATTATGTTATGATTTTACAAATTAAGCACCAAAACATCATGTTTTTCAACAAATCAACAGAAAAATACACGGTAACGTTATGTAGTAATTACTGTATTTACAAATTTAGCACCAAAACATCGCAATGTGGATCCGAGTGGGAGGCAGACTGCGTTGCATAATACAGAACATTGGATGAGCAAAGGTTGGATAAGTGAGACTCTATTGTATGTTGTTTGATTGTGTAATCCTATGCACATTAACCTAGGATTTACTGAACAAAGTGACACTCTTCTATAGCTGCATCTACACTGTAAAATCAATATATGGCAGTTTGACATCACTTTAACTGTCATAGCTCAATGCTAAGGAATACTGGGCTCTGTAGTGTGATGAGGCACCAGCACCCTTGACAGAGATGGTTAAAGAGATTGTAAAACTACAACTCCCATGATTTCATAGTATTGAGTTAAAGTGGTGTCAAACTGCATTATTCTACAGTGGAGTAGATGCACTCTTATACCTGAGTAGGGAATCGAGCCCCAGGGGTCATAGTCCAATGCTCACACCATGCAACTATGCTGACTCTAGTAATCTCTTACCCCAGGATTTTCTTGTCTGGGGACATAGAAAGTAATATGTTTCCTAACAGATGTCTTTTATTATGGCATAAGCCAAAATGGAATCGAGTCTGCTTTGTTAGATCAATTTCATTAGTGTATTGCAGTGGTTGATGTTTTTTCGAAATATCAGGTACCTTAGTCTATGTTGAGAAACTCAACCTATCAAGCACTGCTATATTGATTGAGTGGATTGAATGAAGCAGTCTGCACTCCATTTTGGCTTATGCCATAATAAAAGGCATTTGTTAAAAATATACTTTTTATTGAAGTTACTTCCATTTCAGTTTATGTCGCGTTGCATTGTTTTAAATTGTTTTATTAAGGAACAAAAGTAACAATCTCTTGTGTAAACAAAATATACAAGGTATGGCAATAGTATGATAGCTGGGACGCTACGCTACGCTGCTTGAGCAATGCAGGCCTGAATTAGGGGAACACGAGTGCGAGTGAGGACACCAAGTGAGAGACGCAGCTGCGGTGGAGTCATTGCATTGGAAAGAAGGATAAAAAGGAGAGGGAAAATACTGTTACATTACCTCACCCTTATCCTGTCCCTCCTGAGTTAAATTACTTCACTGCTATCCTGTCGCAGCTGTGTCTCTCACTTGCTCTGCTGTCTCTAGCACATGTTCCCTTCATTAATTCTGACCCACTTTGCACAACTAGCGTAGGGTCCCAGCTATCATACTTTTGGCCAAGGTATTGACTTTCATGCATCAGGAAGCAAATCTCCAGTGCATATTCATAACCTAATTTAAAAGGAATCACACTAATCTACATTCGAGTTTAAAACTTCAACATTATGTTGGATTAAACGGCTAAAGAGCACTATTGGCAATCCCATTATTATGACACCAGTCTGAACACCATGCAAAGAATATTGCAAACTGTAAACTCATGCAAGAACTAGGAATCCACACCAAGCAAAAAAGCACACCCAAGTGAAAAGAAGTATTAAATTGCTTCCGCAGATGTAGCCCTAGAGACAGTAGAACCTCCCATCTTCTCTTACAGGATATATGAAATGAAGTCAACAAATCTGAGTTCCCAGATGTGCTATTAGGTTCCTTCATGGGGCAGCTGCCAAAGCACCTGAAATGCAGCCACAGCTCATTGCTAAAGCCTGCCACGATGGAAAAGTACACTAGCTTTCCACAACCCATTTCTCTTTCTCTGCAAGCCAGCTGAGACCCATCTCAGCAGCTGTTTCTAGCCATCATTAGTGCTTGTTCACTCACAAACTCTAGTACAATGGTTCTCCAGATGTTTTGGCCTTCAACTCACAGAAATCTTAACAGCTGGTGAACTGGCTGAGATTTCTGGGAGTTGTAGACCTGGGGACCCACAGGTTGAGAACCACTGCTCTACTGGGTGGGATGGCAGTCAGATTGCTACTCACAAGAAAGAATATGCTACTGTTCATTTTGATGCTGGCAAGAAAGCCAGCCAGCTACTATTGCAAGAAAAGTTACCACCAACATCTACCTGATTGATGGGGTGGAGAAAGAGCAACAGAATGAATTGTCGAAGGCTTTCATGGCCGGAATCGCTGGGTTGTTGTAAGTTTTTCGGACTGTCTGGCCATGTTCCAGAAGCATTCTCTTCTGACATTTCACCTGCATCTATGGCAGGCATCCTCAGAGGTTATGAGGTCTGTTGAAACTAGTAAAACGGGGTTTATATATCTGTGGAATGTCCAGGATGGGAGAAAGAACTCTTGTCTGCTGGAGCTAGGTGTGAATGTTGCAATTGGCCACCTTGATTAGCGTTTAATGGCCTAGCAGTTTCAAGGTGTGGCTTCTTACTGTCTGGGGGAATCCTTTGTTGAGAGGTGATTAGCTGTCCCTGATTGTTTCTTGTCTGGAGTTCCCCCATTTTTGAGTGTTGCTCTTTATTTACTGTTATAATTTTAGAGGTTTTTTTAAAATACCGGTAGCCAGATTTTGTTCTTTTTCACAGTTTCTTCCTTTCTGTTCAAATTGTCTACCTGCTTGTGGATTTCAGTTGCTTCTCTGTGTAGTCTGACATGGTATTTGTTAGAGTGGTCCAGCATTTTTGTGTTCTCAAATAATATGCTGTGTCCAGGTTGGTTCATCAAGTGCTCTGCTATGACTGACTTCTCTTGTCGAAGTAGTCTGCAGTGCCTTTCATGTCCCTTGATTTGTATTTGAGCACTGTGTTTAGTGATCCCTATGTAGACTTGTCCACAATTGCATGGTATATGATTGACTCCTGCAGAGCTACAGAATATTTCATCAGCAATAACTATTGGTCCAAAATAATACATCTTACCTTGTGGGAAGGCAGTAGACCAATACGTAGAACACATAACATGTATACAATAGATTCTAGTTCAATGCCTGGTGTCAAAGGTTAAGATTTGGAACATTTCTGAAACCCTGAAGAGATGCTGCCAGTCACAGCACAGATTGTGCTGAGCCACATTGGACCAACGGTTTAAGACAGATTTCGAAGCCCCAAACCTGGGCAACTGGAGCTGGTCTTGAAATCCAAGATTCATGCAATACTAGGTTCCTAAATATAATGTTTTAATCTCTAATCAACAGAATGTAACTTTAGGTCTTGGGTTTTTAACATATTTCCTATTTTAAAAGTCTGTATCAACATCATCAATTTTATTTTTAATCTCAACATACTGAGATTAAAAATATTTTTTATTTTATTTTTTATTTCCAGGCTATTCTACCATGTTTTGACTAATGACTGAATCATTGCTGAATAGGTGATTGTACTACTGTAATTGTGTATTTGCAGCATTATTCAGTCTTTAGTCAAAAGGCAGTGAATTGACTAAAATCATTTGATTGACAGTCCTGCTTGTAACTATGGAAACACATAAGAGCAGGCACCCAGTAGCAGCTACTGCAGATAAGGTCTTTTATCCTGACCCTGAGCAAATAGCACCTGAGGGCTCTTCACTGAGAAGAGACAGTGTGACGCAGAACCCGCTCCGCTCTTGAGTAGTAGATTGAGGAACTACGCAACTCCCTTTACTTGAGACAGGATAGTTGAATAAGCAAGTTCATTACATCACTCTTTAGAATGCTCATGTTTATGTAAGTCAAAGAAAGCATGCTGAAGATCATTGTGTCACCCATCCTCTTGTGCTACTTATTGCAAAAGATCTAGGAAGCCAGCTCTTCCAAACAGAATTTTGAAAATTTTCTTAGGGCAAGGTAGCACAAATGTGTCTAATGTCACAGGATAAGAGGTAGATTTTTAACAGGTACCACACAGATCACGCCAACAATACCCTTCAGACCAACCTTCTTGGGGGAATGCACCCCTACACTTTCCAGGAAAACTTCCTGGTGGTCAACTGGTAGTAGCTACATGACAAAAGATGGAAGAAAAACAACTAAATCATAAAATAAGCAATCACCATAACCCTGACAAACATATGAATAATTTATGGTTCCTACTAAGGATAAATGTTAATCTATAAATGGTAGCCTGTGGACAACAACCATGTGTGGTCTGCAGGTGACTCAAAGAGCATTCAGAGATAGTTATGGCACCAACAAGCCAGCAATAAAATATCAGTGCAGTTTCAAAAAGAGAAGAGGATTCATGTATTCAAATGCTATCAAAAATGTAATGTACCAACAAAGTTAAAGATGGGAAGAACGTTTACACTGGTACATACTGTACATATAATCTGCTTCAAGATGTCCTACCTTCTTGGGAGAGAATACTCCTAGTGTACCACCATCTTCTCTCATGGCCACTCCCATTTCTGCCAGCAAAGCTTCCCTGGAAAACGTAAAAAGAGAAAAAAATGAAAAGTCTTTTGAGGCCTGAGCTTGTGATAAGAGAAGCAAGGATATTGAGAAAGACACAGCATATCATATGAAAATAGAACTGATGGCCATATATGTATATCTTTAAAAGCCAGGTATGTTAGAAGGAACCCCAAGAAATGGGGGCTGGGGGAATGTGTGGATGACGGATGGATGTCTGGATACTGTGACGTGAGTGGGACAGTGGCAAATATTAATCCTGATAGCAGCTGAAAGGCAGTAGTGGCTGGGGGTTCTCATGTCAATGGAGCAGTGCATGCATTCCAGATTTTTGCTGGATTTACAAGAACTTTCTAAAATGCTGAACATACTAAAGAACAAGGTTCAGTGCCTTGGGAAGATGTTATAAAACCTGCATTAAGATCTGAATTGATCACCTAATTGATCTGGGAGCCATCAGCCATCACAAGTGGAAAGTACAAAAAGAACCAAAGTCACAATGGAAACATCTGCCAAACAAGAAAATGAATCTCTTGTCATGGCTTCCTACAGAACATATTACTAATTTTAGTTTTTATAGGAGATGGACTGGTAAACAAGGAACTTGCACCCCAACATCTAACAAAGATTTTCTGTCCCATGTCCCATGTAAGGACCTCATCATACTTACTGGAATCAGTATCCTAAGATGCTTCTACACCCTCTTCAGGATGGAGCCCCATGCTAGCCATCACACAACATTATGTGACTTCCAGCAGAGGCTCTGCCCCCAACTATAATGGACAAAGCTTTGCCGAGAGTAAGCTGCGCACGGGGCGATGGATTCAGCCGGCTGCCTTTCTATTTTGTTGTGGAGGCCAGGCAAAGCAAGACACTTTGCCTAGCCTTTCTGATGAGGCTCTAAGAAAAAATAATTCTTAAGTGGTTGGTTCTTGTTGCCTCAACAATTCCCAGACTCTTGGATTCCCAAGCTTTCATGAAGCTACTATACAAACTCAAAAAGCTCTGAGTAATAACTTTTTTATATGGTGGCTTTAACAGGTAGCATACATCATTCATAATCACTGCATGCAGTGTTTACTTGTCACATTAACACAAGTTTGGTAGGCACATAACATCCTTTACATCAGTGGTTCTCAACTTGTGGGTCCCCAGGTGTTTTGGCCTACAACTCCCAGAAATCCAAGTCAGTTTACCAGCTGTTAGGATTTCTGAGAGTTGAAGGCCAGAAGATCTGGGGACCCACAGGTTGAGAACCACTGCATTACATGGTGCCAAACCACCTGAAGGATGCTTTGTTAAGTTACAGAAGCGTTCTCTGCCAAAAGAATAAAATAAAATAGTAAAATGAAATGTTGCACCTAATGTAGACCTTTTTATTATAAACATACCCATCCAGACTCATTGTCGAGTTCCTACCTTTCCATCCGGATTGCTTCTGTTCTACGTAGCTTTTCCTCCCATGTTTCATTCAACTCAGCAATGATTTTCTCAGTTTCCTGAAGAGAATAATTAAACATTAGAATTTTATAGCCATCATTGGAGTGTACTAGAAACATTTTGACTGCAGTACATTTTGCAGAATTCACTATCTATTTTCTAGGGCAGGAGCTAGAGACTTCAAGTGTCTATGATGTTATTGATTACAATGTTCATCTTCTGATTACTGATCAAGCTAGAAATGCCTGACAGAAGTTACAGGCTAACATATGTGAGCTATCCTCTCAATAGTTGACTTGAGAGTCCTTCCCATAGATGTCTCTCAGGCACCATACTCCAAATGCATACTCATTCATTTATTGCAGTGGTTCTCAACCTGTGGGTCCCCAGATGTTTCGGCTTTCAACTTCCAGAAATCCTAACAGTTGGTAAACTGGCTGGAATTTCTGGGAGTTGTAGGCCAAAACACCCGGGGGCCCACAGGTAGAGAACCACTGATTTATAGGCAATACACCAGAGAGTAATAATGTTTTGTTATACCATGACCTTTTTCTGTCATGTTTTTTTCTCTCATTATCTCTGCAGTACAAATAATGGCATGCATGACCCTGCACTTACCTTCAATCTCTCAATGGCCTCTTCACTACCTGGAGCAAACATGATGCGCTCATGGAGACTGGCAACAGAAGCAGCTCGGCTGGACAATGCAGAGAGTGAGGAGGACGGGCTCATTCCTACCAAGGCATTGGTCACTGTGGAGAGATTGTCATGGCGTTGACTCATATCTGCCACTCTACGGTTATCATTATTGTTCTCAAAGTCGGAAATGTCTACGGGGGTTCAGGAGGGGAGAAAGAAGAGGGAAAGACACGAGACAAGAAGAAGGAAGGAGAAGATAGAGAAAAGAATTGCAGTTTGGAAATAGCAACATGATGCAATGAGGAGAAAGGTAGAAATTGAACAAAGAGATATGCAGACAATAATGTAGATATTGCTGCTAGGGCAGGATCTTCACATCAGCTGGAGCATTCACACTACGCCTCATACAGCTTTTCTTAAGCACTGAAGCATCATTTGTTCTTTCCTGTGCCTTGGAGGAAACTCCTAGCACACTGAAGACCTAATCTACAATCATGCAACCCCAGTATCTCCATTTACATTCTTGGCAGGTGGCAGAGCAACTGCTGCCCATTCAAGCCACGAAGAAGGGAAAAAGAAGACTTGGAGAGCTTAGCATCATTCCATCTCAGAGTTGGCTTTTCAGAAGCTGCGAATGTTTTTAAATCCTGGTAGCTGCTCTGGGAATTTTATTCAAAGGTGAGGAAAAAAAAACCCTTAAAACAAATAAAATCCTGGGGCCAAGGCAGAGTTCCACCTATGAACAGTTTATCACACTGGGCTTCCATGGCAATTGATGACTGGGAACAGCTGGAACTTGCCATCCAACTTTTGATGCTCCAGTATCAAGAAATTATCTTGAGGTCCTCTGAAACCTCTTCTCCATATTCCTTAGCTGAAGAACCTCAATATATAATATTTAGACAAAAGCCCTTCTTTGTGATGACTCCCAATCTCTAGAATATCTCCTCCTGAAACAGGATGGCTTCACCAACATCTGGTGATTGGCTTTCAACCAAGCAATCACAAGAACCTTCCAGTGACAAAAGTGTGTCCAAATCAGAGAATTGTTTCTCCCCTCTAGATACTGTGTTAATGCTCTAATGGAAGGCTGTGAATCAATGCTGCAAATGTTAAGACTATATAGTATGCATGAGGCAGTAACAAGATAAGATGGTGATGCTTCCCTAAACAGAAGCCAATTTGACTGGCAAGTCAATATCATTTTGATACTGGTGTCCAGATAGCATCCAAATCATGTCTGAGAGAGGAAGCTATTTCAAAAAACTCATGGCAGGTTATGTGCAATGCACAGTTCCTTCCTGCAACAGAGGGGAAAGACTCGGGGATTAAGGATGGAAAAAAAAGCAAGGAAAGTGGCCTGTTCCAGTTGTTTGGGGATATTGCCTTATTCTGCCTAGTAACAGAGCTAGTTTCAATACAACAAACAGAAGGTATAAGCCATTTACAACAGGTTATGACTGCATTACTTGTACTCATCTATACAGTACTGGGTATGTGCTGAGACAAGGATAATGGTGAGATAAACTATTATGAGAAGGCCCACATATGATGCTTAGAACATCCAGGCTCAAAGCCTCCACTGGGATTGCCTCCACAGATACAATACTCTTGTTATTCTATGTCTATGGGATCGGAACAGTTGAATCCCCACCATGTTTATTCATACCCACTGATTTCAACAGAACTTTTATGTCAATGAAATATTAACATATCTGAACTTACTTTGAACTTTGAGACTATACTACCTTTGCCCTCAAACAGTAGCATCCTTCCTCAAGATTCTTTCATGTAATTCTCTCACTGATATTAATAAAGACAAGTGTTCTTTCGTTTTCTGGCTTGTTTGTTGTTTAAAATATGTAACATGAATCAGAGATTGGAAACATTACTGTTTGCGTTACAACTTCAAAATGCGCACACACCTGCCATGGCTACTTTTCATACTTTCTGGAAGATCCTCAAAGTCTAAAAAGGAACTTTTTCAACTTCTGCATGGAATCCTGACAGATAACAAGAAGATGGTGTAAACCAGTGGTTCTCAACCAGTGGGTCCCCAGATATTTTGGCCTTCAAGACCTAGAAAGCCTGACAGCTGGTAAACTGGCTGGGATTTCTGGGAGTCTGTGGGCAAAACACTTGAGGACCCACAGGTTGAGAACCACTGGTCTGAACAGATGCCACAACCCAATGCACAACAAGAGGTTGGACTGTTTAGACAGGTTGAGAACTACTGGTCTAAACAGATGCCACAACCCAATGCATGGCAAGAGGTTGGACTGAGTGGCCCTGGTGGTCTCTTCCAACTCTTATGATTTTATGATTGATCAATCACATTGTATTCTCCGCCATTTGGAACAAAAAAGAATGAGTGACACTAAATGTCCCAAAGGTCCATGACTTTTCATATTATGCACTTGTTCTATCAGTGCTAGTAATAAATATATTTAAAATCTGGATAGTACTAAAAACAAAGATCAGAAAAACTGAAGAGCAGCCCAGAATATTTTGGAGCGTATCAGGGGAATTCACACAAAGGTTAACTAATTCATATTTGTAACAACTATTTTTTAATGTCGTGTATATTGTCCGTTAATAATACATTAGTTTTATCAGATCCACATGTAAAGTTACAATTGTTTTTAGCAGCAGTTTAATGGATTAGAATTGTGTTAGCACAGGATTAACTAGCATAACCATTTGAATTTGGAAACTATGCTTAACTTCCACTGCTGCCAAAGACTTGTTTGGAGGTATTCCTTGAAAAATAACAGAACATGACATATACTGCCCCAAAATGCTGGGCATTTGGTAAAAACACATAGAGGAAAAGGAAAGGCAACAGGATGATGTTTAGGAAATTCCTATGGCATTTCTTTTTGGATGCTAGTTCCTGGCAAAGTATTTATTCTGCAATTGCCCTTTCTCTCTCCCACAATTTTATGGGGAAAGGGGTTCAAAAATGCTATCTTGCATATGATGATCTCTCACATATATCCATGACTAACTTCATTTTTTTCCCATACCACAGAAAGCATTAAAGGAGAGAAAGAGGACTAGGTTGACAGTGCTTTTTGCTTAGGAGCAGTGGGAGCCATCTATCAAAAATCACCCTTTGACATCAGATTAACACTGATGCTGATATAATCCCTTTGATTTGTTTTTTTTAAATCCTATACACTGAAAATGTTGTCTTCTAAGATGGTGGCAAATGCTATTAATATTCGGTTTCTGAAACCCGAACTCCAGGGTGACCCTTCTTCTTGACATACATTGTCATTTTTTGACTGTGTATCACATGAACAATTAAATATTTCTAAGACATAAAAACTCCAGGGAAAGATCCTGAGAGCTTTATAAGATAGCACTTCTCTACTCTAGCTGCCCCTCTACATCTTTAAAGCCATAGGGCCAGGCATGAGCACTGGAGTCTTTTCTTTCCTCTGCGGCTAAATTATTCAACATCTATTTCAAGACTTGGCTGGAATCCAGCACAGCCCAAACAACCAGGCATGTCTCTTTATCCCTCACCATTACAAAACCTTCCATTGAAATGCAGCTTTCTGAGAGTCCCCCGAGGACTAGAGAAGCCTTATCTCAATTTTATCCATCACTCACTCTTACAAGTATTTTAGAGTCTGGAGAGGGCTGGGCTTTGGCCCCTGCAAGGTCTGAACAACAAAATATCGATTTACTGCAGAGTATTGTTGGGTGGGTGGGTGGAAATAAGTAGAAAGCTATCTCTGTGACTAAAGCTAAGATGGTAAATTAAACAGAGCATTACATATCCAAGAAAATATAAGGTAAATGGAGACATTAATTAATCTGAGTTGTGCAGGAACTGGTAAGATTTCATATCAATAACTCTAAAATACATTTAAGAAAATGGAGAGTCCTTGGTGTTTACTAGGATTTGGTTCCAGCCCCACTCCCCTCCAAACAAATCTGTGGATGGTAGGATGGTATAGGAAATTGTAATCAATTCTATAAAATAGCAAAATGAAGGTTTATTCTTTGTATATGTATATATGTGTTTGTTTGTGTGTGTGTGTGTATTTCAAACCATGGGTGGTGAAATCCATGGCTGCAGAATCCGCGGAAGGCCAAATCTATTATTAAGCATAATATGGCCAACCTTCTGTAGATTGAGGGTGAGCACAACATGTGCAATTGAGATGGGCAAGGCAGGTACCCATGGCTTTTTGGAATTGTGAAGATAGGTAATACCAGAGAACTGGATGTGTCAAAAATAATGTCCTCAACCTAGTACCTCCCCCCACCCCAGTTGTGCTGTTTTGATACTCTCAGAATGCACCAGCCAGGCACACTGAGTGTTGTAGTCAAAAGTCTTTGGAGGGCAACAATTTAGAGAAGGTTCCATTATAGCATACTGTCCTAGTCTTGAAAATCTCAGTACACTTGCTGTGTTTATAATGGATGCTTTTATCAGAGCGTAGGCGGTACTGCTCACAAACAAGGCACAGGCTACAGGGTTTCCTAGCATGCTAGCAAAAGCCAGGTTCAAATTGTCAAGGCCTAACTGCAGATAGGCTACTCCAGCAGCATCCCTAACTGGTACAACTACATGACAAAAAAGGCCAAAGAGGATCAGTGAGATCCATGGCCTGAAGCAGATATTTTAATGCTTCTGAATAGGCTGTTTCCTGCCTCCCACTTATGCGTATTAATTGCTCCTAGCCCCCAGCAAAAGCAGCAGCAGCAACAAGCAGCAGGAAACAGTTACAGCATAGAGAAATGAAATTTCAAGACTATTAGTCCTGAACTGCAAAAATTATTTAGTCTATGGATGAATGTGTCAATCAAGGGCAAACAACTTATGGTAGACTATATGGCCCTCCACACCTCCGCACTCTCAAATATAGTATTTGTACCCATTCACAAAGAAGGATGGGCTTTGTTGCTTCACACTCAAGCCTTTTCATGGGCAAAACTGCCATGTTCGTGGAATAAAGCAAGATTCAACAAACCAATTGTTCATTTCTGCCCTGGAATCAGTGAGTGTAGAGGCAGTTCACATTCAAAACAATTTTTATATTCTAATTTTCCTGGGTTTTGTCCCACTCTTTGCATTTTTGTAGAGAATGACTCAAAATCTGTTCTGGGTAACTATGGAAGCTGAAGTTTTCCCTTCAGCCTTGCTGAACTGTGCAAAGACAACAAAGAGTCCATTTCTCATGCTGTACATGTGTTCCTTTGCTATGACTGAGTCTGCCATAAGCAGTGAAGCACACAGAATACCAGCAATGGGGAATACACACATTTAGGTCCTCCTGGAACGGGATTAGCTAAGAGAGACAGGAGAAGGAGTGGAGGGAAGACAAAGAAAACAAAAGTAGGTTCATCTCACAGAATTTAAGAATCAACACCTGAGGGCTTTTCCCGATATCCAGAATCCCTGAGCTTTATTGCCAGCGTTTTATTATATCCCAGTTTGTCTACTTCAGAGTTGGTTTCATTGGGCTGGTTTCATTGGGACAAGAGGGATAGCTGTAGTTGGAAGACTTTTTGCCACTTTAATTTTAAGGGGGGAAAGTGTGCATTGTATGACAAAGAATGATCACAAAACCTGGCAGCACATATGCAGAGGGAGGCAAGAGAAAATAAAAAAGGGTTGAGAAAATGATTGGGAGAACTGGGAAAGAGCAGCTGTGAAAGCTTTTGTTGAAGACACAACCAGGATTCAATAAGGAACTATGCCACTTACACAGTTATCTTCCCCACAGAATCCACTTTCACAATGGTTGTCCTAGATGGGTTTACATCATACAATGTAAAGCCCCAATTCATATCTCCCTAGCAAGAAAACATTGTGGGTTGAGTGTTGAGGGCAAAAATAAATACACAAATATGTCCCACAACAGATGCTATGCTTGAGAGGGAGGATGCATTTGGATCTCCTGTAGTGACTGAGCAAGAACAGCTCATTTATTGTGCATTTATTGACTAGAAAGACCATTAGTTGCATATCCTTCAAGTCAAACAGTCCCCAACTCATTCATAGCAAAGTTCACGCTGAGATATAATATGGTGAAAAAATTCTCCAGGTCAGATATCAGGACAACTATAATAGTCTTGCAATCTTACTACCTGGTATGTAAACAGCTTACTATCAACAAGGAGATGTTGACAGCAATATCAAGGGCTAGAGATGCAAATAAAGATTATGGTTTTGTGGAATCATTAGGAGCTAATAAGGAGAGAAAGGGTGGAGTTAAGAGTTTCTGGAAGAGTGGTACCTTAGGGTTATTTGCTTTATTACCGTGGCACTAGCAGCAGTTGACTGTGTCAATATGATGAGCTCTTTATGAGCAGCATAACCTCCACACCTTGGATGGGCAATATCATCATGTGACTGCAAAGCTTTGACATGAACATGTGTAGAATAATTACATAAATGCTGTGTAGTAACAGGGCAAACTTCAAACCATGTGAACACATGTAAACTGGGTTTCTCATGATTATACCAAGTGATCTGGCACTTCAAATCTCCCCCTTATCATCTTGTAGAACTCAACTAGATGAGCAGTGGAACATCATGCAGAAAAGACGGATCTCTTACTACTCAAAAGAACAAGCGTATGCAAATAATCCCTCAATCCAGTTCAATGGATAGGAAGTCAACATACTGTCAATAATGTCTCCCAGACCCTGGGCATACAGCAGGTCTCTCAGACGAGCCACTTCATCCTTCAGTTCCCTGATCAGTTTGTTGTTAGGATCCTCATTAATGACAGCATTGCACCTGATCTGCTTAGCACGGTCAGCATACCTGTAGATGCAAGATAAAGTTCAAGTAAAGTAAGGCCTACTGTAAATGCCATATGGTGTGCATATAAAACAGTGAAGAGATGACCTCCATTGGTTATTGATGATGATATTTCTGAGGAAACTCTGAATATGGCCATTTTAATTGCTGAATGAGGAGGTGAGAACATTTTCATCTATTTTTTCATTCCTGTTATGTAAAGACAAGCTAATGAAAGATCAGTGAAATCCCTGAGGACAAGGCAATTCAAAGAGATTATTAGGCATCACACTATTTCTACAACAGCTCATAAGCTATTGACAAGAGATATTGATAAGATGTTATTCATAGGAAGCAGCTCAACCATGGTATCACTATAATGAATGTGAGAGACATTACTTCTATAACAAACTCAAAAGTCATTTAAAAGCTTTACCTGTCTAATATTTTCTCCCTAATCACCCCCACATGTATCTGTGTATTAAGAGGATTCAGCCAATCCTCCTGTGATAGTGAAATTATTGTGAATTAAATTAAAGATCAGATGGGTAATTGTTTAACATAATCTCAGTTCTTTGTGAGCAAAGCATATAAAATATTTAATGCATGAATAGTCACTACAGCTCACACTTCCAAATGTGGATGGTGCAGTTGTACCTATTTCTCCTAACTAGTTAGACAAACTCTAGTTTACTCGATATCCAAGCATTTCTGCATACTCAGAATATATTGATAAAGAAAGCAAAATTGTACAGAAAAAGCTCACTCATTCACCACACACACTGCAGTGTGAGAAATAACTCTTACCTTAATGTGCTCAGGGTCTCATCATAATTGATATCAGCAGGGCTAAGGGCAGCAACCATAGCAGTCCTAGAGTTACCACCTGCACAGAAAACGCACCATCACCCATGGAAACAAATTCAGAGATCTAATCATTTTCAGATTGTATTTATAATGTTCAAAAGGCTGGTTCTCACAAGGAAGCAGGATGAAATCATTGCTTTGAGCCACATATTTAGCAGAATTGTGGATCAAGTTCCTCCTGTTCATGACCTGGAGCATTGTCTGCCCCCACTTCCAATGGCTACATTTCCCTGATTGAGTGAAGCAGATACTGCTGGCCTATGGGGCTCTTCAACACATGTCAGAGCTAAAACCTCACTCTGAGAAAGGACCTTAAGTGGTTTGGGTGCTATTTTTAAAAAACAAGAAAAGGCTTTATAGCCCCCAATAGTTGTTGTAGGGTCTCGTTATGATAAGCTTCAATGTTTACTATTACACCACAATCTGCCAGTCATCCAAACACTGAGTGACCAGCAGTAAATAGGATGCTAGCATATAGCATGTATGTTTCAATTATAGAAGGAACAGTGACATAACAGACAGATCTATCTATCTATCTTATCTATCTATCTCATTGAATTAGGAGACACTTGTTTATTTTATCTTGTTGCTTTATGTATTTTATTGTGATGTAATTTTTCGTTGTTTTGTATTTCATTTTGTTGTATGTAATTTCGGGGTTGGCCTCATGTTAGCCGCCCCGAGTCTCCTTTGAGGAGATGGTGATGGGGTATAAATAATAATAATAATAATAATACCCTGCCACTATCTCTTATTATTATTGTTATTATAGCCTTTAGGATTAATAAGTACCAAGATTTTCTCGAAGGAGCCAGGTTAGTACAGAGTCCCGGTATGGAATGAAGTCTGTCTTTTTCTTCTTCTTGTTCTAGGAGAAGGAAAACAACTAAGAATGACTGAGGCCTCTGATATCTGTAGATAATGGTTATGTTTAATCAGGGAAGAAAATGAACACATATAGCTAATCCCCATTGTGTACAGTTTGTCAAGCTGAGTATTAAAAAACCCTGCAGATGTTCCCCTTAATAACTTTCATTAAGATAAAAACATTTAAAATGTTATATGTAACATTTTAAAAATGGACTATTGATCCATTTTAGGGGTCTCAATGAAAAATAGACTGCCATGATGGTGATGATGATCACAATGATTGAAATGTCCTGGTTGCTACCAGATTATTGGTCGAAATAAGAGTGATCAGCGTTGTCACTTCTCAGGAAATGCAGCTCAGCCTTGAAGCAAGAAGATGTTTTGGGCGATGTGGTAAATCTTAGGTCTTATATATTTACTGTGATTTCAGTAGAAATCCATCTTGTACTTACAAACTAGATAACACAATATAGTAGTATACAATTGATAAATATATTCTGCATTTACTTATACTTATACTTATAAACCGTTTTAAAAGTGAAAATCTTTCAAAATTAAATTATTACAACCAATTGTCATAGTTTAGAAGTGAGCATTTACCTTATTTGGTCCTGAATCCTGAAAGGAAATCAAAGATATTGATTACAACGGAATAATAATGCATGGTCAAAACAGAATATAAGAAAACAAGTGGATATTAAATTTTAAAAAATTAGACACTCTTCTATTCCAAATATAATTCCAAATCTCTAGTATTTTGGGGGATAAAAAAAGTTTGATGTGGCATTCAATCACAGAGCAGAAAATCTCAACTGCACCAAACAAGTGGAAGAGACATGTGTACATTGATAGAACAGGATAAACCCTCATGTTCCTTGCATGAAGGACAAATATGACAGATGAATGATAGACAGATAGTTCAAGGCTGCCATCAGAGAATAGCTCTTAGGTGTTCTTATCATAAGACTTCTTCACTTTTTACTTGCACAAAAGGGCCCCACACCATCAAAGGGGAACAGGACCATACTGTCACCTTAATCTTAGGGGACTTAATGACAACCAGCAGATTTTGTGAACCACCTCTCCTGAATCCAAAACATACAGAAAATGGAAACGATTAAAAAGATGAACTGCGCACGCACACGCACACACACACACACACACATATATATCTTCCATTAGCTAAATACAGGATGTGAACACCACACTGCATATTTTGATTAATAGCGGCTCTGTAGCTTGGAGTTTGCAGTGAAAGCAAACGCTTAACCAGCATCTTTTCTAGATACCAAATGGCTGAGCAGCCACCCAAGTGAAGCATTTCAGAGGATGTATTGGGAGATTAAACCTGCACAGCATTTCTAAGGAAAAAGCCCTCACCCACTCATATCAACAGAAATCTTACCATTTCAGCTAGAGCAGAAATCACCTTCCCCAGGGTGGTTAGTGATTTATTGATGTTTGCACCTTCCTATGATGAAAAAAAAACCCAATTTCAGTCTGAATGAATACATTCTCTACACAGAATTTGCACAAAAACATATGCTAATTCTTGGAGACACAACTTCTATTTTAATTTCTATATACATGTGCATCTCAACTCAGAATCTATGAGGAATGCCAAAATGAAATAGCATTAAATAGCTAGGCAAAACAAGAACTGGCTATAGAGAGAACTGTAAAGAATTATGTGCAAATTATTATGAACAGGAAAAGGACTAGCAGTCATTACAGATGCTACTTCTTATCCTTCAATTGAATGACAGGGAGAAGTCTCTGATAGGTCATCTTATGTGGGCAGCAGAGCTCCCATCATCCACTCCTGTTACCTAGTTTCCTCTGGAAGTTTCCCTTACCTTAAGTCGTGTGCCTTTTGCTCCTGTGGAGTCAGCTCGTTCACTCCCTGCAAGATCAACCAAGCTGATTTTGCTGACCTGAAAATAGAAAATATATTACCTATCATGTCCCTCATCAAATCTTTTTAGAGGAAAAGAAAGACTGACAGCTATGTAGACATTAGGAGACAAGTAACAATTTCAAAATAGTCTTCTTTCTTCTGATTAGTAACTACTTCAGAAAGTAAAGAAGATATCTCTGGTGTGCTTCTAAGGCATGGTCTAAATATTTAGCATGTAGCAAACTTCCTGATGCTAAGTAATGCTGAATCTGATTTGTTTTTAAAAAGTCAACTGTAATAAATAGTATGATTGCACGAAAAATCTGAGGACACCTCCAGTTTTGAAGCCCATACCAAGAAATCATAATCCAAAATGAATATGCATCTGCATGCTGGCTTCAAAGAAACGCCCCATCTCTCCCACCTTATCCATGCCTAGCATTATTTTTAACTTTAATTACATTTGTCCCAGCCATAGATTTTAATTGTGTGTTGTATTACTGTCATTGTATATTGCTTTTTTTGTTTATGAGTTTTATTTAATTGTTTTACTGTTGTTGTTATTGCTTGTATTGATGTATTGTGAGCTTGGCCTCATGTAAGCCGCACCGAGTCCCTTGGGGAGATGGTAGCAGGGTATAAATAAAGATTATTATTATTATTATTATTATTATTATTATTATTATTATTATGTTAGGCAATTAAGTAATGCTGAATCTGATCATTGCTTGGATATAAGACTATTTGATAAACTATTCGTTGCATGGAAGGAGGGCTGGGATAAATAAAATACTATATGACTGTAATTAATATATTTATGATGATAAATGATTTAATTGCAATGATGCATGTAAAGTCAATGGTTTGGCAAAAAAGGGGGGTTTTTTATCTGAAGGTCTTTTCCCCCCAGTTCTTCCTTGGCATGAATTTGCAAGAGCCAAGTAGGTCAGAAGTGTTCAACATAAAAACCAGAATGAAATCCCTTAACATGCTCCAGTTATCATATTAAAAATGTACAAGCTCAATGGCAGGTTGCACTAAGAAGTAGTTTCTGTATTTTCTACTCTCTCTCCCACCCACCCTCACAAAAATACTTTTTAACCCAGGAAAACCTTCTCAAAAGTTAGGGGTCGTCTTATACACCGGAATTGTATGAATTGTATTTTAATGTATTTTATATTGATGATGTATACTGTTTTTTCTTATTATTGAATATTATGTTGTTAGCTGGCCTGAGTCCCTCCTCGGAGGTCGAGAAGACCGGGTTATAAAAACTCTAAATAAATAAATAAATAAATAATGTCATCTTATAGGGCGGGTGATGAAACTTCAGAGCTGGACTGGAGAATCTGCAGTTGTTGCATATGGTGGGGGGAGCTAAAAAATGGCCATGGCCACATCCCTGCTGTATGTGGCGACCGTATGAAAGCAGCAAGGGTGGCGCTGTACAAGTATGGTAGAAGATAATCCACTCACCAGGATTCATGGAAAAAAGTGACTTAACACGGTCCTGATGATGAGGTAAGGGGGCGCCTCACCAAGAAGGTATAAGTAAAGGGCGGAGAAAGCTGCAGGCGTCCGGGACGCCCGCAGTATGGAAAAAAGAGATAGAGCGGTGCTATGCCCAGAAAAACATGCCTCTTTTCCTCATCTGCCCGCCCTTGTATCCTATTACCGTATCTCCTTCTCAGATCTTACTCCAGAGTGAAGCAGCACAGGTGCGCATGTGCGAGATCTGAGAGGCATGAAGGAGGTACGGTAACAGGAAAATTACCATACTGAAATCAAATCTGATGTTTTTAAATTTTTTATTTGGTGTGCGTTGGAAGAGGGGTAGTATACAGCGAGTATATCCCAAACTCTATAGTTTAACTGGAAAAGTTGGAGGTCATCTTATATGGCCAGTTGTCTTAAACGCCGGAAAATATGGGTACTTTATTTGTAAAACTTGCCAATATTATTCCTCTCAAGGAGGAAATGTAATAAAATGCAAAATAATACAATTAGGAAACTGCAATATTGCAATACTGAAGTTGCTTACACCATTGAGCCAGTACTGGGACCAGTCCACAGGATTCTGTATACAGAGAATCCAAATCTGTTCAAGATGGCTACTAACCATGATGGTTAACATCTTTTTGAAATGTTTTTTTTTTTGGACTGCAGTTTTCAGGGCCCTTTCAGACAGGCCCTATATCCCAGGATCTGATCTCAGGCTTTCTGCTTTAAACTGAATTATATGAATCTGCACTGCTATATAATCTGGGATAAACAGAAAACCTGGGATCAGATCCTGGAATATAGGGCCTGTCTGGAAGGGCCCTCAGAATCTTCTCACCAACATGAAATTTACCAAGATCTTTGATGACTGTAACATGAACCTGTCAGAGGCGTTGGCCACTAAATACCAATGGCTGGGGTGAGAACAGAAGGAGAGGACTATTGTTACCATGCCCTTCTTGTAGGCTTATAGGAGGTACCTGTTTGATCACTCTACATATCTATCCAGATTATTTTTACATAATGAAGTTTTAAAATATGTTTCAATGTGTATGGATATTATATGTTCTTTTAAACTGATGTTATGTGTTGTATCTAATTTGTGTGATTTTAATTAACGTTACATGTCATACTTTAACCCATTGTTGTTTCCATCACTTTCCATCAGAAGGAAAGTAAAAACCTGGCTCTGGGGTCAAGCCTTTGGAGATAAACTATAGTGCAATAATAACTACGAAATATGTGCAATGATGATTGGATTATAATGATTATATATAATGATGTGCATTTTAACTCTATAATTTAAAATTTTAACTTAAATGTATTCAATTGTCTGTTGTCTAAGGCATCAAATAGTTGCCATATGTAAAGCTGCCTTGAGTCCCCTTTTGGGTAGAGAAAGGCAGGATATAAATAGAGCAAATAAATAAATAAATAAAATTTGATCTATGAAAAGACATGGGTAAGGAATTATGATGTTTTCTAGTGGGCACTTCTAATATTTTCCATAATACTTAAACTGTCTTGAGCGTCATCAGATGTACAAAGCTCTTCCTCTCTATATTTATTCCTTTTGTATCCAACTCTCTTTGATAAATGCCAAAGCCCAATATAATAATAAAAGAGACTACAGATCTGTACAGATGATTGCAGAATAACTACAAGTAGGTTCATCATCAAAGTAATCCCTGAATCTATCTCTTCTGTTCATTTCCTGAAAAATGATGCTGTTTCTCCCTCATTTTAATGAATCAGAACATTCAGCTATGTGTCTGGTTGAGGTCAGAAGCTGAGTCATAGTTGGGCTGTTGTAAGAAATGATGTGGCACCAGGTTGTACCCTCTCCCTCCCCACTGGGACTCCTGACAACGTCTGATGCCATGTTTCCTACCCACCTTCTCAGTGGTGATGTCAGTCTCAGCATCATGCCGCTTCTGAGTGAAGATGATATTGAAGACAGCATGGGAGCGGCTGCTGGTTTCATTCATATTGGTGGCAGCCACTGTCCTGTTGCAGAAAATAAATAGCAGCAAAATGTACATTTCTACCTTTTTAAAAATCCAAGATCAAGACTCTTTATCACAGTGGTTCTCAACCTGTGGGCCACGGCTCAGCAGTATCAGCAACTAGAGCTAATGTGGTCTGTTGTTGTTCATTTGATCAGTCATTTCCTACTCTTCGTGACCTCATGGACCAGCCCATGCCAGAGCTCCCTGTCGGCCTTCACCACCCCCAGCTCCTTCAAGGTCAATCCAGTCACTTCAAGGATGCCATCCATCCATTTTGCCCTTGGTCAGCCCCTATTCCTTTTTCCTTCCATTTTCCCCTGAATAATTGTCTTCTCTAAGCTTTCCATTCTTCTCATTATGTGGCCAAAGTACTTCATCTTTGCCTCTACTATCCTTCCCTCCAATGAGCAGTTGGGCTTTGTGGTCTACCCAATGCAATTTTCTGAATCAGCACCCAAATAACCAAACCAAATCTAAACCTGACCAAAAACTTATTTGTAACCTTTTTGGTACTAATGTTGGAGAGTTGTCTCTGGTCAAAGTGGTCCCTGTTCAAGTGATCCCTGTCAAAGTGGTCCCTGGTCAAAGTGGACCCTGGTCAAGTGGTCACTGATCAAGTGGTCTCTGGTCAAAGTGGGCCCTGGTCAGGTGGTTCCTGGTAAAGTGGTCACTGATAAAGTGGTCCCTGGTCAAGTGGTCCCTGGTCAAAAAAAAGTTGTGAACCATTGCCTTATCACAAAGAGAAACAAAAATAGTTGGTGAAAGAGTACTTTGAAAAACATTCTTTCCGTGATGCAGACATGAGTATAGGACCAATCACCTTGCACTTCTCTTTTACCTGGCTTTGTTCCCAGAGTCCATTAGGTCTTGGATGTCATTATAGGATGTGACAGCTAGTTTCGAGAGATCTTCCACGTACGGGCCAAGGAGTGGGTGCTCTCTCACTCTTAAATTCCCTTTGTTTTTAGGGTTGAGGAGGTCACGCACACGTTCACAATAGATTTCCATGTAGCTCACCTGCAGGAGACAATGTGCAAACTCTTAGTCTCACACCTTTTAAAAATGCATTTAAATGATGAGAATGCTCTATCTTTAAATTTTTAATTTTTTTGAAAAACATTTAGGCTGCCTTTGAGCATTATGGGAATGTATATTCTGCAGTTCATCCCTTTGGAACAAAGGGAAATCTCCCTGACTTCAGTTAATGTGTTTATAAAATATGCGTTATTAATTATTTAATCAATTTCCTGCTTTTTTCCTTGTCCCAGGCTTATAATGAATAAGACAGTATACTATAAATCACCTAGATTTAATTATCTTTCAGAAGATCCGCCCCAATTAATTGAAGCAAGCATTTCCAGTCTTATTCCTATGCATACTTGACTGGAAGTAAGTGAACATATTGTTATCTTTTAAGATCAAATGAATACATCGTTTCTGTGTACTTGTTTTTTCTTTTAATCTGATAGGTTTACAACAATCCAGTGCTCTTAACACACTGAATGGTTGCTAAATATATTTGTTAAAACATGAAGACAGCTTAGCAAAACAAAATATGTTGAGTATATGATGCTAATGAAAATGTCTAAGCCAGGCATGGGCAAATTTAGGCCTTCCAGGTGTTTTGGACTTCAACTCCCACAATTCCTAACAGCTTCAGGCCCCTTCCTTTTAAGCAGCTGAGGGGGAAAAGGAAAGGGCCTGAGGCTGTTAGGAATTGTGGTAGTTGAAGTCCAAAACATCTGGAGGACCCAAGTTTGCCCATGCCTGGTCTAAGCTTTCAAATGGATAATGGATAGGCTCTCTAAAGGATCATTAGGTTAATACTGTTTGAAAGATCTGCAGTTAATTAATTCCATATCTACATGTTAAGCAAATCTGAAACACATCCTCCCAACAAATTTAGTAGCACACCATTCTGTAGGAATGTGTCTTGCTAATGAATGTTCCAGTAGCTATTTTCATAATAGCAATAACAGAGGTTGTAGTTATTGTCATTAACTTCATTTTTTTTACTTTTCCCATGATTAGGAGCCAATGTGGTTTAGAAAATTTAAGGTTTTTTGTGCATCGGGGTGAATTGAGAAACTGCAAGTTGCTTCTGGTGCGAAAGCATTGGCCATCTGCAAGGACGTTGCCCAGGGGATGCCCAGATGCTTGATATTTTACCATCCTTGTGGGAGGCTTCACTCATGGGAGGCTTTTCTCATGGGGAGCTGGAGCAGAGAGAGAGAGCTCTCCCCGCTCTCCCCAGATTTGCACCGCTGACCTGTCAGTCAGCAGTCTTGCCAGTACATGGGTTTAACCCACTGCGTCACTGGGGGCTCCATATAAAATTAAAGTAATTGCAATATAATTAATTGATAATTAAAATATATAAAAGGTCAATGTTAAATTGGAATTAAACTATGAAGAATATTAAAACATTTCAAAATCTTAAAAGGATGAAAGCCAGTGAAAAATTCCACAATCGGAAATAATATAGCACTCTTTGAAAAGCCATTTCCTTAAAAAGCTTGACCGTCTTTGCATGCATGTTCAGTGATCTCATCATGCCTTCCTTCTTGCCCTTAGGAAACTATATGAACTATGACCAACAATCACTTTGTACCTCCACTGAGTAAGACATGTTGTCATTCGTTGTGTCATTGATTCGGGAGAAGAGATCTTCACACAGCTGCATAACATGAAAAGGCAAGAGAATGGGTTATATAAATCAGAGACAATGGTGCCATTTACTTAATACCTCTCATCTCCCCCAACAATTGAGCAAACATACAGATGTTTAAGTGTCATCAGTGTGGCATTAGCTGAAATTCAAACAGAATAGCTCTTCAGATATGTTTCTATCCTTCCACTAAAGGAAACACAACTCTGCCAGAAGTTCTAAAACATTTCAAGTATCTTTCTTTCAAAAGTAGATATTACAGTTAGGAAAGATATGCTTGTTTAACCAGTAGGTTCCTCTTTCTACTCACTCCCCCCCCCCCCCCCCCCCATGCTTCCTTTTCTTCCTCTACAGTTTGACTGGAGTGTAATTGAAGCCCCTTCATCAGAGAGCAAAATGAAAACAAAGGTGAGACCAACCTGGTCCTTTAAGTCCTCTGCACTCTCTTCCTTTGCCCTCCCATCACTCCCACCCCCCAATCCAAACAAATAAACCAACACATTGCATAAACAGATTACATCAACCATATAAAATAAGCGTAGTAAGTAATGACATTTATAATTAACATTAAAAATCCCTGGGCCTCAGGCCACTGAGGTTATCCTTAAAACATTATACTAAAATGTACAATGATTTAAAGATAAGTTCCAAAAACTTTGGCCATGTGAGTCTTGCCTGTTTATTGAGGGTTGTCGGGGAAAGCCTGCTTCCATAGAGAGGTTTTAACCTGGGAACGAAAGGTCAGTAATTGGGTGCTGAGCGCACCCCTTTGGGGAGGGAGTTCCAAAGCCGTGGGGCCACCACTGAGAAAGACCTCTCTTTCGTTCCCACCAGCTGTACTTGTGTTGGTGCTGGGACCAAGAGAAGGGCCTCTCCTGATGATCTCAGGGCTTGTGGATAGGAGGAAATGCAGTCCCTCAAGGAGGCTTGGCCCAAACCATTTAGGGTTTTATAGGCTAAAGCCAGCACCTTGAATTACACTCCGGAACAAACCGGAAGCCAGTGTAGCTGCTTCAAGAGTGGGGTAGTTCTTTCCCTATATCCTGCTCCTGTGGATATAAAGAAAGTTAGACCTTTATAGAGGTCTAACTGCTGACCTTTATAGAATAAACTAGCAGTTCCTCAACCCCTGGCCTCTGTTTCGGTGCACATCCCTTCTCTTCAATTCTAGATCAGCTCACCATTACTTATTGCCTCCAAGTGATCTCATTCAAGGATAATGGCTACCATAGCTAACACACGCCATACCTTTTTTCTGGAGAAAGAACGTGATGTGGACATGTGGCGACCAGCTTAGTGCTGTGATCACTCAAAACTAAGACCAGATTTCAGTGGGAACTGGCCCACTTCAGAAAAGGTCATGCTGCTCTGATTATAGATTCTTGATAATGTTTTAGCAATATTTTTAAAGTGCTTGAATAGCTTCACAACAATTGGGCTGATGCTGCAGCATCCTTCAGAGGGCAAACATTGAACTCCCTCTCCTTTGAGTAACAACAGACTGCTTTGGTTTAGATTTCAAGACTGAATGAAAATGGCTGACAAGAAGGAGACTTCTTCGCTATTGCTGCTCTATTGATGCAACCCTTGTTCTGCCTCCTGCTTTCTCTGAATCTGCAAAGATAGGAGTGGGAACATTTTGCTTCTCCTGGCTGACTAGTGCTGTCATTTAGAGCCCTGGGAATTCGTAGACACAGTGTGAAAAAAAAAGCCATGGAGTCCTCTCCCTGTAGACTTCCCAAATGCAGAAGCATTGAAGAGTAGATCCTTCCCCGTGTCACAGAGGACTATGAGATACCAGCCTCTTCAACACTATACAGAAAGCCAAGCCATCCATCTGAGACTGTGCATTGCAGCTGCTCACATCCTGAGACAGCCTTCCCCAATGCCCTCTTGATTCCACTGGCTGCATACAACAACTCATTTATTTCTTAAAGACATTTTTATTGAAGTAAGCATTTAATGTATTATTAGGAGGGTTTTTATAGGGCATGCTTTAATTTTTTAAACTTATATTTTAATTAATTTTAAAATGTATCATGGTATGATTTGACGTGCTTTTAAATTGAATGGCGAATGTAATAATTTATTGTATCTGGAAGCCACCTTGGGCCCAACTTTGAGAGAAAGGTGTCATATAAATAAAATAAAATTAAAAATTAAAAATGTGGAAGCAGCTGTTACAAGGATTCAATTGTTAACTAAGACCATGATGTGTGCCGAGATAGATAGATAGATAGATAGATAGATAGATATTCATTCTCTCTCTATCTATCTATCTATCTATCTATCTATCTATCTATCTCAGAAAAGAAGTATTGCTCCCCCAAGGTCAAAGACATCACCTGAATTGTGGGGAAATTAATCCCTTGAAATAATAAAAACTTGAGGCAATTTTTGGTTGCATTATTGACACAGATGACTGAGGACACTTCCCAGCATTAGGAAGAATGGGGAGATCACTTCTTGTTTTGAGGAACAAGAATGGGATTGTGGAAAACAGAACTCTATTTACAGCTTTGCTCTTAAGTTTCCTTGTCAATGGCCACCAGTGCTGGACAGCCAGACTACATGTTTTCTATATGTGGCAGGTGTGGTCTGAGCTGGCCCTAATGTTAAGAAAACTGAGGTAACTGGCTCAAGCAGGATATTTTGGGGATCATAAAAATAGAAAATTCATAGTTATCCAATATGTTTATCTTGTATTTTTTTCTGCCAGAGATGGGACTTTCTATCTCCTATGTCAAAATCATTTGGTTATTATGTATCTTGACTTGGATGGGTGAGGGAATTATTTGCTGCTCCATCTCAAAAATATATTGGATAGGATACTCTCTTGTTCTTCATTTCACACAACAAAATGTTTCATACCGACATCACCACAGATCATAGTTAAGTTTTACCAGCTAACAATCCTGGAGGCCTCTTTCCCATTACACAACTGTCTGTTATGGTTTTCAGTTACTCTCTTTACTCCTGCTTCTTTTGCATATTTTGATTGCTTTACACCAATTTATTATTTATTTATTTAAAACATTTATATTCCACCCTTCTCAAACCCGAAGGGGACTCAGGACGGAGCACAGCATATAGACAGCAAACATTCAATGCGAGGACACAAATTCACATACAATACATAAACATTAAAAAACATTTATAAAAATATTAAAATACACCATTTAAAACCGTCCTAATTATCCGTGTCAAATCAAATTGGCCTGGTCATCTTTCCTATTGCCGTTTTATTGCCCAATCACCAAGAAGGCCCTGTCTCTCATCCACACCAATCGTGCCTGTGACAATGGTGGGATGGAAAGCAGGGCCTCCCCGGAGGATCTTAATCTCCATGATGGTTCATAGGGGAAGATGCGTTCGGACAGGTAATTTGGGCCAATTGTTCCTTCTTTTCTATTCAGTGAACTTGCCACACTAACTCACCTTCCATTAGACAGTGCCACATCCCTCCCTTTATGAAGAAACCATGGACGACTGTGTTTTCCATGCTGACACTCAAGAACTCCTATGCACATCCCCAAATTTCATTCCCTTTTCTATCTTGAGTATTACTTTCTTTGGGCTGTTTATTTGCTTGCTTGATTTTAGCTGTAGACCATTTTCATCATTACCTGAGGAATTATGCCTTGCTGATCCTTTTCCTGTCTGCCCATCATGGTATATGATTTTCCGGCTCCAGTTTGCCCATAGGCAAAGATGCAGACATTGTAACCCTCAAAAGCATGTTGCAGCATTTCCTCTCCAATATCCCGATATACCTGCTTTTGAGAGGCATAGTTGATGTCATCGGGCTACAAAGAAAAACAAAACAGGGGTCAAAATGAGGAAGACATAGGACAAATGAGAAGAAGAGAGGAATCATTCCTATAGCAATTTGTTTTATCCAGGAACTATTCTAAAATATCATTTGGAAGAGTTATTACAACTTCCCACCAGAACATAGCGATTGGCAAAAATTTCTTTGTGATGTTATTTCTTTATAACTCTTAGAGCAAAAGTATACACTATCAGCCCCATCTGGAACATGTACAGGAATCTGTAACCCATCAGCCTCCGCGTCATCCTGCAGAAAGTCAGGCTCAAAAGGCCCAGCAGGCCCAGAAGGCCCAAATAATTCAGTCTCAGGCTCAAGCTCAGATTGAGCCACAACAGGATCACAGAAAGAGTAGTATCTTAACTCTGATGCTTTTTAATCCAGGTCTTAATGAAGGATATAAAGACAAACAATGCCTTTGGCTAAAACAATGGGAAGAGGAGCCCAGGGAGCTCCCCATTGCCGTCAATGTGCCGGATCTAGCCATATTTTTTGGCTGCGGTGCAAAAACATGGCCATACAACCCAAAAAAAATCTTCAACAACCCAATTTCTTTATTTGTGATTCTTCACTTTCATGGGGGTCCTGTGCTTCTAACCCCTATCAAGGGCACAGAAGAGAAGAACTGTCTTCTAGCTATCACAGCCATTCCCTTTTTCCTAACTTCCTCCCTACATCTTGAGAAGACATTTACCATCAGCACCAAGCTGAGTTGCAAGAGATGATTAGTATTGGGTGGGCAATAATTGTTTGGATGCTAAAGGGGAGTGGGTTCATTTTTACAGCCCTTATTTTTAGTTGTGGAGGAAGGAGGTTACTGGTCTTCAATCATAATAAGATGAGCCCTAGAGAGGTCACATTTCATATCCTTTCAGTATCATAATGGAAAGAAATAATCAATGATGACTTTGTGCAGCAATGCACAATCTTAATGCATACCTGCAATGCTGTACTTTTTGGAGAACAGATTATGGGGGGTTGGGGGTAATACAAGAGCGCATGAACCCAGCTGCAGAAATCAGAGTAGCTGAGTCACAGTTTTCCTGTTATTTGCCCACAAATTGCTTGTGATTACTTCTCAAAACCACTTCCTGTTTAGAATTCATTTACTGAAAAATCCTGAATTATTTTTAGCCAGAATTAATTAAGAAACATCACACTACAGACTCAGAATTCAACCCCAATAGTAAGACAACTCAAAAAGACTCAAAAGGGAAATACATTGCCATTTGTGGGCTTGAGTCTACTTACAGTGGTATGAGACCAATAGGAATAATCAAAGCTGAAACTTTTGGGTGTCTCCTTTGGCTGTTTTGGATTAATGATAGCTAAAAAGAAGCAAAGAAGAAAACATAACAATGAATGAGCAGTCCGCAGTCAATATTATTTCCATGTTGCAAGAAATGAACTTTTTCTTCAAAGCATCCATATTACGCCAACAGCCCTGGTGTTCCACACTGATTTGGACACACATTCTGCCTGTGAAAACAACTACAAAGACACACTTCATGTGACACCAGAGTGAATTCCCAGGAATATAACCTGACTAATTACAATGAGGACTTAGCAAGAAGTACTGGAATAGACAAGGAAACACTAAATTACATAACTGGAGGCTTCTTCTGCCCTTGCAGTCCTGACATTTTAAAAAAAGTGGTCTCATTTAGGCAAATAACATCAAGAAATGTGTTGCAGAGTCATCTCACATCTCCCCCCCCCCCATGCTCCAAAATTAGTCTGCTGTTATTGTTGTTGCTAGCTATTATTGTTATGTTGTTTTTACGCTGTTTATGCTGTCTTAATTGTTATTGCTTCGTTTTTAATTGTATTCTGCCTTGGGCTTGGGCCCCATGTAAGCTGCACCGAGTCCCTTCGAGGAGATGGAGGCAAGGTAGAAAAATAAAGTTCTTCTTCTTCTTCTTCTTCTTCTCCTCCTTCTTCTTCTCCCTCTTCCTCCTCCTCCTCCTCCTCCTCTTCCTCCTTCTCACAAATGTCCTGACAAATTAAGAAACTGGCTCATTACACACTATACCAGGCATGGGTAAACTTTCTAACTTGGGGGCCACATGGCGGGCTGGACCTGGGTGGGCTGGCTGGAGGGAAGGAGGGGGTTCTCTTCAAGCCCTCTCCCTGCCCTTTCCTTCCCTTCCTCTTCTCTTCTGGGGGCAGAAAGTGAAGGAAAGACGGGAAACATTCGAATCCCAAACGGTTGGCCTTTGTCAGGATGAGATGGTGGATGGGAGAGAAGAAGTGTATCCATTAGACCCTGTATTGCCTACTCCTGATATATAATCCTAGAACGCTAGAACTGGAAGAGACCCCCAAGGGCCAGCCAGTCAAACCCCCTGCCATGCAAGGAGGCACAATCAAAGCACTCCCGATAGACAGCCTGAGAAGGAGACTCCACCACACTCTGAGGCAGCCTATGCCACTCTCCAGCAGGTCTTACTCTCAGGAAGTTCTTCCTAATCTTTTCAGTTGAATCTCTTTCCCTGCCATTTGAAACCATTGCTCCCTTGTGTCCAGGTATGTAAAGAAAGTCACTTTTCCTCCCCCTCCTCTTTCATGGGACACCCTTTGAAATCTTGAAACATGGTTCTCATGTTCCCTCTCTACCTTCTCTTCTCCCAGCTAAACATCCCCCAGGAGGAAAAGAGGAAGAAAAAGGAGAAGGGAGGGAGGAAGGAAAGAAGGAAGGAAGGAAAGGTGGAAGGGTGGGGAGAGGAGGGGAGGGGAGGAGGGAGAAAAGAGAGAAGGAAGGAAAGAAAAAAGGGAAGGAAGAAGAGAGAGGGGATGAGGGTAGAAAGAGGGAAGGAAGGAAGAAAGAGTGGAAGGGAAGGAAGGAGGGAGGGAGAAAGAGGGAAGTAAGAGGAGGGAGGAAAGAGAAGGAAGGTAGGATAGGATGTGAGAGTGGGGGGTGGGGGCTGAGAAAAGAGCCCAAGGGGTTTGTCATTACCTTCCTCTGGATATAGATTCCAGCGCCTAATATTTCCTGGTGGCCTCCCTTCCAAGTACTCATCAGGTCTGACCCTGCTTTCCTTAACTTGCAAATTGTATACAATGTAATAAAATGGAATATAGTGCTATAATTATGTATTATGTATCTATGAAACACAAGGAGAAGGAAGCTGGGACTTTCCTTGGACAACATTGATATCATCAACCATGATATTTTCTAACTCACATCTAAAACTTTTCTCCTATAAATAAAAAAAACAGACTTGGTGAAACATTAAATCATATTAATCTTGCAAAACTGCTGTGAATGTCCAGCTGGACTATTTCTACTGCCCAACGGCATAATTAGCTTCTGTGTCTGATCATTAAATAGCAACAGATTCTTCCTTATTAATTAAAAGAAGCGACTTGAGAAACTGCAAGTCGCTTCTAGTGTGACAGAATTTGCCATTTGCAGAGACGTCGTCCAGCGGACGCCTGGATCATTCTGTGGGAGGCTTCTCTCATGTCCCCGCATGAGAAGCTGAAGCTGACAGATGGGAGCTCATCCTAACTCTCAGATTCAAACCACGGATCTTGACCCCAGCAGTTCAGCCAGGACAAGGGTTTAACCCATTGCACCACAGTGGCTCCTAGTAGGACCAATGAACCAATCCAACTGGTTTCACCCAGTTTTTCCATTTTTAAATTCAGTTTCTCCATCAGTTTGAGAACACATATCCGTCTCTGCACAAAACATTCACACCATCTTGGTACATTTCTTCTAGCACACAATTTTCTATGTGCATCTTTGCATGCACATTTCCTTCATCAATGTGGTTTCATACATTACTTTAACGGATACATGTATTGTTGTATATCTTCCTTATCTACACATTTGGTATAGTGTTTATTGCTAAGCTTCACTGAACCTGAAGTGCAAATGGTGGAAAAGAACTGCATTTGGGTCATGTTTTGGAGCAGAAAGTATAAATAAGATATGTTCACATTAAAATTTGAACTGAACAGATATCATTCTCACCCCTACAATGAGCCCATTCGAATACTCCTACATCTGATAAACAGCTAAAGTTACAGAGAAATGTCACTTGACAGATGTATCATGGGGGAAGCTTAATCACAAATTAAAGTATGGGTAAGTGAGGAAAGCAAAGCTCCCCCATATCGAGAACATAAAATCAATATTGATGAGCAGTTACTGGAAGGAGGAAACATGAGGAAGGACTCTTGTGTAGAGTGAAGCAGAATGTATGCAATTTGGTTGTAGTTTGTTTACCACTAATATGGTTGATATCTAATAACTAAAAAGAGAATGCCAAGGCTTTAATATTTTGGAAAGAAACATAATTGTTCAGTGATGAAAGAAAAGTATCTTATACATGCTCAGAGGCACTTTCATTTAAGATTTTTTTTGCTTACAGCTATCTATATTTAACCCACAGTGCTGAGGAGGCACCAATGGTCCTCCTTCCAATGACATTTCAGATTATAGCAAACTCCATGAACAATTATAGCCCAACCCCTGCCAATGTTCTCCCCAAACACCATACTGCCCACCACCCAAGGAATGCTTTCATTCAGGACAATTTCATGCTAGATTTTACGTGTTTCCTCCACCACAGGCATCCCAGTGCTTCTTACTCTCTCCATTGGTGTGGAATTTGCAGTATCCCATCCACTGCCTCTCCCTTAACCCTTTCCTACTCTTTTCAACTCTATTTGCACAACAAAGAGAGCAGAACTAACCAGCAATAAACATACTGGAGGAGTTTAGGGGATTGACTCGACATGGTGGAGGTTGTAGTTTACCCTACTTCAATTCAGAGCGCTGTGACCCTCACTGACAATGGACCTAGACCACACTTAGTACACAGAACCACCATGACCTAAGAAAAATACTGAAGAGGTTTTGGGGGAATTCACCTTGATTTATAGCCGTTGTAGGTACTGGGAGTTATAGTTCACCTGCACTCAAAGAACACTCTGGACACCACCAACCATGGCCCTGGGCCTAACTTGGCAGACAGAACCACCATGACCAACTGGAAAAACTGGAGGCGTTTGGGGGGAACTGATCTTCATTTCTGGAAGTTGTAGTTCACTTACATCCAGAGACATTGTGACCACCACTGATGACTGATCTGGACCAAACTTGGCACACAGAACCTCTATGACCAACTGAATCTACTAGAGGGGTTTGAGGGTGCTGACCCACCATGGTGGGAGCTGTAGTTTATCCTGCAGCCAGAGATCACACTGAAGCCCACCAATGATGCACCCAGAGCAAACTTGTTCAACATGACAAAATTTAACTACTGATGGAGTTTCAGGGGGTTAACCTGACATGATGTGAGCTGTAGTTCACCCACAACCTTATGCATTTTGTAAAATTAAAAAAATATGATTTTTTTCAAATGTACTAATATGTCTGTGTGTCTCTGTGTGTGTGTGTGCATATACACATACCAATTAGCACATACACATTTTGTGCAAATTTGTATCATGGATCTATGCCCTAAAACAATTCTCATCTGTTCATTCATTCATTCCACTTATCTCCTACATTTCCTCCATGAATAGAACTCTACAATAAAAAATTAATTAAAACACAACAGAAGCATGAGCACAGAAGCAAAAGACTGAAAACACTATACAAAACATGCTGGGCAGGATATTCAATACCTTCCTATTTGAGCCCTTCTGCAGAAAGTGAGGGTAGTGACAGAATAAAAGAGACGTTTGCCTGCCAATGGGAAAATAACTACAAGGAACCTCCCTTGGAATGAAGTGTCCAATGAGAAAGCCCTTGGTTGCCATCAACTACAAATGTCTCCTAATTTAGAAAATGCTGAATTAATACACAGAAGTGGAACAAAGACACAGCAGAGGGTTACCACTCTCTAGCACAGTGTTTCTCAATCTGAGGGTCAGGACCCCTGGGGGGGGTCGTGAGGGGGTGTCAGTGGGGTCGCCAAAGACCATCAGAAAACACAGTATTTTGGGTGGTCATGAGGGTTCTGTGTGGGAAGTTTGGCCCAATTCTATAGTTGATGGGGTTCAGAATGCTCTTTGATCACAAGTGAACTATAAATCTCAGCAACCACAACTCCCAAATATCAAGGTCTATTTTCCCCAAACTCCACCAGTGTTCACCTTTGGGTATATTGAGTATTTGTGTCAATACAGATCCATCATTGTTTGAGTCCACAGAGCCAGCATTGTTTGAGTCCACCATGCTCTCTGGATGTAGGTGAACTACAACTCCAAATCTCAAGATCAATACCCACTAAACCCTTCCAGTATTTTCTGTTGGTCATGGGAGTTCTGTGTGCCATGTTTGGTTCAATTCCATCATTGGTGGAGTTCAGAA